AATATTAAAAAATTTTTTACAAATAAACTAAGGCTTGATCCTGTCTAATTCAAACGGTTTTCGCTTAGTATATATAAGTACGATAATATATAAAAAAATCAACGAGCTCCCAGTTTGCTTTCTATCGTTTTCATAGACTTTAAATTTTTAATAGAAACTAGTATAGGCGAGTATGAGAATATTAAAAAAATTTTTACAACTATTCTATGCCTTGATCCTACGAGATTCAAATATTTTTGAGTTGCTTGATATGAAAAGAATATATAGTAAAAATATCAACATGATCTGAGTTGGCTTTCTTGTATTTTCATACGTTTGAATGTTAGTATGAGTACGCGCCAGGAGGCAATATTAAAAATTTTTTTACAAATAAACTAAGGCTTGATCCTGTCTAATTCAAACGGTTTTCGCTTAGTATATATAAGTACAATAATATATAAAAAAATCAACGAGCTCCCAGTTTGCTTTCTATCGTTTTCATAGACTTTAAATTTTTAATAGAAACTAGTATAGGCGAGTATGAGAATATTAAAAAAATTTTTACAACTATTCTATGCCTTGATCCTACGAGATTCAAATATTTTTGAGTTGCTTGATATGAAAAGAATATATAGTAAAAATATCAACATGATCTGAGTTTGCTTTCTCGTATTTTCATACGTTTGAATATTAGTATGAGTACGCGCCAGGAAGCAATATTAAAAAATTTTTTACAAATAAACTACGGCTTGATCCTGTCTAATTCAAACGGTTTTCTATTAGTGTATATAAGTACAATAATATATAAAAAAATCAACGAGCTCCTAGTTTGCTTTCTATAGTTTTTATGGACTTAAAAATTTTCATAGAAACTAGTATGGGCTAGTATGAGTATAATAAAAAAAATTTTAAAATTATTCTATGCTTTGATTCTACGAGATTCAAATAGTTTTGAGTTGCTTGATATTATAATAATATATAGAAAAAAATATGAACATGATCCGAGTTTGCTTTCTTGTATTTTGATACGTTTGAATATTAGTATGAGTACGCGCCAGGAGGCAATATTAAAATTTTTTTTACAAATAAACTACGGCTTGATCCTGTCTAATTCAAACGGTTTTCTGTTAGTATATAAGTACGATAATATATAAAAAAATCAACGAGCTCCCAGTTTGCTTTCTATCGTTTTCATAGACTTTAAATTTTTGATAGAAACTAGTATAGGCGAGTATGAGAATATTAAAAAAATTTTTACAACTATTCTATGCCTTGATCCTACGAGATTCAAATATTTTTGAGTTGCTTGATATTAAAAGAATATATAGTAAAAATATCAACATGATCTGAGTTTGCTTTCTTGTATTTTCATACGTTTGAATGTTAGTATGAGTACGCGCCAGGAGGCAATATTAAAATTTTTTTTACAAATAAACTACGGCTTGATCCTGTCTAATTCAAACGGTTTTCTGTTAGTATATATAAGTACAATAATATATAAAAAAATCAACGAGCTCCCAGTTTGCTTTCTATCGTTTTCATAGACTTTAAATTTTTCATAGAAACTAGTATAGGCGAGTATGAGAATATTAAAAAAAAAAATTTACAACTATTTTATGCCTTGATCCTACGAGATTCAAATATTTTTGAGTTGCTTGATATTATAAGAATATATAGTAAAAATATCAACATGATCTGAGTTTGCTTTCTCGTATTTTCATACGTTTGAATATTAGTATGAGTACGCGCCAGGAAGCAATATTAAAAATTTTTTTACAAATAAACTACGGCTTGATCCTGTCTAATTCAAACGGTTTTCTATTAGTGTATATAAGTACAATAATATATAAAAAATCAACGAGCTCCTAGTTTGCTTTCTATAGTTTTTATGGACTTAAAAATTTTCATAGAAACTAGTATGGGCTAGTATGAGTATAATAAAAAAAATTTTTACAATTATTCTATGCTTTGATTCTACGAGATTCAAATAGTTTTGAGTTGCTTGATATTATAAGAATATATAGTAAAAATATGAACATGATCCGAGTTTGCTTTCTTGTATTTTGATACGTTTGAATATTAGTATGAGTACGCGCCAGGAGGCAATATTAAAATTTTTTTTACAAATAAACTACGGCTTGATCCTGTCTAATTCAAACGGTTTTCTGTTAGTATATATAAGTACAATAATATATAAAAAAATCAACGAGCTCCCAGTTTGCTTTCTATCGTTTTCATAGACTTTAAATTTTTCATAGAAACTAGTATAGGCGAGTATGAGAATATTAAAAAAAAATTTACAACTATTTTATGCCTTGATCCTACGAGATTCAAATATTTTTGAGTTGCTTGATATTATAAGAATATATAGTAAAAATATCAACATGATCTGAGTTTGCTTTCTCGTATTTTCATACGTTTGAATATTAGTATGAGTACGCGCCAGGAAGCAATATTAAAATTTTTTTTACAAATAAACTACGGCTTGATCCTGTCTAATTCAAACGGTTTTCTATTAGTGTACATAAGTACAATAATATATAAAAAAATCAACTAGCTCCTACTTTGCTTTCTATCGTTTTTATGGAATTGAATGTTGTTTTTACAATTATGCGCTCTCAATAGCAACAATAATTTTTTTTATGACACTTTTAGTGGTTAATTCTGCAAAATTTGTATAATTTTGAATAAATACATATTATAGAAAGCTTCAGTAAAAAAATCAGCAAGATTCAAGCATGCTTTCTAGTTTTTCATGGCTTAAATGACCTTTTACGCTAAGAACGAACACGAACATTACTGAATTTAAAAATTTGGTATTAAATTATATAAAACACTATACATTCCTATTATTGTATTTAACATATTTAAAAAGTAATATTTAATTGCATCTGTAGCGTATTTATTTTTAATAACATGTGTTTTTGACGCCGCGATACCGTTGCGGCCCTTTGTTTAATTCGTCAGGTGGCCGGCTGCTAGTCGGCCGCTAGCTTCAGGTCCATCAATATAAGTATATAAGTGGTTTGTTATCATAATGTGAAGATCACTTAATGGTATAAATGGAGTGATGTGTGCTTGTTTCCGTAAATTCACCTACTTTGATTAAAGGCAATCATCACATACTTATGTAGTTTAATATAATTCTATATAGTATATACATGTATAAAAATCTAAAAGAAAGGCATGACTTAAACAAGAGCTAAGAAGTTAGAATGGTCTTACTAGTACATATGTATATATGTACATATGCATAATTAGGGTCTAACCCTCTCTTTGTTTGTCTTAGGTGCGCTTTAACAACCCGAGGTAAATTTCTAAGAAATTAATTAAATTTCTAAGAAATCTATTGTTTACTGTAATGCTGGCGACTAGCGTGTCCGCGGTCGTGGAGGGACTAATGGTTAGTATAACCATTATATTATATGATATATACATTATATTATATTATATGACATATTATAGCCTATATAGCCTTCCTCAATCAACGGGCTATCTAATGCAAAAATAATTTTTCAAACTCTCCATGCCTCCAACCACACAAAAATTCAAACCAATATGTTATTCCGTTTCCACGTAAAAGAAGGACAAACAAAAACACACTTTCACATTTATAATATTAGTATGGATATTATGAAGCAATCAATTGATAGATAGCCTATCAGCTGATTCATAATATATAAAGTAATGGAAATTACCGATATTATTTCTTGCAAGGAATTTCTATTTAATAATACTAGCAGAACCCACAGCTTTGTTTCTTTCAAAGTGCAAAAAAACAACTCTTCTTTCCCTACCCTTTACAATACTGTATAGAAATCTGCCCAATTTGTTGACATTTATGATTACTGCTCGCTCCCTTGGGTAGTAGCATGATGATATAATATAGCCTTCCTCAATAAATGGGCTATTTAATTTAAAAAGAATTTTTCAAATCGGATTATTACTGAGACAAACTCTGCCTCTTTACAATATTAGGTATAGAATATTTTAATATGTATACATGTATATTTAGTGACAGGTTTTCCATATGTACAAATATTGTTCCCTGAAGTAAGTATACAATATGTCTATTAAAATTTAATTTAACTAGTCATTTCTTTAAAGCAGTTAGATTCATAATATTGTAAATGCCACAAGACCAATTTATTCTCTAAGAGGAAAACTTTTAATATTTCCAATAAATTATAGGAAGCAGTATAAGTTTAGAAAAAATATTTTGTAGGTTTGCAAGTCTTGATAAACAATGGATTTCTTATCAGTCATCATTAAGTAATTGAAATGCAAAAGAGTAGAAAAAAATTGTATTTGACAATATAACAAAGTCTGACATTGAAAATAAACTTCTATTTACTAAAATCAAGAGACAATTACTCTTTGTATTCACAGTTAAGGAAATTAAGATTCAAACTCATGTCATTTAAATAATGTACACAAGAACTATGAGATATTTTTTCCCCAAGAGACTACAACAAACTGTTAAACATAAATGATTAATCAATAATAACTCATACACTCAGTGTACAAAAATAACGACGCAGAAATACCATCTTAGTAATGTAAGGTGAATATAGTTAAAGCAATGGCTATTGATCAAACTGCAGACCATTGTTATAACTTTGTATGAAAAACCATTGTGTGGTAATTTTTTTAATGCCGGACACCTCTTTCTAAATCTGAACATTACACAGACCCACACACATCACATCAACGACTTCTTAAAATTGTATCATATATATTCAAATAGTGTAATAATTTGTAGTGATTATTAAAGGCCCTAATATTAAAACCAATGAACCTTTACAGTGTTTCACATATTCTGCAAACTATTGCTTGTTTACTAGTTCACCTTGCAACTCACTTTCTAGTCATAATTTTGCTTTGGCCTATTATTCAAATGGTAACTTTAAAAGAATTTTGAGTAGAGTATATGTGCATATTGATCCATGGACTTTATCGAATATTTTTATAAATCTCAAAAAAAAAAAGTTATTGAATTTTCTTATAAATACTAAACTTACCCTCCGGATACGCCTGTTTGTTCGCAATGAAGTCGATGATTACAGGAGTGGCATTGTACAGGTGGCCCATGGCCCGCATGTCGAACTCGAACTTGGACACATATGTCGCGTTAATCACGGGCTGGGAGTAGTTCACCTCGGGCATGAACAGCACGCTCGTGTTCCGCAAATTGTCCGTGAGGTCGGGCAGCCAGTCCTGGCCGGCCGCGAGGCCTCCGCCCAGTGCGCACAACACTAGCACCTTCCACATCATATCGTCGCTTCGATCACAGCAGCAACCACATTACGATTCTGCCTTCCACACTACACGCTTTTGTGCGAACACAAGATTTTACCTATTGGTAGGGTATGCTATCTGTTTGCAAAACAAACACACAAAGATACCCACTCACAGAACATAAATAAACACGATTGACATCAAAAACATACGGGAAAAGAACGGACGTGTTCTTATTTACGTTGCAAAGATTATTATACACTGCACTTTATAAATTTTTATTTACATTTTCTGTTATAAATTACATGTTTTACAAAAAAAATGTCTGTAGTTTAGCGAAATTCTGCCGCCGAGCGAGCGACTCGGTCGATGTGCAGCGGTGAATGATTGGCGAATGGCGATTGCAATTTGATTTTGCGGTGAATAATTTGAGAGCGGAAGAAAGAGATCGCAAGAGGGTACGATAACTTAACATCGTTCTCAGTCTATCACAGAAACTTCTCACTAGCGCTACCTCCACCAATTCATTCGGTCTTTCCGGTATTACCAGTCTTAAAGTAAAAGTTTACTTGAAAAATAAGACAATAGGTGGTGAGACGATTCCCTATTGTTTTTTTTAGGTCTTAAAGTACAAGTTAAAAAAAACTTTAGTGCCATTTTACAATTTTTGAATTCATTTTGTTAATTGTGGGTAGGCTGTCTTAACAACTATATAATACCTTAGAGACATCTAACACCTCAGTCTCTCCCGTGACCATGATTGCTGTAAAGCATTCGAAACGTCGGGAACCAAAAATCAAAATAAATTCGCAAAAAAATCCGAAAAGATAGTTTTATTTAAAATGTCAAGTATTCGCGTAAATCTAAGAAAGTATTACTCAGTTATAGTTTGTTATTGTTTCCGAAAATTTCTATGCAAGACTTATCATAGCCATTGTAATATTTCTATTCACCTGTTTGACAAAAACTACTTAACAATTTTTAAAAAAGGTGCACCGACATTTTTTAAAATTATTTACTAGCAATTATTCTATAGGGGTGGAATTATTTTGTGATTTTATACGAGTTAAATAAGAGTTATGAAATTTGATTCACAATTATTGGTGAAACTATTGCGCGTTTATGTTACACACAAAGAAATCATAAATCGACTTCAGCACAAAGCTTCAGCTTGAAATCAGTCAAAAATTAATATAGATTTCTTATTCTATAAAGTTAAAATAGAAATATGCTTCTTTTTTGACGTATGGTAAATGTCAAGCCAATCTAGCTAGCACATTACGTTAAGAAAAATAGGAAACATTTAATTATATATGGAAACTGAGAATTGATGAGTAACAAGCTAATTTTATAAGATTTATTTATACGATGAAATAATATGTAAGTGTACGAGTTAGTTTTAGATATTATTATATATTAACTAGACAATGCTGATTGTGATCACCAATTATTATTTATTATATTTTTATATTCATATAATTTCAATCAAAATAAGACCTCAATAAAATAATGTCAATAACTGAATAAATGAATTTTAAATTTTGTTTTCCCTGAATTTAATGTATAGCTCTTTTACTGGCAGCACTGAACTATCATTCTCATCTACTTTACTGCCATCTAGTTTAACTAAATGGCATTACTTAGTCTAGTCTTATTTCAAAGATCTCGCTACTGGTGCATAGTTTAATATTGTAAGGGACCATTTTTAACCGACTTCCAAAAAGGAGGAGGTTCTCAATTCGTACCTTTTTTTATGGATATTCAGTGATTACTCCAAGACGCCTGAACCGATTTGGATTTTTTTTTTGTTTCAAACGGTATACTTCCCAGGTGGTCTCATATAAATTTTATCGAAATCGGTCGAGGTTTTTTAAAAAAATCAATCAAAAATCAATGTTATTAAAAAACTTGACAAGCACAGGTGTTTGGGTTCGTCTCCCGGTCGGATACAGAATTTTTACTTTTGTTTCTTTTGTATATACTCAAATTTTTAGTTTGTTTATTTTAATGTTTTTTTGGCCAAAATCTCCGAGCGAAGCTCGGTCGCCCAGGTACTAAGTATTGGGTGTTGGAAAATAACGATACTGTTAAATGTAACAATTTTTTATTATCGTAAAATTATTTGAGAATTAAATCAACTACATAACAAAAATTTGTCGCTACAATACGGATTTTACATAATATTTATTCAATATTACAAACAAACAAAATATATAAATATTAATAAATTTATAACCTTAAATTAATCGAGAAAGGTACATCCATGGTTCATAATACTATTAGGTACCCCATCGTTTACTATATCTTACAGAGTTTTATATACATATAAGTACAATTAAATGATTATTTATTTGCCTTATGGTTATACAGCATTCAATATATTATAGTATTTACACGACTTAAACTAATGGAATCAATAATGACTTAAGATACAGCGGTAGAAACTAGTCTCTAAAAATCTGCATGTTTTGCCTGTTTTACCAATATTCTTCACTTCAACGACTACTTAGATCATAGATGGCTGTTTATACTTTATGAGACACGGTTACACCGCCACCGGTAGCGGTGACGGTGACTGTCACGGAAATTTGTTTTGTATCTAATGTTAATTTGTAACAGAATGTATCTGTTATATTGTACACATTTTAAAGTCTACATTTTTACTAATTAAAATAGGTTAGTATTATTCTACACGTAAGCACCATCTATCGTCTGAAAAAAATCCTTAATTAAGGCCGTCCGACTTCTTCATATGAGAAGGGTGTGGGTGTGAAAATGGAGCAATAAACAGTATTTTGTGTCAGACGAAAGTAACGTAGTTCGTTTCTATATTTTTAACTTCATTTATAGTCCACAAGTTGCTCCTGTTCATCTGTATATTTCTACTTTCGCTTATAAGTCTTATTATTTTTGAAATAAGTTTCGTTATAATTTATCCAGTCATTATCGTATCGTGTGATTAAACTCAAAATAAATAATATATTAAAAAAAAAGCTTCATAAGACTTAATATCTAAAAAAAAACTTGAAAAATATGGGTCATATAATTTGACCTGCTTATTACTTTGATAACGTAAATAAAGTGCATAGATTATCGTAACAACTACGACCCGTATTCCTGTGAGTCCCGACCCTGTTGTGGCGTCACACGTCGTCGCGCGCGGCGGTGAGCAGCGCGGCCGCGGCGCCCTCCCCCTTCGAGCGCCGCGGGGCGACTGCGGCCGCCGCCGCCAGCGCGTCGGCCGCGCGGCGCGCCGCCAGCGCGTGCGGCACCAGGCCGGCCACCGCGCGCAGCCGCGTCGCCGCCGCCTCGCCCGCGCGGTAGAACACCACCTGCCGCTCCGAGCTCTCCACCTCTTTGATCACACGCGCCAGCACCTGTAATAATATTAACATACAAAAAGTAACATTGAATTTAGAATTCCAGATATAGTTAAATACCTGTCCTGTAGGGTAAATAATGAATAGGTTTCTGTAGGAGTACCTGCATGGCGGTGTAGTCGATGTACGCGAGCGCGGCGCAGTCCACGAGCACGGCGGGCGCGGCGGGCGCGGCGGCGGCGGCGCGCTGCACGGCGGCCGCGACGCGCTCCGCGTTGACGTACGCCAGCACGCGGCCAACGCGCACCACGGCCGCGCCCGCCGCGCCCGGCGCCGCGTGCAGCGTGGGCGCGCGCAGCAGCGCCGCCAGCAGCGCGGCCAGCGACGCCAGCACGCCGCCCAACACGGCCGCCTCCACGCCCACAGCCACGCCCGCCGCCCACGTGGCGCCCGCCAGCAGCGCCTCGCGCCGCGACTCGCGCCACAGCCGCGCGATCGTGCCGAAGTCGATCTGCGGGGTGAAAACAATACTAATGTTCCAGGCCAGTCGTGACTTGTAGGTATATTGGATATATGTAGGTGGTATGCTTAAATGCATTTCCCGACAAAAAAAAAGGCTAGTCGTAACTTTTTTGAGTGAGAGATTTGTTTCATATCAAGTGATCCCATTTAATAGTGGACATGCTGAGGTCAATCAGCAAGCAATTTCGCAGAACGTCGCCATATTAGGAAAAAGTAGAAATCAAAACAGTCTTTGAGATAAACAGATAATAGGTATATTTATATCTATGAAAAGAAACAAGCCCCACCATAAATATGACAGCACAGACGAGCACGGAGGACAGACACGCCTTCGGGATGAAGTAGAAGTACTGCGTGAGGTAGTTCAGCGCCAACAGTGTGATGATGCCTGAAATTGTTCAATAAAGCTTACATTTTAATTTGAATGATTTATAAAAGAAAAAAACTGAAGTCAGTAATCTATCTAATATATAAAATTTTCGTCTCAAAGCGTTTGTAACAAAACTCCGCCGAAACGGCTTGACCGATTCTTATGAAATTATGTGTGTATATTTAGTAGGTCTGAGAATAGGACGTAAATTATCTTCATATCCTTAAGTGATAAGGATGTGAATCCATATAATATTATCAAATTTTATGGTAAAAATATAAATCGAAATTATGATTTTCGTGCTGGGATTGCAATCTCTAGATAAATATGATTATCAAACTAAAGCGATGTGTAGGTCTGTGGGACGTGTGGGGCGTGTGGGACGTGTGGGGTGTGTGGGACGTGTGGGACGTGTGGGGTGTGTGGGGTGTGTGGGACGTGTGGGGTGTGTGGGGCGTGTGGGGTGTGTGGGACGTGTGGGACGTGTGGGGTGTGTGGGGCGTGTGGGGCGTGGGCGCGCACCGGAGTAGAGGCCGGCGGCGGGCGTGCGCACGCCGGACGCGTGCGAGACGGCGGAGCGCGTGAAGGCGCCGCAGGTGGGCATGGCGCGCACAAGCGCCGCCGCCGCGTTGCACACGCCCAGCGTCACCATCTCCTGCGTGGCGTCCACGCGCCCGCCGTGGCCTGCGCACAGCGACACACACTCGTATACATTACACTCCATACGGACAATTCTGTTTAAATATTTTTAAATTAGTCGGCGAGAATAATGAGCACGAACTATGTATTTTTGACAAAACGAGGAGATTAGATTGTGTTTAGTTGATGCTTGTTAAAGTACTTTCTTTAGTTTAAATGTAACGTTTAATGTGAGGGTTCTTGCTCTTTGATAATAGATGGCGATGGTAGTCAATTAAATCGCGCTACCGTTTGGTTATTATAAATATCATTATATGGAAGATTATTTTAATTAATTATATCTGTTAGACTTTTTTGAACGTTTTTGAACTTTTTTAATTTATATATCATTAGATTAGACTACTATAGCTATAGTTTTTAGCATAGACAAAAATGTATTAAGTACGTCGTGTGCTCGCTATTTGTGCCAATCGCTATAAAGATAATAAATTATTCACAAAGTCATAAGAACACAAAATAATATATGGAATGTTCAAAAATAATAGAGGAAAATTGAAGGGGGACTAGTGTCTCACTGAAGGCCTTGGCGATGGCGATGTTGGCGAGCACCATGACGAGCGGCAGCAGCGCCAGGCCCGGCCCGAGGCGCGCCACCATGTCCGTGAAGCCCAGCGTCTGGTTGTTCATCACCACGCTGAAGGGCGGCAGCCCGAACTTGGGCAGGCCCGGCTCCACCTTGCCTGCACACCATGGGGAATGAGTTTGTTTATTAAAATAACCATGGACTTACAGTTCGATTCTGCGATCATCATATATTATTTTAAAAATAGATATCGAAAAAAAGGATGGCTAAAAAAGTATATTAGTTATAAATCGAAGTACACATTTGCCTATTCGCAATATTTAATAAAGAATTTGAATACCTCAATAAAAAATATGAAATATATATAATGAAAGTAATTTCCTCCTGACCGAATACTGCCTCAACAGCCAATGTTACTGACACTAGCGATCTGCGCAGGAGATATTACAGTGCGAGCACATGCTCTCTGACACACAAATGACGAAGGTGTTACACGCATACTTTCTAACTTCGAGGTGTTACTGAGGATTTATTGTCAGTTTATATTCACCCAGTTTATATACCAAATGATTATATTCACTTGGCCCGACTGGAGACTCGAACCCAAAACCCTTGGATTTGTAATCATAATATTAGTGAATGAAGCAAAATAATAACCAATGAAGCAGTGAAAATCTATCCATAAACTATATATGTTACCAGAAAGTTTGAACAATGGCTGTGCGGGGTCGTGCACGCAGTAGGCGACGGCCGACGCGCCGAACACCACGAGCGCGTTGCGCGCGATCGAGATCAGCCACAGCGTCTTCTTCAACCTGTAGCGCTTCGGGTTCACTTTCACATCTTTTAATTTCTGTAAGAACATTAAATAGTAGATACATTTAAAATGTTATCAATATGTCAATGATAAGAATCACAACAAATTGAATTACTTGCGACTTGCCCTCGATTCGCTGCATCTTTAGGTAGCTACCTATAGTTTAAGTGTTGCACTATTTAATAGTCTGTCTGTGTATTTAATTTCATCTAAATGGTTTCAGTCGTTTCAGCGTAAAGGACACACACACACATACACACACACACACACACACATACAAATTTTCGCATTTATAATAAGCACATACAAACATTTTGAAACAATAGCAATGAGACATCTAAAATATTGTATATTGTTGGTTTCAAGTTTCAACGTGATGAGGGCATGAATGAATCGAATGAAGAGCTGACCCTCAAGAGCAAGAGCAGGGTGCAGCAGACGGCGGCGAGCGCGCAGTCGGCGGGCCGCACGAGGCGCCAGCGCTGCGCGATCAGCCACAGGTTCTCCGCCGGAGACTCCGCCACGAAGCTCAGCCCCAGCAGCCCCTTCAGCTGCGCGATCACGATGATCATCGCCGTCGCCGACGTGAACCCGCTCGTCACCGACGGCGAGATCAGGTCCACCAGGAAACCTATCCGGTACGATTACAAATAAAAGTTATGCTTCGATGTAACTTTAAAAAAAAATATTAATTAAATCACGCTAATTTAAAATGTATGTAAGGATTAAATTTAATAATTCTAATATGTTCGGAATATTTACGACTTTAGATAATAATTAATGACCCCACCTGACTTGTTAGCGAACGTTAATCACGACGTAACGCTATCCAAGCATAACTTCCCTGTAAACCATCTATAACCTATCGCTGATACTATTAGGCAGGTTTCGTCTATATTGAATGCACGGCGTCTAAGCTACCTACATATGAAGTTGTCAAAAAAACCAGTCATTTCATAATTTTATTACAGTTTCAAAGTTAATAGCATGGAAGTTGGCCGACGATATCGGCACAAGGCCGCTGTCATCTTCAATTTAGACAATCTGAATAAGGTAAATATTTAGAGAGCTTTTGTTAAAAATCTTGAGCAATTATGTGTTGAAATAAAATGATACGTTATCTGTTTGTTTATATTATAAATCTTATGAATGGCAGGGCGGGCGTGTTTGCGTTGGGAAACCAGTCTCAGATTTGTTATGTACATGTTATTTCATTGAGAAAAGTAAACGAGCGACACTCATGTCACATACTGACCAAGTCTAAGCAGTCCCATGAGCAGCACGATGCAGCCGGAGAGGAAGGTGAGCAGCACGACGAAGTCTATGGGCAAGTCGCGGCACGTGTGCAGCGTCAACAGGGCCATCAGGCTCGTGGGCCCGATCGATACCTCCTTCACCGTGCCCAGCACCACATACAGCATGGTGCCTGGCGACCACGAGTTGGGATATAATTTGTTCTCTTAATGTACAATTCTACTTAGTAATAGATATTAATAATAAAATTATTGATCCTCGAGAAGAATTCTTTTTAAAAATCACGGAGATTTTTTTGAATAATAAAGTGATAAGGTTTCTGCAACATAGTACATAGTATAAATGTGTGTGTGCCTTTATTATTACTCGCCTGGTATCCTTTGCGAGTGTTGAATTAATAAAAGGAAAGTAAGCCTTGGTTGATATTACGTATTATTTTTAACTTAACTAAAAGTGATATAAATAAATATTTATATTGTTCACACATATAATACCTATCTATGTATGTATAAATTATCATAAAATGTGGTGTGTATAAATTATCATAAAATTGTACAGAAGACATGTCTTTAAATATATATTTTTTTATTATTCATTACTGAAACAACGTTTCTTAGATACGAATAGGTATATATGTTTGCGCGCAAGTCGTGGATTATTTTGACTTCTTATAATCTTCTGAACTATGTAATTAAATAACACACCGTAAGAGCAATTTTTATCTCTATTAAGTACTTGTGATGATGAAATAATTAATTTACACAGAATTAATATTCTGTTGTTCAAATAAACAGCTATGCATTGCTTAGTCCAAAATTTAAAAAATATAAATTAAAAAATATATCTGCTAAAATAAAAAAAGTTAGATAACATTGGTATTGCAGAATTTTTCGGTAACATTTAAAGGCCGAAATATTTTTTTTAAAAGGTTTTATTTAGCTTGCCCTGTTTGTTCGATCGAATTTAGTAATTGAAATTTTACGCCTTTCCTGTTTACAGATTGATTTGATATTTGGTACGCACCTATAGTTCTGATGACAATAAAGTTCAATATTAAAAAAAAATCAAAACCCATATGGCCGCCAACAAAATGGCCCAACGAAAATCTTTTCATATCCCCCACAATATGTAAGGTGGGTTTAAAGAGTTAAGAATTTTTTTGTGTTTAAAATAGAAAAAAAAAACTTAAAAATAAACTAAGTTAAACGGTTTTTATTGAAAAGAAATATAATAATGATGTAGACAAAGTACTAAAAACTAAAAAATTTTTTGATAGGTATATATATAGGACTAGATATTATATAGGACTTATCTAATTATTTTCAGTTGTTAGGACTTAATCACACTTGGTACCAAATCACAGGTCATCACACCACTCCCCTCATCAATCTAGGGCATTGATCAGAGTCAGAAATAAAATCGTGGGGCGGGTGAAATTTCTATCAACCGCTCATATTATTAATATATTTTTTATCATATCATACCTGCAAATAATTTACATATTTACTTAGGTGTTTTGTTGTTGTGAGACTTCTGTTTCTAAAGGGGCTAGCTCTTAATTTTTTGGAGATTTATATATACATATTTATTTTATTTATATTTTTTATGTAGGATTTGTATTTTTATCCTGAAAATTGATAGCGTTTTGCCCGTGAAAGTGGAAGATCATTTTATAAACATTGTTATCTATATACCTACTATTGCGTCAAGTTTGATCAAAAGTTACAAGATTATTTACTTACCACTATTACTAATGACAATACATTATTTAGTATAAACATTATCCTGAAAATCGAAAGAGATTTCTTCTGGGAAAATGGTAAATATTTTTTCAAAACTTTAAACAAAATAGCATTATTACATTTAATCACTTCACATTCGAAAAACAGTTTATAATATCTATTATTTTAAAAAATCCGCGGCATATTCCTATACTAGTAGCATTAAGACTAAAGACGCACCTTCGGTATGTATGGGGTTGCGTCCGTAGGGGTGAATGGTTTAGGAACACATAAACGATAACATGCAAAGAAAAAATCATTTTGATTCATAGACTAGGCTACTCGACGCCCTTGTTTGGTCTATATAAACAAACAGAAGCTAATAAAACATATACTTTTTCAGGTCTAAGAAGCTGCACATCGTCGTTCTACAGTTAATGTAGCACACGCTAACAAGCGATTCACTCAGCCGATGTGCTAGAAAATGCTTTCGCACCACTCTCTGATGAAGACTACGAGCTGACCATAAAGTGTGTCAGGTCCTTACTGGGTCTAGACTTCGAAGCCGAAGCAATGAGACCCGATGCCAGTGTTCGCTGCGTTCACTAAATAGCATCAGATCACCGTCTAGGCCACTCGCGACGGATACACAGGTAACTTAGGTGGCTGGTAGTGAATGTAAACGATTTACAACATATTATAGTTATTGGTAGACTTGTACAGATTGACTATTTGAGTGAAACTTCTTTAGAATTGTTGTGACTTAAAACTCGATTAAACGGTAATGCAACACTCAAAATAGATAAACACATAAATATATAGGATTAAGCCGGCGAAAGAATGAGATAGAATACATTGCCATGTTGCCATAGTAACCGTTGTTATTGTCTCACAAATAATATTATATTGTATTATTATTTCCGCAGATATAAATGTATGATTGTAATATGCCTAATATGTCTTATTTAATTATTTGAGATAGAATACTGTACGCATGAAGTGAAAAATAATAAAATTAATTACTGAATAATAAAGGAATGTATATTTATGTCAAATAAAATATAAATTAACTTTAAAATTTTGTAAAAAAATATAAAAAAAAATTAAACTTATAATTATCCTACTCCTGATACTCTATATTCATCTCATTCTCTCTTAGGTTACTTTTCTTCTGAAGTTTAACTTCTACCGTGTGTGAATTGCAAACATACGCATTTTTTTAGTTTTATTTAACAATTACTTATCCTAAATTCCTTTAAAACATATAATTTGTGTAAATTACAAATATTTATATAATCGCCTTTTATAGATCTGTATTTTGATACTCCACTCGATTCATTCGAATGATTTTTTTAAGACACAAATTGGCGCCTAGGATCCGCCATTTTAATTTTAAATTATATCTTTATACTCTACGACACTTGCGATATTAAGACGAATCGAATAACGTCTGAATCATCAAAATCGGTTAAGTCGTTTAGTAATTACGAGGGAACATAGGATTGGACATACATACATACAGGTCAAACACACAACCCTCCTTTGGACTTCGCTGCAGTCGCGTAATAATATTCAAATTACTATTACCATCCCAGAAATATCATAAGTTATTTCTATAAGATGAATTAATATAGTTAGTAAGATCATTCAAATGAATATTTTAGACTCTATCGGTTTAAAATCATCTAAGAGTGTTATTAAAATATATCAAATTATTTATTACACTGCCTTGAGAGACTTACTTAAAATTACAAATGCAAAAAGACAGGTCTTTAATGAAAATACTTAGCCATTGAATGCCTTGACATGTCTGTACGATTTTAAATTCATCATATTCGCCTTATCTTATTCGACCGTCAGTTTGGTAAGTATCTCGGCGACGGAGGTCGTGGGTTGGAATCCAATTCAGCACAAATGTTTATAATTTATATTATACAAGTATTTAGCATACTATAATAAATACCTAGTTATTGGAGAGTTATTTCTACAACGACTTCAAAAAGGATAAGGTACTTCCTTAATTCATCTGTATGTTTATGTGACTTCTTTTTAGAAATAAATAATGAAAATTATTATTATATGTACGTGTTGTGTGCGTGTGTATAAATCTATTTTTATATTTTTACAATTGTTTTTCAATGAATAGGTCTCACACCGCATGGTTGGTCTCATATAAATTAAAAAAAAAACCATTCTTAAGGTTGTAATAATTGTTTTTCTCTGATTTTAAGTCAGTGTATCTTTTTTTGTTAAAAATAATGTTCTTTATTAACTTATATAATTACATATTATTAAAGAGACGTAACATACGCGACGCGACGGTAAGTTTGTGCGGCGTTCTATTTAGTGGTTACGTCCGCCAACGTTATATACTATATCGCCTTCGACAATCGGCACAAAGTTATTTTTTAATAAATAGATTTAATTTAATTTTTCATTCACCGTTTTGTTGTACTTTGCTTATATTATTTTTATTCCCTATATATAATTATATTAAGTAAATGTATTTAAACTGTGAATTATAATAGTAGATAATTGCATATTTTTACTATAAAATAACTAGTCAGTTAGCTAGTTAGTTGCCAGCCGGGATCTCACTTCGCTCAGGTGTGTTCTTAGGTCATAGTCATCTGACAGTAGCCTATGTGTTACTTTGTGTGTTTTTACCCAAATCCGTCCAGCACTTTTAGCGTGAACACACACACACACACACAATCTCTAAGAAAATACTTGTAATTTCCAGGACAAAAGTATTCTATCACTTTGTCAATAGATACTGACCGAACATGCTATCAGTTGAAAGTAATATGTCGATAAAATCGTTTTGGACATTAGCAGAAAACAACTACAATAGACGGGCATATGTGTACCTCCGTGCAAATAAATATCATATTACCTACAGTTCAAATGTCTGGTGAAATTACATTAAACAATTAAAAGTGAAAACGTAAAACTTCAAAACGATATCGAGTTAAACGGATTTTCGAACAGCGATTACGTCGGTATTATATTGAAAGTAATTAATGTATACAGTAACATAAATTGTTGTTTGTGTCAATGTAATGTTGTTTATAAAACAATACTCACCGACGAAGGCGGAGTAGAGGCCGTACTGCACGGGCAGGTTGGCGAGCGAGGCGTAGGCGATGCTCTGCGGCACCAGCGTGAGGCCCAGCGTGACGCCCGCCACGGCGTCGGCGGCGGCGGCGGCGCGCGAGTAGCGCGGCGCCCAGCGCAGCACCGGCAGCCGCGCGCGCAGCCGCCGCCGCCACGCGCCGCGCCGCGGCGCCAGCGGCTGCAGCCGCTCCGGCTCCTCGGCTCCGGCGGACATGCCCGCGCGTGTGTCGGTCGGTGCGAGGCGCATGCGTACGCGCGCCGAGCGGAGTGTCGCAGGACTACCGCGATGGCACTCTCTCCGCCGCTCTCGGTACTAACGCTGCTTAAACACTCGCTGATAAAACGCGACCTTTAGTCCTTGAGCTTCATGTTTGCCCACTGATAAGCACCGCATTCAGATGCTGGATCACTCGGTGTCGTCACTCTGCACCGGCGAGTACTGTGTGCGAGACGGCGCAGTGTACGATATTATTCTACTTCATTATGTGTTTGTATAATCCGATGACTCTCAATATCGTTAGCTTAGAACGCTACCGCCGAACACCTATTATGTTGTAGATATTGTGCCATCTTCATTAAACATAATGAGTTCCAATAAGTATATCTATAAATTAGGACTGTTGCAAAATTTTATATTTATAACATATTTAAATTTTATTTGATATTTCACAAGCACGTTCAAATTTGCTCCATAGTCAATTGGTTAAAATTGAATCTCTATAATTTCGTCATGCCCACGACTAAGTATATAGGTATAGGTGGGTATGGAACAGTCTGCGATTCTGTTTCTCCTCTCAACATGCCTTTTAATTAATTACAAGTAACTTTTAAAATCCCTCAAGATTTTTATATTTATAGCGACTTACTCTCATTTCTGTCAAACGTGCCCCTTGGTACTTAAAATTAGCCTATATACATATGTACGTATAACTCAGGTTAAAGTCTATCCGTGTACAATATTTTATCCAAATCGGTCCAGCCGTTTCAGCAAGAACGTATAACAAACATACACAGTTACACACATACAAACTTTCACATATTTTATAATAGTACACGATTAAAATAATATTACGTATCTAAATACCTTATTATTTAGGTCATTATATATCAACACCATTTAGGGCCTATTTAATTGTTAAATATAAATCACGACAATATCAAGTGATCCAGATCTCACGGCGCGCGTCGATTAAGTCACTCGGCTGATTTAATTGTTACAATAATATGAAAAATCGTAAACATTCACTTTCAAAGAAAAAAACAGGTTAAATATAAAAGGGCGACCTACGTCCTGCGGTAACAGAAAATATAAGTACATGGTTTTTACTTTTTATTTTCTCGTTAATTTGTTGATCATGAGTACATCGCGCAGGTTGCAGCCACAACGGGAATCAGATATTTTGGTCGAATGAATGTGAACGAGTAGGTCCCTAACAGGTTCAGAGTTACGGCAAATAGCGATGTTTCCAGTAAACCTTCATAAATTTTGAAAAGTTGTCTTTCTTCTAAGAAATTTTAAGTTCAAATTTTTTAATTGTATTTGTAATAAAGCTTATCTAGTGCAGATTTTTCTGTAAGCCTTTTTAAGACCCAAAATTTTCGGGTAAATTGTTTTGATGTATCTCTTTATGTTTAGCCAGCGTTAGCCATGTAAATTTCTAAGGACGACTCGAAAGAACCCGTTATTTCCCTATCTTTATTCCCGAGGGAAAAAAGATGTTTCTGCTGTAAAAGGCATCCTTAATATTAATCCGAGTAATAAGTACACAAAAGGTTGAAATCGGTTCAGTACTTTTTGCGTGAAACCGCATACACAAATAGACTTACTGACCAAATTTTTGTGTACACTATACGTTACAGTCATTGTTTGAAAGAAGTATTTCATGTACAGAGCTCGCTAAGTTCCTGTTTTATTATATGTACATTTCAGCCTCTGAACCCCCAAAAATTTAACTTTAGATCCGCGGCTGCGTAAGCGATTCTGCGACGTTTGGGTTTTTGTGGGTAGTAATGGTTTTTATAGCCTGTATGTATGTGTCTGTGTGTGGAGGGTAAATGTATTACACAATGTTAAAATAAGGTAATTCTACGTCCCCATCGCTCCTGGTGTATGTAACATAATACTGGTGTAGCAGTGGTACCAGTGAGTCACCGTATAACCTATTTATTACCTGCAGGTATTTCTGGTATGCGATATGCATTTCCCAAAGATAAAAATAAACAAAAAGACTATAATGTTATAATAACCGCCGAGGAAGTAAATAAAAACAACAATCTTGCAATAGAACACCATAGATTTATTACAACCAATAACCAAAATAGCCTACAAACAGTAGTACGCTGCGTACAGCTATATCACACGTAAATGCGCCATGTGTGGTCCATCGTAACAAATATATATTATAAAATTTCCAGTATATCATAAGCTCAGGTACTTACAATTAGACTTTCATGTGATACATGTACATTGTACGTCGGACAAGTGTCCTCGAAGTGGGAGACATTGTCGAACAGTGCCGAAACTGACGAGAGTTATTAAAATAGTCAACAAAAACTTACAAGAATCTATACAATAAAAGATAACTAGGTTCCTCGACCGCCGTCCGCCGCCGCCTAGCTGGCCACGCTCGCCACCTTCTGCATGATGATGTCGATCTGCTCGTCCACGCGCGGGCTCGTGCCGCTGGACAAATACACAAATACATTCAACTTGCTTAGATTTACGCGAATATTTGGCATTTTAAATAAAACTCTTTTCAGATTTTTTGTGGATTTATTTAGATTTTTGGTTCCCGATGTTTTGAATGCTTTACAGCAATTATGGTCACGGGTAAAATTATTCTCTACATCTTCTACAATTAATCTATGGTCTTTCCGGTGACCATGATCGCTGTAAAGCATTCGAAACGGTGGAGAACCAAAAATCAAAATAAATCCGCAAAAAATCCGAAAAGATAGTTTTACTTAAAATACAAAAATACAAACAATTTGTACATTAAAGTTATAAATATAAAAATTAATATGAATTACAAGTTGTACGAATACATTAAGTAATATATTTTAAAATATTTTTTTAATAATTATAATAATTTGTTTGGGAGATATGATGTAAACTTTAACAATGAATAATTTAAAGCGCGGTCTCGATGAAGGTAGACATTGCTCTACTTATTGGCGAAATTATAACCAAATTCGATGCAATTACGTCATATCATTAAACCACTGCATTTTTAATCACACTTTAAATATGGAAGTGACCCAATTTCGCTGTGAAAAAAAAACATAAAGACCGCAACTATAGTATTAATGAAGGCAAAAGTAGTATGTGTGATGTAACACGTTTTACGATAGTTGGTCAATTAACACCTCCAGGTAAATTTCTAAGAAATTAATGAAATTTCTAAGAAATCTATTGTTAACTGACACGCCGGCGTGTCCGCAGCCGTGGAGGGATTAAGACATACCGGAAGGCGGCGGGGTCGGGCCCCACCATGGCCACGAGCTGCGGCACCTCCTGCGAGTGGTGCACGAGGCGCGCCAGCGCCGCCAGCGCGCGCCACAGCGCCTCCTCGGGCGGCGCCCACGCCACCAGCTGCAGCGCCGCCATGCACAGCTCCACGCACACCTCGTCGAACATCTACCGCCGCCGACGGTCGAGCCGGTACATGCCAGGACAAATAACACCCGAGTGATTTATGACGTCTAGGGTGGGTGGCCAACCTTACTGAAATTAGTCATGTGCGCAGGATATATTGTTGAGTGCACAAGTGCTCTAACTATTTCCTTTTGTCTCGTATTTCGGTGGAACGATAATATGGCTTTTAATGTTTCTCTGTTAGTGAAAATTTCTTAACAGAAACTAAACAATTATACTCGGCCCAATCCAGGACTCGAACCTGGAACCTCCAGATCTGCAGCTGTACATGTTAGCCACTAGATATGCATATTATGTATATAGACTATGTAACGCAGCTTAACTCTGAAATGCTACACATATACGTCAGTAGTGTCATCCAAAACACAACGAACAAACATTACGATTAATCAAAATATGCTATGTGGAGGATTGAGCCCAGATTTGAGAGCAGTCCTCAATAAAAACTAAAAACCAAAAAATCTAGGATAGATACAAAGTTCCGAACGTTATTTACGAAATTTTCTAAACATACAAATTTCGTGAACCTAACATTCAAAATTCCTTGCGACAAAATGTTAGGTATATGTATTTTCAGAAAACTATGAAGCGCATACATCCTTTTGAGTGAAGGCTACGAGTATAGTATGTATATATAGCGTATATTCGAAAATTATTTTGCCTTCATTTTGTAAAAAATATATAATTTGCAAGTGACGCGGCGCGGGCGCTTTTTTACCGGCGGAACCTGTTTAGATCAATGACCGACTGAATTATATCATTAATGACTTGTATTATTTTTAATTTTATATAATCGATTTTATATTATATGATACATATTAGAAAAAAATTGTGTTTTTGTTCCGGTAGGATCACATCCTGTTGATTTATTTATATTAAATCGAAACATATCGTTAAATTTTAATGTTTAATGAATTAATCTATTTACAACCATACATTGTATTTTCATAAGGCCTATAACAATCTAATAGGTAGGTACATCTGATAAACGAATCGTAAAACCGCATAAACCTCTATTGGGGTTTTGGGCTTCGCCGCAGTAAGGTGAAAATAAACCGTCAGTTACTGTCTTAAAAACCAATACCAAAATGATCGAAATGTAACAATGTGTCATAACTTATATTTAATTATGAAATTAAGAAGTAAAAGTAGTAACAGTAACAAAACGTTTCAGTTTCGTAAATGCCTCAATCATTGCCAGCGCGGTGGCCTTTAGTTTTAAATTATCTTTGGGCAAATTGAGCTGTGTCCATACACTCAAGTATACACATATATATACCTAGTAGATTCATATTGTAAGGTCGTCTCCCGGCCACTCCACTTATACGACAAGCTAGAGGTCTTTATGAACAGTTCGCACTGTGCGTGTACTTTTACTTTTGCATGATACTTACATAAGGAAATGTTAAGCTAATAAACGTAAGCTAAAATTAAAGTATTTCTTGTAAAAAAATTGTATCAAAGATATTATTGAACTAAAGTAAATTAATACAATATATATTATGTACCTAATAACGCCTACATATCTATCATATTGACCGACTATGTATATAGATGTACGTATTCAGCCCTCGTACGTAGTCCGATAAGTGAGGGTTGGCGGACTTTACGTCATTTGAAAATTAGTCAGAGTTATGCAGGGCCAGGTTTCCTTAATATGTTTCGTCTTCTTAAGACGGCACCGATAATTATGTTGATAATTATGCGAGATGATCAGAGTTGCGTGACCCGGGGTTTAAACCCGTACGCTTGGGGTTACCGAGTTACCGAGCGCGTTACCACTGAGCTATTGCTGCATTGACTAATCTAGACTAGAAGTTTTTTTATTAGTCTCAATATTAAATATTCGTATTTTAACGAGAATTTCATACCAATGTTTGTCAAATATTCTACTCTTAATATAGGGTTAGAGGAGGAGAACAGCTTAACTGATTTTTACGATTTATTGGCGGGTGAGAAGATACAGGCTACATGCGAGCAGCGAGCGGAACCACGCGCGTGTACTCTTATTGATTTGTAAAAATATTTCTTATGAAAATCCCAACTGAAGCGTCGCCTCCATTCACAATTGCCACCCACATATATGTATTGATAATACTTTCTATTTCTTTCTATTCTACTTTAGTTTATGCAAATATTTGACATTTTAAATAAAATCCACGATAAAATCCGAAAAGATACTTAGCTGTATTTAACGCATATATTGATGAATATATTATTCAAAATACAAAATCTAAAATATTTATAAAACTGCTTTAATTTACACTTATTTGTAACATAAAACCATTATGGGATTGATATAATATACTTTTATAACGTTTTTGTCGTGGATATATATTTTCCAAGTACAACGACATGTTGTCTAAGTCCCCAGGTCAGGGATTCCACGTCACTAATAAGGCCTTGACAGATGTGCAGGAGGATAATATGAGTTTATCTTAATTCCATAGTAATAATAAGTAGATAAACTGTGACAACGAGGCGGTGTGAGGTGTCGACGTATCACGTAGCGATTGAACGGTGCCATAAAGATACGCGAACAAACATCGTTCAGATGACAATATTTGCACCTCTAACACTATCAACTCAATCAAGTATACAATAAGCAAAAATAACTGGAGCTACCTTGGATAGATATATATCTAAGTATCAAAAATAGAATTAATAGTGATATGAAAATTCCCACAACATACTCGTAGATACTAATAGGGATTACAGAATACATTGTGTCTTTCTCTATGTGATCATTTAATGTGCAGTGTGGACTACCGCTTATTTTTTTATTCCTTAGTATTTTAATATCTATACATATAATAAAATTCTAACTCAATTGAATATGTACATTAAATATATTTTGGAAAATCTTATTAAAATAGTTCTTATTATCGATACAGAAACCGAATCTAGAGTCTTTAGAATTTTTGTCTGTTTGTCTGGGAACGCATCACGATAAATCCACTGGACAGATTTTGATGACATTTGGAATGATGATAGCTGGTTATCCGGGTAAATATATAGGATACATCTTATTGCGGGAAAATATCTCGTCCCTGAGAAATCTATATTAATCGTTAAAACGTAACAAGGGACGAACCCGAGCGGAGCGAGGGCGAGTGCAGTTGAGGCTACTTTTTATCCAGGTAGGTACGTTAAATATTTCCAATACAATATCGTCAAACTCATCTACTAGTACGTATAGGTACATATATTATATACAAAATGAATAAATATGTAAATAAATAATAAAAACAATCTTAATGAAAGCATTCAGCAATTTTTTATTATTTAGATTAACCTTTTTTCGCAATATTTTATCTTCATTTTTACTGCGATTCAATAAATAATATTATTGGCCCTTCTGACTTATTACGTGGTTTATGTTTTTTTTGTACTTTATTACAAGTGGTAAGAAACATTATAATAAATGTCGTAAACTGATTTAAACACTCATGTGAAACTGCACCTCGGTCGACACGCCGGCGACAACACGAGTCTGGAAATTCCTTATTTTATTGTCATAATTACTTACTCTCTTTTAAAACTTTATCTTTGCGAATATTACAGAAGTAATTTGCGCTGTCCGTGTCATTAAATGTTTGAATTTTATTAAAACTAACCAGTTCTGGTTTGAGTAATTTATATTTTTTCTACATTTTAACTTTTGTGATAATATATTTGCATATTACGAAGCATTTCCTTTAAAGGTATTTTGACGACAATAATATACGACATTATCTGCGCGTGCGTGCACGCACACACACACACACGCATTCTCACACACACGCGCTAGAGGACAAATATTTATGTACATCATAACTAGGAAATAATTTTGCGTATTAATTATTATCAATGTCACTTCAAAGGGATTATCAATATTTACATTTCCTTTAGGTAGTATCTAGTTGTTTGTTATTAGGATGTTTTTTCTTACTATATAATACCCGGTGGACCGAGTGGACAATCAAAACACAAGCATACATACATACGGTGAGCTTCATCCATACGAACTGTCACTGTCAGTTTCCCCTCGGCCAGCTAGCGCACGTGAGGCGGCGGAAGCATGGTACGAGTATAATGATGATGACGAATCAGAGTATCCACTACCGTACAGATAGAAATAGAAATGTTCGAGTCGGTGAGAAGCGGAAGATAATATAAATGAAGGTGTCGAAGAATCGTTTGATCAAAGGAACAAAAGGCCCACGAAGGAGGTTTACATCCTACACCCGGTGAAAATAACTTTGACAGGGGTGTTGAAATGAAATGTGTTCAGTGAGGGAGAGATGAGCGGTGATGGTTAGATAAGATGGTAGGAGCGGGGGTCACCTTGCCCTTGGCGGCGGCGCGCAGCGGCCGGCGCAGCGCCGCCAGCAGCCCCAGCCGCTGCAACCACACGCACTAACACACTTTGTTGTCACCCCCTCAAATAATAAATCTTTCAAACAACCAAAAAATGAATAGAAGTTAAATTTATTCAGAGCGATTGTAAAATTGTAAAGAAAAAATGTATACTACATAAAGTAAATCTTAATAAATATCTTAAGCAACGAGAAAATATTTGTTAAGATTTTCAAAAAAAAAGCCAACTTAATAAGTAACAATATTGTTAGACATTCACAATAGATTTATTGTAAGCAAGCTCCTCACTAATCGCCGTGCAAACAAACACACCAGCTATCAGCTCATGACGGACTGCTCTAAAAACATATAAATTAAAATAGTAGATAACACAAAAGTGTGCGCCGCCGTCTTCCGCAAGTGAACAAATATTTACCACGATTTATTAATAAATGGTTTTCCCTTTTTATAACATAACTAGCGACTTACCCCCGCTTCGCTCGCGCGCGTCCCCGTCAAGGTACGCGGATTTAGTTAACAATTTTATAGGTTTTAATATCTTTTCCCAAAACTCTTATTCTTTTTCTAAGAGAAAAGTAGCCTAAGTTACTTCTATAACATCAGCTATCTGCCAGTGAAAGTTCCGTTAAATAGGTTCAACCGTTTGGAGGATTAGCCGGAACAAACAGACAGGCAGACAAAAATTTAAAAATTGTTTTTTTTTTCTTATAAATATCATATACTTCCATATGCATTTTGTAAAAAGCTCTTATTTTGAAATTACAAACAGACACTAATATATTTGCATAGATGCTCTAATGAAGACATGTTAGACAGAACATTAGTGTGACAGTAGGTATATTGCAGGCGTACTTGCTGTCAGTATAATACAGTACAGAGTCTCATTCTCTACCTGAGCAAGTAATGCAGTTATTAACATTGAAAATACATTTTGCAAATTAAATAGACATAAAAGCACTTAAACGTTTTCTAACAAAATTGATAATACATTATTTAGTTTTTTTTTCCTTTTTAGTACAAATCAGTTACAAGTTAAATTTTCCAGCACATTCCCAGGCGTATTCCCATGCACATTGCATTGTATAGAGCACACAAGTGTCATATTACCATATAATATTTTGTTTATTTCTGTCAGTACAACAGCGATGTACATATTATGTAGTGTGTTAAGTTTATGTTTAAGACTGTTTGATCTAATATAAAACTTTACAAAAACAAAAACAGAATGTTTAATATAAAGTCGCAATAAAAAATGAATTACTTCATTATCTTTTTAACAACTGACTCATCGCCGAAATCCTAGTTCGTCGTTTGTTTTTTATTTGTACATGGAATATATCTAATCCGAACTGTACACTCAAAGTCTGTATAGAAATATTTATGACACACGCTTGACGTGAAGTGCCAAACGCTGTCAACAGTTTCTTTATTCTCCATTCTACGCGACATTGGCGAAGTAAATTGTGCCCAAAGGCACTCCTAGAAGCCACAAACCTAAAGAATTGAATTGAATAAAACTATTTTTTAAGTTTATAAGTAATTTGCTTTCAAATGCGCTAATTGATTTTTCTTCCTTAATCAACGTTCAAGGAGTACACATAATAGTTGTGCGCAGCGTCTAGGCATTTCTACTTTAACTTAGCCAATGTCAAGTGTGTTTAGTTAGATGTGGACATTGATAATGTTTGTCATATCTTATAACAGCATAAATACATATTTTCCTAGACAAATATCGTAGCTTCAACCGTGTACGTGTCCGCAGGCGCGCGGCGCCGGCTGACGGACAGCTCTCACAGATAGCGCGCTGACACCGTAAAATAACATTTCATAATACCATTATGCTTGTTATAATAAAAATTATCACCGCAAATATGTTGTAATCTTGTGATAACATTGTAAAAGTAAAGCCTTGTCATGTATGAATTTGCAACTGAAATGACAAATCGGTAGTTTGTTCGTTAAAAAAATATCCGCATTTGACCAGTGCGCTAATTGTGAGTTTTCCTTATTTATTTCGAATGACTACTCGATCGCGTTAATCGAATACAGGTCATTTTCATCATACTTTGTAGATTTTATTGATTCATCGATCATATTCGTCAAACTATAAAACTTATAACGGGCTGTCAAGATTGGAAAGCGTCTCTCAATTTGGTATCAAGTAGTTAATTCTCTTAATCATTCGTAACATCCATACTAATTAATATTATAAATGTGAAAGTGTTTTTGTTTCTTTGTTTGTCCTTCTTTCACGGCGAAACGGAGTGATGGATTAGCGTGATTTTTAGTGTGGGGATAGTTGGAGGGCTGGAGAGTGACATAGGTTAGTTTTTACAGCGGGAGTTTACCCGACTCTCACGGGAAAAACACTTTATAATACAATCTAAAAAAATATCTTTAATCAGAATTACTTGAAAATAGGTATTAGTGCTCTTTAATAAAATTAAATTAAATACATGTTTTAGCATTTTTAAAAATTCATCCTATAAGCGGGTAAAATAGTGGATGAAAGTTTGTATGAAACTACTTTTACAGAGATTTTTTCGTAGTTTTAGCGCGAGCGAAGCCGCGGGTACTGCTAGTTAATCTATAAATATGTATAATAAAACAGAAATGTAGACCCCAAAACAATAATGATTAAAATATTGGTATGTTTAGCTGTATGTCTATGCGCGTTTCATGCAAAAAGTACTAAATCGATTTTAACTAAATTGTGTAATGATAACTTATTACTCCAGTTAACATTTAAGATACCTTTTATTACAGGAAAATCTTTCATTCCCTCGGGAAAACACAATAACTCTTTCTATCGAGTCGTCGTTAGAAATGTATATGGCTAACGTTGGCTAAACTTTAAGACATACATCAAAACAATGTGCCAGAAAATCGTAGTTCTTAAAAAGGCCTACAGAAAAGCCTATATATAACACATGTCTATCTTCTAAGGTACACTCGCTAAATCTATATTAATATTATAAAGAGGTAAAGTTTGTGAGTTAGTGACGTTGTGACGTTGTAGCGAGTAATCTCTGGATCTACTGAACCGATTTAGATGAAATTTGGTAAGAAGATAGTTTGAGACTCTGGAAAGGATATAGGATTTTATCCTGGAAATCATCCCTTAGGGAGGTGAAAATGGGGATGAAAATTTGTATTGGGAAGAAAGCTAGGGACGAACCCGAGCGAAGTGAGGGTGAGTCGCTAGTAAGAAATGAGACTATGCTCACGTCACGTCGTAGCTGTAGGTATATTTATAATATGGTCCTTTAAGAATATGGTTAAATATTTTAAAAGAGCTTTAGTTAGATTTTCATTATGTGATAATATTTAATATTTTAACTTTGTCGGTTATTGTGAATACTTATTATTGTTAATTACCGATTTAAAGTAATTTAATAAAATTGGTTCTTTACGTCAAGAGAGAAAGTTATAGTCTCTTTTTATTGCTATATGGCGTGGTTTACCATAATACCATATACCTAAATCGGCGTTAACGCGATCGAGTAGGTTAAAAAGCTCACACTAAAGACACAGATCTTTTAAATAAAATTATCTTTTCGGATTTTTTATCGGGGGACCATGATTGCTGTAAAGCATTCCAAACGTCGGGAACCCCAAAAATCGAAATAAACCCGCGAAAAAAAGGTTATATTGTTTTATTTGAAATGTCAAATATTCGTGTGAATCTAAGAAAGTACCACACAGATCTTTACAGATGTACCTAGGTACTATTAGTGTCTGACTCTATCTATCACGTTCTACACTAGAGTTGGCCGATTATTATCGTTATTTATATATACAAGTTAGCCGCAGGTAATGAAATTGGAGAAAAAACTGATTGAAATTCGATGTAAGAATGGTGCAGGTCAGTGTGTGTTTACAATTTATATTGGTATAATAATAATTTTAACGTTTTAAATTTAATTTTTATAAAAAAATTGTTAACTATCTACATACTTATTGTTACTATTTTGCGTTGCGTAGTTGTTTTACTGTAAAAGGTAAAAACAATATAACTGTTTTTTATAGTTTAATATTTAGCTTGTAATAAAACAAGAAAGAAAACATTAAACTTTTTTATAACTTTTTTAAGTATTACGTGATGTATGTATAGTTATCTTGGTCCGTTTCATTTTTTGTTAAATACTTTCATTTTATATTTTTTACATTTTATATAATATGTTCGATCGTAAGCTACATTATATTCAACGAAGGAGGTATGCGCGTTCTTGTGTGAGTGTGTGTGTGTGCGCGTGTGAGTAGGGAGCAGGTCGTGAGCGGATACAGACCACCGTCTTTACCTCCTTGGCGGCGATGTTGTAGAGCAGCGCGGTGCCGGCGTCGCGCAGCGCGGCGTCGGCGCTGAGCACGCAGTGCACGCACAGCTTGGTGGTGACGCGCAGGTTGCTGAGCGCGCGCCCGCCCGCCGTCCACTCGCTGATGTACAGCGGCCACTCCGACGCGGCGGCGTGCGCGAACACGTTGCACAGGAACTGCGCCGCCGCCAGCCGCTCCGCCGCCGACAGCTCCTCCACGCCGTGCGCGTACGCCAGCAGCGCGTGCGCGCGCCGGTCCTGGTGCAGCAGCAGCGCCGCGTCGTCGCGCCGCGCCGCCGCCGCCAGCGCGCGCAGCAGCGCCACGCGCGCCGCGCTGCCCACGCCCGCGTCCGTCAGCACGCGCCCTGCGTCCGCACGACGATAGCGATATTACAAAAATAATATCTAAGTATAATATATTCGAGGACCTTTTACGACCACTTTTGAATCGTCGATTTAGCATTTTAAATTAAAATTAAATGCAATTTCGTGACGAATCTATCACCGGCTCAGAAAACAAAAAGTTCATAAACGACTTTTTAAAAAAATAAAAAAAAAACAGGTATAGCTCTAAAATTTATTTAAAAACTCAAAAATATTAACTATAGCCTATTTTTATCCTGAATAAACATCAGGTTATCATGGAGTAGAACTATGTAAATAAGAAAAATATTGAGTTATATAGTACGAGGTCGCATACCGACGAAGGTAAGGAACTCGTCGCCCAGCACCCAGCTGCCCTCGCCCGCCACCAGGTACTGCTGCAGCTCGTCCAGGCTCTGGCGCTCCTCCGCCGACAGCTCCACGCCCTCCAGCGCCGCCACCAGCGCCTCGAACTCTACCGCGCCCTGGAAAAAACATTACCTGCTGCATTAGTATACAGCCAATGCTACAACTACATTTTCTTTTTATTTATGTTGAAGATTTTAATAATTTGGAATAGGAATAGATCATACTCGTAATATTTTTACGGATTTCTCATCATAATTTTTTTTATAAAAAAATAATCATCTCGTGTATCGATTAAAAGAGTATTTCTGCAAATTTACGTTCGGTTAGGGAACTTGAACGCAATCAACATTAAAGTACTTAAACATCTGCAAGTAAAACATAATATGAAACCCACACATTAAATATCACATTATAGCATGATTGCAGTTTAGACTTTCATCGCATGAATACAGTACTAATAGCGACCACCCACGTCGCGTTCTGTCCAAGTAATTCACCAATTTCTGAATAAACAATGAGCGATGCCGCGCGCCGCCGCGCCGAGCCCGCGCCCACGAGACGCTGGACATTTCTGGAAAGGGCCCAACGGGCGCTCACTCTGACACTTTCCAAGCCCATTAAAATATCACTCTCAACATTGCACTTGCATCATAATTAAAAATATGAAATGAGCTCATTCTACAGTATATACGACGCTCCATAAAATCTCGAAGTTTGTTGATGTAAACATATTCTGTTCGTCATATTTATTTGTGTGTATGTTATTTTATTAAAACTACTAAATTTTCCATACAACGGAATAATTACGTTTTAGGATATGGAAAAGAACAAAAATGTTTCAAAATTAAGATTCGCTCTTATTTATAATTATTTATAAATAGAGTTCCTCTTTATGGCTTTGTATGTGAAGTGTCGTGAACTCACATCAATATCGGTATAGATGATGGGCGGGTCGCGCGCGCGGCGGCGCTCGTCCGCGTCCGCCTCCGGGGCGCGCGAGCTGGGGCCCGCCAGCGCGCCGCTGCTCACCTCCACTGCTTCCACTGCTTCAACTGCCTCGGCCATGTCTGAGGACAGCCACCGCCATGTCAAATATATATGCTTTTAATTTAGCTTTCGTGGCCTGGACTGAATATTTGCCTAATTTTTATTTGCTCAAAATATTCCAGCTGTGCAATAAGCGCCGTTATCACGATTATAAGACGTACTCGTGTCACGACGCTTGCCACTGGTGTCGATAAATATAGAGTCCGACCATAATAAGTGTAATAAACGCAGTAAATATTAGGTACGTCTCAAAACAACAACGATATAGCATAGGTATCTACTGGTGAAATAGTTCCGATAATTTACTTTATTTGATTAATATTTACTAATAGTACCTAATATGGATAATGAGTATTTTATATATTTCATCCAAAACAGTAACACCTCAGGGAACTGCCATTAATTTTATGATGTTGATAGGTAAGTACCTACATCATAAAATTATACATAAGTATAAAAAAATATACATATATTTACAAAAAGTAAAAACCAATATAATCACAGCTGACATGATTAAGTTGACAATTTTGCGCAAGTGACTGACAAGCCTTTTTTTTTTGAAAGATAAAGCCTTTTACTCATTAAAGGCATAAAACACATTATACAAATATGTAATTCGATATGGATGGATATGGAGTTGATGATGAAACAATAAACATGCAAAGACGCAATACTATATAAAAAATAAGAAAAAGTCTTAATTTAAGTTATGCAACAAATATTTTATTGCTTAAAATGCAATAAAATTTTATTAATTGATTATGCCACTTGAAGCTCGACAAATGATTTTTTTTTGTGGATTAGTTTACAGCCCGAACATACAACATCGCCATCACTACCATTTCCTAATTTCAATCATTAAAAAAATTTAAATAAAAACTTTCATTTAAGACTAAAACCAAAACATATAGGCATTTTAAACAAATATCTAGGCACATTACATGATATTGCTATGATCGAGAAAAACAACGCTGTTTGTTTACATAGTGCTGGGTAAAAGATGTTAGAACATGAAACGCGAACGCGACGAAAATGTTATTATTTAATTTTATTGTATGAAAGGAATAACCGTATATTACACATAGTTTATAAATTCTGCCGCAGCCGTAGGCTCGGTAGGTACATATGAATAGTGTACATAATTGTGCAAATTTATCGCACATTATCTTTCTAATGTATGATGAAAGTTTTATTTTTACTTTTATAAAAAAATATTTCCGGTATCGAGTTCTAGATTTTCCGCTAAATTTTGACTATCCAGTTAGCAGGGAGTTGGATCAGGATTCCATTATAAACCCCCCCAACGTGCGTTCACCTTGTCGTGGTGGGGGGGCTCAGTAGCAGTAGCGAAGCTAAGAAACGCACACGGAGGTTGCCCACTTCGGTGGGCGGGGGGAGGTGGCCCTCTTCGGAGGGCGGTGTACCATGCGGGTTGCTCCTGGTACTTCTCTGATAGCAGAGTGGACTGTGGAGCAACCCCATGGTTGTGGTGGTCTGCTTCGGCGGACCTACCGTCAGGGCGTCGTAGTTGAATGCGTAAGCGATCCTGCGACGCCCCATTAAGACGGGGGAAGGTTTTGTTGGGTTTTAGTGGGTAGTACTGGCTGTATTACGCCGGTGAGTCCCACACGTCGTGCGTAAATGCATTTCTATCCAGTTAGCAGGGAGCTGGAGCAGGATTCCATTATAAAATTGATTGCATTGTACTTGACATCGGGTATTTTTACACAGAAGTGGTCCACGCGCGCTAAACAGTTATCGGCCGACGGTGCCGGCCGCATTTATCACGAGATATTTTAAGCCAGCCAGTAGTCACCTATCGACGCACGCACTATCTTGATCTTAATTGTTGTTTTTTTTTTGTGAATAATCTGATAATGCCCGTCTACTTTATTACTACGGTTAAATGAATTTTACTTTAAAAATACAATATGCACGTGATACAAAATCCAGCACAAAACACATCTCTGTATACACACCCAACAAAATAAATATGAATGTAAGCGATCTATTTCCAGATCACTGTATATAGAAGGGTCTGGAGTCACAACGGACGATCACAAATGGGTTATTCCGGTAGTTTGCGACGCACGTGGGGAGTTGTGCGGGGAGATACGTAGGTAGGTGTGTGCGCACGAGTGGGCACGGCGGCGGGAACGCCACCTGTCGGCCGCAGCCGGCGAGCACCTACCTGCTCCTCGGGGAACACGTCGGTGGTAGCACTGCTCCGGCGCGACTGCGGACCGCCCGCCCTGCCCTGGCGCGCCGCCAGCCCGCCCGCCCCGCCGCGCGCATTCGTACCGGAACCATATTTATAATACATTCCCCAAAGCTATACCCGAACTAAACTACCCGTGAACTGAGTCAATTCTAAATGTCCTGGATATAATAATGGAAAGTTTTTCTAACATGTGAATGATTCGCGAAGGAGGCGCGTGGCTTTGGTCGACCTATTTGAGGATCGTTCAACCGCGTTGGATATAATTTAATAATAACTAGACGAGGTCAATTGCACTGTCTAGTGTTACAAGTGTTTAGCGAATGATTCCCACCTCCCTGCTGCAACAGCAGCAAATATGACCTTAAATATGATAACTACTTCAGAGACATGCCTAACGCAACATATAAATATTGAACGCTTCATAGGGTTATCCTTGAGTCAAAAGGATACCGCATCCATAATCATAAATAATATTAATGTATCTTTCTGGCCGAAGCTTTAATGTTCCTTTTTTTGCAAAAGCAAAACATGAAAAATTAAATATTAAACTAAATAAAAATTGTCTGTCAATTGTGTTTCTGTCGATTATCACGAGAGGACGAGCGTTATCAGGAGTGGGCACTACTTTAAATTCACAAAAATATAAAAATCAATTAATTGACCAAAAATATTTGAAAATTTTATCTAAAGTTACTCTACTTAAAGGAAAAGAAATTGGCACTATTATTACTTAGTGCCAAAATCAACGATTAGGACCTAATCTAGAAAAAACGATAGGTATCTGTAGCATTGCGAATGGACGTTTTCATGATATTTTAGTATTTTTTAAATATGTATGATAGGTATAAAAGAATAAAGATAATTTTTTAATGTTTATATGAGAGAGAGAGAGAGAGAGAGAAAAAGTGCCTTGATGGTCTAGTGGCTAGCCCGGCCGCAGATCCATAGATCCAGGGATCGAGTCCCCGGTCGTCGAGCACCGAGCACGTATCGCGTTGGTCCTGCGCCTTAAACCTCACCGGTCGTATCGAGTAGTCGTCCCACGGAGTATGAGAGTGACAGGATAGTGTACTTCTGTTTGCGCATACACTTGTGCACGATAATATCTACCTCGCAGATGGCTAGCCTCAGTGAGATTGGTCGCTGTGACCGAAAGCGGTCAGGAGGACATTATGTTTAGATGGCACGCAGAAAGTAGAACTGTAACAGTCTTTGGCTATTACGATCATAAACAAATTATCTCACTAGAAAATATTTCATGTTTAGAAATTCTTTATACTAATTAAAGTTAAATAACTTGACAAAACATTTATTGAAAAATACGATATTTGACCAACAAAATAGTATTGTTATTCAATACTTTAAGCTTGAGTTTCTACTTTCTTTTTTTTATTAAGATTCACCAGTGGTAATTACAATATTACAGTAATATATAACTACTAGCATTGCCCGCGGCTCCACCCGCGTTCAGATGACAAAAAACCAAATTATTAGGATTTACATATTAGTATACTCTTACATTGCAGTTTTTGTATTTTTTTTAAATGAGATATTTTTCCGCGGTAAAAAGTATCCTATATGTTGACCCGGATAACCAGCTATCACCATACCAAATTACATCAAAATCCCTCCAGTGGTTTTTCTGTGATGCGGTAACAGACAGACAGACAGACAAAAATTCTAAAAACTATAGTTTCGGCCTCTGTATCGATAATAATGTTTATTTCAATAAGATTTTCCAAAAAATATTTAATGTACAGATTCGGCTTAGTTACAATTTTATTATATGTAAGTATATATGTTACAAAGTTCTTATTGCTCAGCAATTACATTTTACGGTGTATACAGTGTACGAGAATATGTGTTAAACAATTATATATAAAAATAACAATCCTTTCTTTTTTAATTTGAAAGGATCCTTAGCCATAATGCTAATGAAACAGTTATCATGTCGTCACATACTCGTACATCGGTCTTTATATGACAACTATTTTTCTCGGTGATTGTTCAACTAATCGTTATAGAATTGAATTTATATAAGGAAGGTTTATGAAAGTTAAGTTAACTATTAATGGAGTGATGTAGATATAAGAGGTTCGTATGAAATAAGAAAAATAATGTACATTTAGTTGCAACTTGCAAGGCGTTGCGCGCTCGGCGCCGACGCTCGTCACATCTTCAAATTACTAACTTGGCACGATATAATTAAAGCAAATCGCCCGCCCGGTCACCTGTCATCGATATTTATACAAACAATGCGAGCTATTTACTACTGTATTTCTATACATTCTAAACAATAACAGATCACGAATTTCATTTTTTTTTTGAAAATGACAATCGCATCTGAGTACACGTATCGTGTGAAACCGATGGATACATTTCATCAAATTATACAGTTACCTAATAAAGTTAATATTAAGATTTATACATCAAATTAACTTTCATGGTAGTAAAAAACTTTTTAACAAAAAATAAAAACCAACTTCCAGGCACTAAAATGTAAAAAATAACTAAACGGAGGTTTTCATTTCGAATAGATACCTAATCAGATATTTTCGAAGTCAACAAAAACTGCAATGTAAGAGTATACTAATATGTAAAGCCTGAGAATTTGGTTTTTGGTCACCTGAACGCGGGCGGAGCCGCGGGCAATGCTAGTTAGTAATATTGTGGTAGTAGTTTATTAGTTATAATTTTAATTCGACAAACCTAAAATTAATCTATTTACAAAGTAGGAGTTTGTTTATGAGACATAGGTTTAAAAATTGTTTTAATAAACGTTAAGTAGCATATTTTTATGAATAGCAGTGGAGTTATAGGGTCACGCTCGCTTTACAAACGGATACAAACGCACCTCTAATATTTTCATGTTCTTGTTCGCCACTCATTTTTTCACTACCTGCTTGCGTACTACTTGCTACTTATACTTACAGCTTGCTAATAGAGCGAAGAAAAACGTCACTAAAATCAGCATACCTAAAGGATTTTATTCTTACTTCTCTGATAGCAGAGTGGAGAGTGATAGCGGCCTGGTCTACCTCGGTCGTCTGGTCGAGTGTGTGAGTGATGATGCGGGTGGGCATGTGGTATAAAATGCATTTTCCTATAGTACAACAGGCACGGCACTCACCGTCGTCGGGCTCGTCGGGCGCGCCGTCCAGCGCGCGCTGGCGGCGGCGGCGCTTGTCGCGGCGGCGTTCCTTGCGCGCCAGCTTGTCGGCCAGCGAGCTGCGGCGCGCGCCCAGCTCCTGCGACGCCACCCTGCGACAACACCTCCGTTACTAGTTGGCTTCCACATCTCTATACCTACCTCCTCCATCCCTACTAGGCTTATATTAGTCCTACACAGCTTTCGACGTTCATTCAATACCTTAATAAACCTCCGCAGTCTGTCCTTTTTATCTTTATTGAATGTATCTTTGAAACTGTGGAATTGGCAAGCCATAGAATTTTTTACAGAATATACCTACATATAATAAACAATATAAAAGTTTTCTGAATAGTTAGTATACTAAAGGATGAAAAGTATACATACAAGAAATATTTATTAAAGTTGTCTATATTGTTATCGTCGTAATTAGTAATCGGTAATTTTGAAAGGGACACTAATATAAATTAAAAAATGATTTAAATTGGCTAAATATGAATAAGATTTGTTCTATAGGAGAGTTCAATCATTATTAACTAAAAATATAAATAAATACTTGACACAGCTGTCATGGTACGGAGTCCTCCATATATTGCGATAAGTTGCACTTGATCAATTTCATTATACGCTATTGGCTGAATTACTATTAATAAATACCTTAAAAAATAAAACAGTTAACCTATAATGTACACAAACCTAAATAAACAATGCGTTTGCGAATTAAGTATATACCTATTATTAATAATAATACCTATTTTATCATACGTACCACAGTAGGTATGAGGTCATTTCCTTCGATTTTAACAGAAATTCCGTCAAATAGAAAAGTTATAAGATTAATTTTTAATGGCGAACAATTTTGAAGTTCAAACACTGATTGTGGCGAGTTACAGTTATACCGGTCAATTCTAAAGCTGCATTTACGTTCATCTTTATATATATAATTCTTCTGTGAGTGTGTATGTCACTGAACTTCTCTCAAACGACTGGACCGATTTTGATGAAATTTTTTGTGTGTGTTCAAGGGGATCTGGGAATGGTTTAGATTCACAATTTTGTCCGCTGGACAATGTTTTTTTAATTAATTTTTAATTTATTAGTAGTTGTTGATTTTGGAATGTTTTACATTGGATCCGACAGACGGCGCTACCATCGCAGTGTCAAATTTTAAATAATATTCGAATTTTAATTTTAGTCTGTCCCAACAGTTAGCGCTGCGATCAAATTAAAAAAAAGTTTTGTTATCATTGTAGACAGGACAACGTCTGTCGGGTCCGCTAGTATCTTTATAGGAACATACCGCGCCGCCCGCGCGGGCCGCGCACGCACGCTCCGCACGATTGTCCTGTCTAAATGCCTACGTATGCGGTATTGTAGGATTGGTGGACTATGAATATGTATACTGTTTCATATACTTAATTGTTTAAATGTACACCAAATCAATTTCACAGTCGCCATTTTTATATAGATAGTGTTACTCATTCTATAATTAGAAAAAATACTATCTACTATCATTTAAAGCTACACTACAAATAATAAGTAGATTTAAATTGTACTACATATGTTTATTGCGAAACGTTTGACAATTAAGCGATAGTATCAGAAGGGGCGCGAGTGCGGGCCGGGAGCGGGCGCGGGCGCGGCGCGGCGCAGGGCGCGCCACAGCGCCGCCAGCCGCGCCAGCGCCGCCAGCGCGACGCCGCCCGCGCTCGCGCCGGGCGGGCTGGCGTCGCATCTATACAATACTCTTTTTTAGATAAATATCTAGTTATATTTATCTAGGCACACTATTTCCCTCATAGAAACGAGCACTGTTTACGATAAACAGGTAATTTTTACCAACCTACAAGGGGTTAAGATTTAAGCAGTCTACGTATGTACGTTCATAAATCATAAGTTACGCCGTCAAACTATTCGTCGTATTATTGGAAACGTCATGCCGTTCGGCTGGTTATAGGCTACATAACTGCTACAGCTGCAAATCCGGAGGTCGTGGTTCTAGTCCTTAATCGGGCCAACTAAATTATATTAAGTTGGAAAGTTGATCATATTACACTACCATGTCTCAGAGAGCACATAAAGCCGTCAATCCTACGGATGATCTTTGACCTATGGCTCACCATAGATATGATAGATATATAGACTCTCAAGTGACACGAATAGAAAGTGCACTTGTGTCTGCGCGCATTCGTGTTGCACTATAATATTTCATGCGCAGTTATATAGTCTCATTGTCAGAGAGAATATGCCGTTGTAGGCGAAACCGGTCGGGAGGACTTTATCATTATTATATGACGTCACAGGAAATTTAAAATGGTGGCTTATAGCAGACATAAAAAACGTAATTAAAAAATAATAGCAAAGTAATGAGCACATTTCAGTAATATACGGTTTACCTATATACATATACAGTACATATGTATATTATGTGGATATGAACCCAAAGATTATAATATCCATGGGATCTCATCGGGAACAAAGAAAACTAGTTCAAATAAATGTCAATAGATGGCATCATGTTTATTGATTTGTTAATAGTTTAAAATTACCAAAATATAAAAAAAAAAATTAAGTGGTATTATAACGCGCTCATAAATCAAATTTACGTAATTTTTGTTATTAATGAAAAACAGCAATCAGTTAATGTGTTTGTAGTGTATTGTATAATAACGACAGAGGGCGTTTTATTCTTTATCAGATATTTATTAATTATTATAGTAAGTGATATTTGTTTACATTAGTTTACACATATTTATAAAATAAAATAGTTCAACAGTTTGTGAATTAACGACATCTATTATCTATTGAAGCAAACAAAAATATCCCAGAGAATAGCAAGTGAATTTGTTTATATGAGATGGATGGAGTATCTGTATGTTCATAACTAAATATAAAATGTAACGTATTTCACATAATTTGCACGTCTCGTTATTTATTATTACGAGCGTTGCTTAAAAAAGGCCAAGTATAACGCACTCTCGCACCGAGGTCCGTATGTGTGTCGTGTAATAAGCAATAAATGCTTAAAATTGAATATCGAGTGACCCCCGCCGGCGGCACACGAATATATCAGTTGTTGTATTATTCGACGACGCGTTTGGCTCAGTTGGTAGTGACCCTACTTGCTGTGCCAGCGGTCGCGTGTTCGAAACCTGCTCGGGGCATTCATTTATGTTACGAATACAATATACGAATATTTGTGCTCCAGTCATGGGTGTTAAATTTATAATATGTATGTATATATTTAAAGTTATATATGTGTAGTGTATCAACTATCTGGTATCCATAGCACAGGCCTCGTAGCTTACCATGGAACTAGATGGCGCTGTGTGTTAATATCTTAACATTTTTATTTATTTATTACTCCTTATAGTCATGACTTAAATAGGTCAAAATAAGAGGCATGTGGCGTTTTGATATTTTACATGTTGACTCTAAATAAATCTCATGTTTTATATCGGCATCAAAGCAGGTAAATATTTTGCTCAAGATGACATTTTTTTTAATTAGAAATGGGCTCACTCTTGACCTTCACCTTAGCTCGAAGGCACAAATAAGGTCTACGATCTAACGAGTTCATTAAAATGTAACACAAAATAAAACTAAATACTATGGACAAAAAAAATGAAATATAGTACATATATCTTTATATATATAATTCTTCTGTGAGTGTGTATGTCACTGAACTTCTCTCAAACGACTAGATTCACAATTTGAATAATAATTTTCATCAAAAAAATTATTAAAAAAAGTTTGAAATTTTCAAATTAAAGACGTGTAGACAGGACAACGTCTGTCGGGTCAGCTAGTATATATATATAAAAACAATTAAGTAAAGACTCTGTATACAATTTTTATAGCGTATTGCTTTTTATTCTGACGTTGTATACCTATTCGAATAGCTATAGTAGTATAATCATACTTAGAAGATAGTTGTGTTACATAAACGAAAATATAGCAAATACGCAGAAATGCACTTTTGTGTGTTCTTTCTTTTTTTCGTCGTAAACACAATTCATTGTTAATATTAGCATGAAGTTACAATGTGTGTTCCCGTATCCGAGGTCCAAAGTAGATGGTGCAGAAGTGTGTGTGCGTACGTACCTGGCCTCCTCCACCTGGTGGTTGAGCGTGAGGAAGTCGGGGCTGTCGCGGCGGCTGTGGCGCACGCCGCGCGCGTACACCTGCGCCCACGCAGCCACGCGTTACTATACTATATCATTTTTAACCGACTTCCAAGAAGGAGGAGCTCCTCGATTCCTCGGAGTCTTTTTTTATGTAGTTCTCCGACTAATCGAAGACGCCTGAACCGATTTGGATTTTTTTTTGTTTCAAAGGGTATACTTCCCAGGTGGTCCCATATAAATTTTATCGAAATCGGTCGAGCGGTTTTTTAAAAATCAACAATAAATATTTATATTAAAAATATTTTCGAAGTCGGCGCCAGGCGACAATGTTTTAAGATATGAAATATCTAATAGGTAAACATGTATTTTACGTATCGAAATACATTAGATTTGCTATGTATCGGCTGGCACCGACATCGAAAATATTTTTATATAAATATTTATTGTTGAATTTACAAAAATTAGGTAGTTATTTTAAATGAAAACCCCCGTTGAGTTCTTTTTTACATTTTAGTGTCTGGAAGTCGGTTTTTTTTAAGTTTTTTAAAACACTAATTAAATATAGTTTTGATACTTGTAATGTTTGACACTCGTCGAACCGAATCAAACGAGTTTAAATCACTAGTAACCATTAAAAAAATTTATTATCTATTTCGTAGCGCCATCCTCAGATCGGCTCGATAGTATCAAACTATGGGTGTCACAAACTATGTATCAAACTATGGGTGTCACATACTAAGCTATGGGTGTCACATACTTTCAGCATAATTTTGTTAAAAATACAAAAGACAGACTCAAAAGTAATCCCCCAAAAGCTTATCGGGGTAGGGGGTCAGCCACCTGGTCGCCGTCGGGCACGAGGCGCGCCAGCAGCGCGGCCAGCGCGCGGCGCAGCGGCGGCGGCAGCGCGTCCGGCTGCGCGGCCACGTGCTTGGGCACGCGCGCGCCGCACAGGAACTCCGCCACGGCGTCGCTGAAGTGGTTGCAGTTGTGCTCCAGCAGGTGGTACGCCGCGCCGCTGCCCACACAGACGCACGTTACTTGCGGTTATTGAATAGTTGACACCACCAAACAAATTACTCCGTTCCTAGTGTAATCAGATGTAGTGTTTTTTTTCTTTTTTACCGGTCGTTCTATATAAATATATGCAACGTGTCTTCTCCACTCCACGCGACACTGGCGAAGTAAATGGCACTCCTAGGTGCCACTGAACAAAAGTATTGAATTGTATTAACTTTGTATAGCAATGGCAACGTTACCTATTTGCCAACTGAATTTATTAAACATTCATTTGTTGAAAACATAATTTCACAGTTAATTGAAAATTAATCAGGTTTTTAGGGATTTTTAGAGCATTTTGGTTAGGTTTTTAGGGATTTTTAGAGCATTTTGGTTAATGATGTCAACTCCCTAACCATTTCTAAAAAAACGATCAAATGGTTAGAACATAATGACAATTAAGTATTGCCACATGTGGCTTCGCGATTTTACACTAGAACTATCTCATGTGTTTTAGCGTCCTCACAGACAGACAGATACTATGAAATTGCAAACCATCGGTAGCACCGGCATCGACTCTGTATTGAAACACAGTATCTACCAAGCACTAAAATTAAGACCCTTAAATAGAACATACATTTGTACATAATTTTCAATAATTATATTTATTACAAATATGAAAGACAATTATGTATACTGACGTGTAAGTGGATGTGGCGAGTCCTTGTATGTACTCATTGAAGACCGGGAAGGGCACGTACGTGGTGCCGAGCCGCTCCACCTGCTGCGGCGCGCCCAGCTGCGTGCCGCCCTGCAAGTTGCAACACACGCACGCGGACGTAAGGAACAATAAACAATAATAATTATATAACTAGTGACTTCCTGCGACTCATTTCAATTGTATATTAGAGATTACTATGTGTTTAAAAATGATAGCCTATGTGTTACCCTAATGTATAAACTATGTTACTGCAAAGTTTCATCAAAATCCGTTAAGTAGATTTTGCGAGAAAGGGTAACTAGCAAACATCCATACATCCATCCAACCTCACAAACTTTCGCTATTATAATATTAATAGCATTCGATCCTATCGAATGTATGCTACTATGGTAAAATAAAAAATGCCATTTTGAGATATGAAAAGCCATTAATATTCCGATATAATGATGTTTTCATCCATATAATATCGTCGCACGATAATTGCCTTGAACAATATTAATGGTCTGACAAATGAAACTCTAAAAGTGTGTACCTCTCTAATTAGAAATTAGTAGGTACTACCGTTGAATTTTCTAATATATAAGACATGTATTACATTCCGCCAATGACTCATTTCAAATGAATAAGTGAAATTTCGATTTCATATTTTTGTAGACGATATGAATAACTTGTTATTTCGAAGCATTCTGAAATAGTTTCGCGTATAAAAATACAAACACGCCCGCAAACAGTTTCTCGTGACATTTACGACGAGAAAAAGAACATGAAGTCACCTTTACAATTTGGGAGCATTCCTGTTGGAAACGACTTATGGGAACATTAACAGTGTACGAGCGGGACGGAGCAACAGCGCGACGCGGGAGTGCGACAGGGACGGCGACAGCGAGGCTGGTGTCCCGGATGCCGCAACACGGCGGCCAGCTAAGCATGTCGCGCTTCGTTCGATGCTCTTTTGCCTAATAATATTTGGTCGCGTGTACCTTGTGCGAGTGTTGAGTTCACTTGTGATTATATAAGCCATAACGCATATTTTGCACAGAAGAAATATAATTTTTAAGATTTTAACGCATGAATGTTAATGGATTTAAAAAAAAAATAACTTCTAAAATATCTGATTAGGTATCTATTCTAAATGGGGGTTATTTTTTACATTTTAGTGCCTGGAACTTGGTTTTTATTTATTTTTTTTTAAGTTTTTATTTTTTCATTTTTACTGTAGAGTAGCAGGTAATTTGTAAGAAGAAAGTTTACATATTCGATTAGACAATTAATTTGAAAAATATATTTATTGTTGATTTTTTTAAAAACCGCCCGACCAACTTTGAAACACAAAATTTTTTTTCCAAATCGATTCAGGCGTCTTCGAGTATTCGGTGTACACGCATAAAAAAAAATCCGCCGAATTGAGAACCTTTTCCTTTTTGGAAGTCGCTTAAAAATGAACGTCATACCATTGAAATCTTTTATTTATGCTGTTTCAAGTTCAAGTCAAAAAAATCCTTTTAATAACATAAACTCGAATGTTTCTGAAGATCTATGTATGTACGTTTGCTCGCTTGTAATCTTTTAAGCTAAAACTACTGAACGATTTTTGATAATACTTAAGTAGGTACTTTACAGTAATATATTATGTTTTTAGTTTATACAGAAGCGTAGCACAGAGATTATAATTTAAAAAGATATAGTAATAGATAAATAAACTATGCGGGCGGAGCCGCGGGAAATCGCTAGTTAGTTATAAATAAATCTTCATTCTACATGTTAAGTTGTCATTCCGTAAATAATAAGATCAATGTCGTGACTGGTGTTTTTATTTCGGTACCGATGTTTACAAATATCTAGTATCGGTCGCTACTTGCTACGATCCTATCATTAGATTTTCAAGAATTTTTTGGTACCTACTTTTTAATTCTTAATGAAATCTAAACGAAACCTTTAATTCTTAATGTAATCAAAACGTTCCAAATATAATGTCGAGGCGCCATTAAAAATGGGCACACGAACTTACGGAACACGAAGAGTTTGGTGGCATTTATTGCATTTATTACCTAATTGTCATTTTGGCGCGTGGCCAAGTCCTGAGGGCCTGAATAGAATGTTTACAATTCGTCGGTACAAACACTCGCCACTGTATATTGGACTGCGACATATAGACACATCATTACCGGAGAGGTCCCTATTCAGTGGCCGAGCTTCAAATAGTTCTTGTCTACGCGCAGAATGATCAAAAATAGTTAAAGCGCGTGAAACACGCGATGTTTCATTTGATCTATGATATTACTTGATAATTTTGCACCTGCCGGTATAGTCTGTTTTTGCGTTATATTATCGACTAGCTTCGCTCGGGTTCATCCCTAGGTGCCTTCGTTTTAATAATGTACGGGAACTGTACATTTTTCCGGGATAAAAGTTACCTATGTGCTATTCTATACCTGAATCTATCTCTGTGCTAAATTTTATCCAGATCCGTTAAGCCTGGTTCTGGCTTTTTTTTCTGGTATCATTGAGTTACAAACATCCATTCATCTTAACTTTCGCATTTATAACATTTATGGGATTATGGGAAAAAAGCCGTAGAGATATCTTATGGGACGCGCGGCTGTTAACTTTAGTTGATCTCAGTCCAGTTCTAGTGAACAGATACAACAAAGTAACAGGGAACTGTTGCAATTCATCATCTTATTATTGATAAAGTACTGTAGAGGTATATAAATGATAAAGAGTCTACAGTACATAAGCACTAAGTGAATGTGAGACATAATACAACAGCGACGAACTATTGGTTACGGTCACGGAATGGTCGCGGTATTAGCCCCTCCGGCACACGAGGCGACCGCGGCTGCGACTGCGAATACAGTCATCAGCTACCAAATATTTACATTTTAAGTAATATATTAAATTTCACGCGCGCAATACACGACCGATTTCCATCGCATGAATAATTTAAAAATTCATAGGTAACAAGAGATTTCAAGAGACAAACACACATTCAGCTTTACATATAATATACTGTTCATAATGTAGAGTAGACTCAATAATAACCGCCCTTAAGATGCATCGCTGCATTCATTGCGGGGTCCGTCCCTCCAATAATAGCCGGGTGAGTGCGGCGCGGCGCCAACTGCGTCTGCGCCGCCACAGACAGACACACAGACACACTTACGTGTCGTTTATATTGGACAATACTCGTTTAGCCATTACGTGACACGGAGTGCAAGGGAAATTAAATACCTTAATTTGTCGCGACAGACGTTATTTATTCTGGAACTGTTTGGCCGTTGGCGTCAACTCGTATTTATTTGACTTACACGCGCAGTAAGTTTGCGTACACGTGTGAAATTATTATTATTAGACTTAGTATAAAATATTGATAAAAATTAAAAACACTAAGAGAAGTAAGTACGTGTACTGTGTGGTACCCACCGGAGCGCAGCTGGTGACGCCGCCGCCGCCGTAGAAGTACTCGCGCTCGTACACCACTATCGACGTGTGCCACACACCCTCGACCTGTTGACCTGGAGTCATAATATCGTAATTAATCATTGTTTTGTTTTTATGAATTTGAATGATTATTTTTTTCTACTACACGCTGTAACGGCTTTAACGAATAAACAAAACGAACTCAGTTTGGGATATAATATCAAAGTTCTCCTGTCTATTTAGTAAAAATCCTAAATACATTCACTGAATCACTGATTGACAACGCACTACATTCAATGCAGGGTCGGCATGCATGTAATTTTGCACATGATAAGGTATAATTTTTGAGAATTAAGACATTAAGCCTGTGAAAAAGGGGACGAAAATTGGTATAGAAGCTCGTCATTTTTGAAGTTAGAAATATGGACATTAAAATTAAGCTAATTAAAGTGAATTGTCATCGTCTCTCATGGATTTATTATAATATTTTGATATTATTAAATGTCTAAGTTTGTATAATAAGTGATGATGATGATGTTCTCCTAGCCTCTCATCTCAATCTCAATGAAATTAGCCAACTGCGCAGGAGATATTATAGTGCTCAAGTGTACGCGCAGACACAAGTGCACTCTCTATTCCTACCACTCTCATACTCCGGTGGGACGTCCACTCGACACGACCGGTGAGAGTTAAGGCGCAGGACCGACGGCTTTACGTGCTCTCCGAGGCACGGGGGTGAAACACCGCCAACTTCCCAACTCCGGGCTGTTACTGAGACTTACTATACAGGAAGACTCAATAACTGAACTCGGCCCGACCCGGGACTCAAATCCAGGACCTCCGGGTGTGCAGCCGTACATGCTAGCCACTACACCACCGAGGCAGTTGTATAATAAGTAATAACACTTTGTTAAAAGTTTCTCGTTGACATTATTATGTGATGCTCATATTATATAATAAACACACTGATTGCCAGTAGCATGTTAAATTAAGTTGTTATGTCATTTACGATATACGAATACGAGTCCAAAAGTAGTAAGGAGATAAATACATCATGCAACAGCGTTATACTTCAATTAGTGCATCCATAAAACAATCAATTATAATCAATGAACACTACTTACCTATAAATAAGTTCTCTACAATGATTTGTTTTATTTTAAACTAGCGACTCACCCTCGCTTTTCTCGTGTTTGTCCCTAGCTTGCATCCCGATTCAAACTTTCATCCCCATTTTCACCCCCTTAAGGGATGATTTGAGCGATAAAAAGTATCCTATGTCCTTCCCAGAGTCTCAATCTATCTTCTCACCAAATTTCATCTAAATCGGTTCAGTAGATCCAGAGATTACGCCCTACAACCTCACAAAATTTACCTCTTTATAATATTAGTATAGATGATGTCAATTTGATAACTACTTTAGATAGCTTTATAGATAGAGAGCCCATTTTTAACAAATCTTAAAAATATATATTACATACTGTAACAATACCAATAAATTTGTTTAAAAAGTAGATCATGAAGGCGTCCTTGAAACATATATAGAAATGTAGGAGTGTGTCATGTCCTACTAAAGCTGAACAAGTGGGTCACCTCACCTCAACCATTATGCAGAGTAATTGTTATTGATCATGTAGCACACCTTGGCCACTTGACAACAAACAAAATCAATCCTAACTAAATAAAATAAATGGGCTTTGTAATTGTTAATTTACACACAATTAACTATATTTATAACTAAAAATAAAAACGTTTGTGTTTTTTAGACTTAGCTGAGATTATAACAGGGCCTGTGAGTGAGTGATCTTAATGATTAGTAGTAATAGAGTAACAATGATCAATACATATGCCTTTACTTCAAAGATTATTATGAATGTCATCACTCATCAGTGTTATTACACTGGCTAAATATTTTATTAAGGCTTTATATAATAGAATGTGGATATTGAAATGTTCAAATTACTTGAATAATATTTACATTGAATAAGAATTTAAAACACATTTGTATATCAAAAGCTGTGAAAATAAATTATCTATACATATATTAAAATTGTAACTAAGTGGAATCTGTACATTAAATATTTTTTGGAAAATCTTATTGAAATAGACATTTAAATATCGATACAGAGGCTGAAACTATAGTTTTTAGAATTTTTGTCTGTCTGTCTGTTACTGCATCACAGAAAAACCACTGGAGGGATTTTACTGAAATTTGGTCTGATGATAGCTGGTTAACCCGGTCAACATATAGGATACCTTTTATTGTGGGTAAATATCTCATCTCTGAGAAATATATACAAAATTTTAAAACAAAAGTAGGGACGAACCCGGGCAGAGCGAGGGTGAGTCGCTAGTAATTAATATAATTACAACATTACCTATTATAGCTGGGGATAGTATCGATGCAAGTCCATGGCTCAGGTCGTAGATATACAGTTCTACAGGAACTCCTTCCTCACTTGCCATATTGATCAGCAGCAGGTTCAAAAATATCTACACAAAATTTATCACGTTTTAAGTTCACTAAGACTAACATATAAGAATTCTGATGAGAAATTGAATTTTTCTATCTTTCCTTATCTTCTTCAACCCACTCGATGATGATTAATCATTGATTAATAATCAATGATGCAGCTCTACAAAATCTTTAAAATACACTGAACCATATATTATATTTGTTTTTAGATTTATTGACTTCTATTTCACTAATAATTAGATAGAATTATTCTATAAACTAAAATATGCGATTGTTCCAAATGCAAGACGTAAATAATTAAGATATGCGACGCGCGCAGTGGCTCACGTCGGTGCAGCGAGACGGCCACCTGTGCTTGCGCTGCGGCGCCTCAGCCCTATCGCACAGATCTATTCGCCGCCCACTGACTTCACATTAACTATTTTTAAGCTGGTAGCAACGTGAAACTTATCTCACGATGTTTTCGTTATTTAAGGATGCAATGAATACTTAACAAAGGTGTAAATGTAATAAAGTCCGATACAAAACAACTACATTTTAAAAGATATCATTTTTTACCTGATATGAATGTTTACGTCAAATATTACAAATAAAATTGCAAACACACATTACGGTATTTTCTGTATTCTGCTGATACTGTCTTTTACTTTTGTTTTTTTAGGTACATATTTTGAAAAAAAAAAAACTAATAAAAAGTGCTATTATTTAATTCAATTTTCTTGTGCTGTTATCGATAATAAACATATTAAAATTTAAAACAAGACACTAGACAGATGAAAGACATATGACAAGACATTATTCGACTTTGAGTTTTGAGTTTTGACAGCTATTTAAATTAACCAAACGTCCTTTAATTCTGTTTAGCAAAAGTAGGTATCATAAAGAAGTTGGTTAAAAATAAATCATAAATTATTATCATTATTAATATTTATTATTTATAATCATTTCATAATTTTTATTATTATAAATTTAACTATATAATATATTATATACCAAAATGCTTTTTGATTTAGATCGAAATAACTTGCAATATTTAATTATTTTTCATACACTAAGTAGAAAAAAGTACCAAAATTATTCATCATTGATGAGAGTAATGTTTATGAACGTTAGTTGTTATTTGTGTCATGTCATTGTCAATTTGTAAAATTGTCATGTCAGTGTAGTGCTGTGTATTACTTTAAATTTTTTACAAAAATATAATGTCAGGAACTAAAAAAATGGTAAATGTTTCTTTTAAACATATATTGTACCTTACAAAGGCTTCCAAAAGCTTAATATAGAACTTCATCTTTTGTAGGAAGAGAAATCCCAAAGCTTGAAATTCCTTAGTGTTATGTCAAGTTTTTGAATTTTTTAATATACCTACTAAAAGTTGTATGGTTTTATTTATTGTCGGCATAGTTTATTCACTTCATAGCTTTAACCTGTGTTCATAATACTACCCAGTGGTTAGAGTCCGATGATGACTAGGCACATTTGATTGTAAGGTTTGTTGACAGCAATGCTTTATATGAGGTTTTACGTTGTTAGATACTGCGGGTGCAGTCATCAGAAGGCACAGCTCGCGTTGAGGTGCTGGACTCCGATGTAACGTCACGATTATTCGAGCGTGTCTATGAGGCTCTACATTTGAACACTTTTGGATTTGCATTGTATAAAGATCGTGCAAGAAAAGAAGAGATTGTATCGAGTAAATCACGACAGTTACGAGATTATGGCTTGCAACATGGAGACATGTTGTATTTAAGTCCTGTCAATGGTGCGGTGCTCTTTGAACAGGCTTCCACTAGTGCTGAGGTAAGTATTTTAAATACAAAGATCATAAATATAATTTGATTCATCATATTTAATAAATATTAGATAATATGTTCACTATGATTTGTTTTATTAGATTAATAACAAGCCTTTTGGAGAGCCAGCACAGGCTGGTCCATCCTCAGTGGAACCTTTAAACTCAGGAACAAAGACCACTGGTCCTGTAGAAGATGAGGTAGACTTAGAGCTATATCGCCTCTCAGGAACTATACAAAGACAGCGAGATGAAAAATTGTAAGGAAACCTGAATTCATATTTTTTTAATAATTAGAATTTTAATTAAATGACTAACTAAAGTGAATTTGTTAATTTTCAATGTCTAATTTTTAAACATTGTACATATATTTATGATTCCTGTTTCTAGATTTTTTTGCAACATTTATAATAAAAATACTTATTTATGTATTAGTGGCTACTTTTGCTTTATACTACACGTAATATTACCCACATCATGTACCTGCAGAAAGAGTATCATTCTCTTATGTAACTGACTACAGTGACATGTTTTTGCTTTCGTTATGTTAAACATTCAATATCAAATTTTATGTATATAAAATTTGCAGATGTCGTCACAACTCTAAGGGCTGCTGTGTACACTGTTCTCCGTTAGAACCATGGGATGAGAACTATCTCAAGGAACATAACATTAAGCACATGTCCTTCCATGCTTACCTGCGTAAGATGACCTCAGGCAAATTCATCACGTTAGATGAATTGTCATGCAAAATAAAACCAGGTGATTTTTAACTTGTTTAAATTTAGTTTAAAATAAAATTTGTGGTTCATCATCATTCAAGAACTTGATTGCATATTTTATGTATGGTGTTAATTAGAAATTGACTTATTTTGTTATGCGTCGACAGGCTGCAAGGAGCACCCGCCGTGGCCGCGCGGCATCTGCTCGGCGTGCCAGCCCGGCGCCGTGACGCTGAACCGCCAGCGCTACCGGCACGTGGACAACGTGCTTTTGGAGCACGCGGCGCCCGTGGAGCGCTTCCTGGCCTACTGGCGCGCCACTGGCCACCAGCGCGTGGCCTTCCTGCTGGGCCGCTACGAGCACCACCCAGACGTACCGCTGGGCGTGCGAGCGCGCGTGGCCGCGCTGTACGAGCCGCCTCAGGAGTGCTCGCGCGACCGTGTGGCGCTGCGCCCCGACGCCGGCGCCGCGCTGGCGGCCGCGTTGGCGGCGCGCCTGGGCTTGCGCCGCGTGGGCTGGCTGTTCTCCGACCTGCTGCCGCTGGACCTGGCGCGCGGCACGGTGCGGCACCTGCGCGGCGTCGACACGCACTTCCTGTCCGCGCAGGAGTGCATCATGGCCGGCCACTTCCAGAACGAGCACCCCAACGCGTGCCGCCACGCCGCCGCCGGCCACTTCGGCTCCAAGTTCGTGACGGTGTGCGTGACGGGCGACAGCGGCCACCAGATCCACCTGGAGGGCTACCAGGTGTCGGGGCAGTGCCAGGCGCTGGTGCGCGACGGCGTGCTGCTGCCCACGCGCGACGCGCCCGATCTCGGCTACATCCGCGACTGCACGCCGCAGCAGTTCGTGCCCGACGTCTACTACAAGGTACGTCACTACTCACTCCCCATCATGAGTTTACTTTGGTTATAATTCTGCTAGCCTATGAAATTACCATGTTATTTCAAAATGTCTCCCGTTATTTGTTGTAGAGCAAATATTATAATCTTGTAGCTAATGATCTTCGGATGTTAAATTATGAAACCATAAGAAGGACATTAGTCTTTATATATTGACGAGGAACCACTTAAAGTCGTGCAAAAATTACCCTCGTTTCTTCAAAATGGAATAAATTAGAATAATTACTTTTGTAGTTCTTATAAATTCCACTTGAATCATAATTATATGTGCCTATATACAAGTCACGGATATTATACACCAAGATGAAGGATTTTTTTAATTAATGTTTTCATGTACATGCAAAAATATAACTTGCCCTTTCTTTTGGAAACTGCAGCTAATACTGCACACTTCAAACAACAATAACTGCAATAATTTAATTATGATAATTAAATATACTGTTATAAATGTTACTTAGCTTGCTGTTCTGCATAACATCAAAAATTGAATTTAACATATTAAATATTTACAAATAATACACATAAACCTTCTTTGTTTATTGCTCTTTCTATTCGCAGGGGCAGGCAGTGATTTATAGTTTGTTTTATACTATGATATAGATGAACAACTTTCGCTCGAACTCAACGTTGCATTAGCCCATGGAAATAATATATTACCGCATGTTTAATAATTGTTAATCCCTACAAGTCTTCAACCCTGCTACTAATAGTTTTGTGTAATAAATCACTATTTTTTTTGTATGAAGGACAACTCGGCTGCACCAGTTATTGTTTTTTCTTGTGGCAATGAGAAATTTCCTGTAGTAAAAGGTATGCTAAATGTTATATCACTACATAAAATTTTGTTATAAATCCGTTCAGTACTTTTTGCATGAAAGGCAAACAAACAGATAAAAATTTGAATAACTGTGATTTTGGGATCTATATATATATTCCATACACAATATGTAACAGTCATAGTTTTAAAAAAAATATTCCAAGTACAGTTCTCATTTCATTGTACATATTTCCTCGCTTCGCTCGGTTTCTTCCCTGGACACATACATATTAGATGGATATAAATAGTTATTAGTATTTTATTTCCGATGTTTATATAGTTATTCTGTTATTCGAGGTGGAGACAAATACAACAAATTAAAGATCATAACAATCAGTCCAGCCGTTCTTGAGTCATAAATGGTGTAAATAATCCGAGTGTGTTTTTTATATAAATAGATTATATTATTAAATGTATATTATGAAAATAAGGTATGGTCTATACGTGGTAATAGTGAAGTGCTATATGGTTGTGTAGTGAAGTGCTGTGTAACTATGTACAAAATGATTATTGTTAATTTGAAATGCAACTTTGATTGATTTTCTTTATTGGAACCAACACTTCCCGTAGAACGCCCACTGTGTAAGTTATGATAAAATAATGGAAAATAATAGAAAAAATTAATGCTGCTTCGAAAAATATATATTATTTGAATGTAATAGTGAGATATTAGATTGTAACCTGATGCGAACTTAGCCACGCGAATTTGTTGAAACTAGGTAGTCATTTAGGTTCAATACATTTATAGTCCATTCGGAATCCGGTTTAGGAACAAAATATTGAAAACCTGAAGTATTATGATTTTAAAATGTTAGCAGGTATATAAGGAATAGAAATTCGTAAAATGCCCCACATGCCCAGCTACCCCCGAGAAATGGGGGGACGCAAAGCGTTGAAAAATAGTTTTTTTCAATTTCCGGCTTACTGTGACCTTCTATCGAAAAATGTTTTCTATAAACGATATAGGTTTTTACTAGACCACTTTCACCAAATAACACTTTTTACAATAACCTCAAAGTTTTCGAGATATTTGCAGAAAACTCAGTTTTTAACTTTTTATTGGGTTTTTTTATTTGTAATCTCTAAAATAATGAAAATGAAATAAAAAAACAAATATGACTTAAATTTTTAAAATTACCCTTTAATCTATCTACAGTGCATCCATTAAATACTAAGATATTGATGATAAAAAAGAAAAGATCCTTTTTTATTGAAAGTCGAATATCTCAGGAAAAAATCGACGTAAAGAGTTAAATTAAAAAAAATACTTTTTTTTTTGATTTCTTAACAAAACTATGACTAAATTTTGTAATTATCAACTAATTTTTCTTTATTATATTTTTAACTAATGAATAAACAAGATTAGACTATGTATTAATTTCATTTCTTTCTGTAATTACCTTAAAGCACTATTATTTTTTTCAAAAAAAATCAATTGAAAAAAATTTAGTATACAAAGTAAAAATTATCGATTACTCAAATGTTTAAAATTTTTAAGGGTGTTTCAGCATGACGACTATACAATGTTTTTATTTTTTCAAAAAATAGAGTTCAAGACGAAAAGAATGAGCCCTATTTGAAAATTGAACGAATTTTTTTAAAAACGTAAACGTCCACTTGAAGTTGGGGGTTTGTGTTAAATAGTTTTTTAAGTTTTATAATTAATATATATGTTAGTTTTAAGGTAAATATGTTATGGGCCTCTATTTACATATTTAAGATCTTTTTGTAAATATACATCAATTAAAAAAATTAATGATTAATAAATATATATATTTAACTTTTATATATATATATATATATATATAAGTTGTAGATTTTTACTAGACTTACAACTTTTGTAGAAAACATTCGATAAAATGTTACAGTAAGCCGGAAATTGAAAAAAAATATTTTTCAATGCTTTGCGTCCCCTCATTTCACGGGAGTAGCTGGGCATAGGGGGCATTTTACGAATTTCTCTTCCTTATATAACCTGAAGTTTTATTTTAAAATGTTAGCAGACCGTGCTAACATTTTAAATTTATAAAATTTCAGGTTTTCAATTTTTTTTTCTATTAAAAATAAACGGATTCCGATTGGTCTATTTTTACATTAGTGTTTCACAATATACATTTATTATATATTATGTCAAGATAATTGCATTTTACTCTTTTACGTACATTTACGTTCAGCCGATGCATTAAAAATAGCTTCTATGTATTTTATTTGTGCCGAATTAGGTACGTATCGATTGTCATTTAGTTAATGTATATAGCTATATACAATTTACTGTGTAAGTGTACTATATACAGTGTACATATGTAGTAGGTTGTACTGCGCACGCGCTTGCATTAAAACTATGATTGTTGTTCTTTTATGTATCTTATTTGTCTATTTTAGTATATTTAAAGAAAAAGGTGGGTTAATAAAAGATTTGTTGCCGTTCCGTTTATTTATTAGTTTATATATCACGAGTTCGCATCGGACGATGACATTTAGGACATTGCATGCTGCACACAAAACAAACGGGCCTGTCTGTCGCCACTTTCGCTATCGTCACATAAACTACATTTTATTACATATACCTATGATATTTTTGTATAGTAAATATAAATTACAACACGTCAATAGAATATCGAACGACAAACTGAACTTCTATAAACACTATAGAAAAATAAACATAACTTTACTCGAGACGATCTGGCAAACGATTGAGTCGCCACGCGAATGTACAATAACACCGGGAAATAGTAAACCAATATTCAATATAATATTATACCAATAGCCAATACCAGCAGGCACTCGCCGGTGCGAGGCCAGCGCCTCTCTCACACAACTTATCTAAGATTTCATCACAGTCTTAAAACTTTCGGAAATATAATTCGTATTACAACTAACATTAAATAGAATCATCAATAAAGAGGTAACATTAGCTCGTAAATATAATATATAAATAAAATAATTTACTTTATATATACTTATAACATCAATACAACAACGACAATCAGTAGCTCGCCACTCGCAGCGTCGATACTTTCAAAATAGAGCTCTATAATTAAATCCATTTATAAGGTTTAACATTTATTGACACACATATATTAAACTGATGAAAATGTTTTTAAACACTTAAATTTCTACCACGGGACAAGGCGTGACCGGAGGAAATGGGGCTCCGGATGACGCCACAGGAACGCGTCACATTTATCACAATATCATACAATACTCTAATATTTACAAAAATATACTCATTTAAATGTCAAATATCTAACTAGAAGAGAGGTAGAAACACGTACGCTCCGCAGCACCTTCGCGGTGGCTGACACACTACGCTCGTTGACCCGCGACGCCAACGCGTTGTGCGCTGCGTGCCTATACTCACGACAACGATCATACAAACGAAACTACTAGAGAAGATCAAGCCGGCGAACTTCTCGTAAATACTTCAAGTCTTATATCTACTTACAAAAATAATTCAGCCCAAGTAAAATTTACAGACGAAATGACAGGGTTGGTCCAACGGTTGAGAATGTAAAAAAAGTACAAGAGCGGCGGCTATAAATATTTAAAAAGACGCGATGAGGATACGCTCGGACAAGAAGACACGGGCCAAACTAAGTTCAGTTTAGTTTGCCACAGTTGGCTATTAGGATAGTGCTATGAGGCTTGCCGGTGCTGTCTCCGGTGCGGCTCAGGCGTTCCACGAGCTCCAACCCCTCCACCACGTACGCGAAGATGGCGGTGAAGCCGCGTATCTCCCGCAGCATAATACGGAACTGTGAACCGACCAGGCCTTGGTTGTCGTGGCGTTTCTGCGATCGACGCATGCCCACTGCGCCTCGCACCGCTACCATCTTGGTATAATCTGGCATGAAGTAGTTCTCTTCGAAAATGGAATACCCTCCACGACCATTGTTCAGCTCGAAATCTCCAGTGATCAAGCTCTCGTTTTCCCAACACTGGAAAACGTGGCAGCCGCAGTATCCGATGCCAAGTTCACCAGTGGAGAGAGCAGAGAAATTTTGTGCCATGCGAGGTGCTACGTCGTCGCGGACCTCTATCACGATGCGCCCAAAAGGCGATCCGTTAAACTCCAAGTTAAAATAGAAAAGAGGATACACGCTGGGGTTGCGTCGCAGCAGTGAGCCCACCATTTCGTTGGAGCCACTTGTGAATGTAGAACCCCCGGGCGACGAGTGCGCTGTCTCGCAGACTCTTTCCGGCAGCGCGTCTAGTTCCAGCGTCGTAGCCACATCACCGATCGCGCCGTCAAGCCCGCGCTGTGTGAAGCAGTTCCGGGTATAGAGCTGTGCCATGCAATAGTTGGCCAGGAATAAAACGGGATCATGGCGTTCCGTCGCCGGTGACGGAGGTGACTCGCCGATGCTTAGTCCGGCTAGCGCCTGGCGCATCAGTTCAAAGTCCAGCGGCACATTCGCATTGCGGATCAGATCGTCCAAGCGGCACTGCAGCAGCGCGTCGGTGTGCCGTGCACGGAGCTTGTCGCGTTCGGCGACAGCCCCCGCTAGAGAGCCGCAGTTGTCGTCTATCTTCAGTAGTGCGCGCTCTGACGATGTCAGTAAGACGGCGGGTGCGGCCAACTCGCAATCGAGACGCACTTTAAGCGCGGTGGTAGCGTCCAGGGCGTGCAGGAGAAAATCTCGCTGGCGCACAGCGAGGCGCTGCAGGTCAGCATAGAGCAGGCGTGCGTCGCGTTGCATGTTCGCGCGCGCCTCGCGTGGCGGCCGCAGTGAGTGCGCGTGGTGGGCGTGGTCGCAGGCGCGGCAGGCGCGGGCGCCGCAGGTCGCGCACCACATGACGGGCAGTGCATGCGCAGCGCACGCGGGCTCGGGCATTAGGCGACGCGCCAGCGTCTGAACGGCGACGTGCGTGGGCAGCGCATCGGCGCCGCCCAGAGGCAGCTCGGTGCGCTGAGAGCAGTGCGCGCACCGCACCTCATGCGCGCCCCGAAGCACGCCGCGGGTACACGCCAGGCAAAAGTGGTGCTTGCAGTCGAGGAGCTTGGGCGTGCGTTCGGCGTCGTTAAAGACGCGCTGGCAACACGAGCAGATGGCCAGCTCCTCGATGTCATCGAGCTCGGTGCGCGCCATAGGGGGGTACATGGCAGCCGGCGCGGGAAGCGAGGCTCGCTAAGTTCGAAGGATCGAGGACACGATAGTACCTACTCTGTCGCTAGGCCGTCTTTCGCGCACGTAGATCACATTTTACAAACAACGGCCCACGAAGTGCCGCACATTATGACATACTACGTAAAATTTTTACTAAATTAATATGATTGATGCGGAGTGCCACGTATTTTACGTTTTGTGTACACGCGCTATGTAGTGTTTTCACATCTGCGCCGTGCTTCCCGTCGCTCGATCAACAGATTACCGTACGTCGCGTTATCCTTGTAGAGGCGTCAAATAATTAGTTTGTTTAATGCTGAATAAATGTTTATATTTTAATATTGGTTTATTATTAACTAGCGGCTCACTCTCGCTTCGCTCGGGTTCACCTCTAGAAATCACTAATAAAAATCTATTAGTTCCCACGGGAACCGTTCATTTTTCCCGGATGAAAAGTAACCGGCAATATAAGGTATCAGAATGTTAAATTTTACTAAATTAGGTGCATAAGTTGTATAAGTTATAATAGTTTTTTAACTATCCCACGGGAACCATTATATTTTCCGGGATAAAAAATATCTAAGACGTTGTCCGGGGATATAAGGTACCACCATGCAAAATTTCATTTAGATCGGTCCAATAGATTCGGAGATTAGCCCGTACAAACAGACAAACAATATCACACGGGAACGCAGTCGAACGGGATAAAAAGTGTCCTATGTCCGTCTCTGGGTTCTAAGCTACCTCCCCGCCAATTTTCAGCCAAATCGGTTCAGCCGTTCTGGAGTTATAAATAGTGTAACTAACACGACTTTCTTTTATATATATAAGATGTACAAAAATTCAATAAATACATTATCATTTTTAATTTACTGAAAATCTTTTGGGAATATACTATGTAATTCATAACAACATCTGTAACAAGAAAAAATAATATTTCTTATTTTTTTATTTTCATACAAAAATAAAAATATTTCTATTGCACCTTTTAAACGGTAAAGTTCTGGCACCTGACCAAGTTTAAATGAGTAAGCACCACCACCTCCACCCCTCCCACTCCACCGGCCATGCGCTTTCTTTTGCTAATATCGGACTATTACTGTTTAGAAGGTGCAACGAAAATATTTTTATTTTTGTAAAATTTAATAAATATTTATTTTTGCGTCGGGGGTTAAAAAGCTATTTCAGTTTTAGTTACATGTTTTATTCCATATTATATAAACTACTAAACTAATTTTAATGACACCTTTACTATTCCCTAAGTTTAAATAAATGTAAGCAAATAAAAAACAATAATCATGATCCGATTACTAGTTTCGGAGAAATTTGTGGACATCATATATATACATACTTACATACATCTATAAAATTTTGTATATTGGTTTGGAAGCCCTAATAGATTATCATATGTGAATATGTTGCAATTACAATAATATTACATGCATACCTACGTGTCGAATTGATAACCTTCTTTTTTTGAAGTACATAATTTTTTTTTATAAAGTAAATAGTAGCAGAAGTAGTTGTGTTGCTGAAGTTCTAAATTGTTTAATATACAATTTTTAATAATTAAATATGGGTTGCTATTATTTACTTATGATTTTATGAAACCCAAAAAGCTAAAAAAACTGTGAAAAAAAACGGAAAAATAGTTTCATATAAAATGTCAAATATTCATTTCTTTTCTCATTTTAAATCTAAGCGAGTATTATGATGATTTTAGTTTTTAATACGGCTTACCTTACTAAATTTCTCATACCAATTTCATAATAAATGGTATATCATTTATTCACGAAGGTTGGTATAGTGACGTCGCTACAAGGTTGTAACGTACGACTTCAGTAAGCGCCGCGAAATTCTCATGATAAAGGCGGGCGGGTCAGTGCGCGCGCCTCCCGCCCCGCGCCGCGCTATCGATCCTCCCGGTGCAACGCGCTCTTATGTAACGACGACGCGCTGCATCTACGCTTGCGTGCAATCCCATGTTAACGAATGTATAATACAATTTAATGCAACGGCCTTGTCCCGGCGACCGCCCCCGCCCTCATCACCCTTTCTGTCCTCCCCGCCGACATCCATCTCCTGTACCGAAATACAATTGACTCTTAACATTTTACATTTCGGTCGATATCTACATATGAGAATCTATGAATGCTATTTACTTGTTGAATGTAATAGTCCTGATATATGTATTTCTATGAGATTGGTACCTACTAATAAAACTTACTACTTATACAGATTAATTATGTGAATGTATTATTTAAAAGTTATATTATGTATTAATAATTATGTTTGAAGGCAGTGGTAATGTAAAAAAGTGTAATGGCCCAATGGTAACACGCTCGCTTTTGAAACCGAGTATAGGGGGTTCATATCCAGGGTGTGGCTTTCCGATATTTTCATGTGCGAATCATTTCCAACATGATTACCACGTGTCTTACGGTGAAGGAAAACATCGCGAGGAAACCTGCATGTCTGAGAGAACGTCAACAATCAACATGCACTTGGCCAGCGTGGTCGAATATGGGCTGATCCCACTGCTGGGCACAGGCCTCCCTTCAATACGAGGGACTACGTTAAAAAGGGCTGAATACATACATACATGCAATTATGTTTAATAATTACTGCATAATATAAGAAATAGACATACGAGTACATATATTCGTTAATTGATGTCTATTTCTTAAATGTAAAAATTGAAATGTAACGACAACCTAGTTAGGTATGTCTGGTGCCTTTTATCGATAAGTTTCTTTCACATTTATAATATTTACATTCTAATATAAATGTATGTTTACATGTATGTATGTCCATTGTAAGCATCCCACTGCTAAGAATGTGCCTTCAATGCAGGGAGGATAAGGCCATAGTCCAACAAGCTGGCCAAGTGCGTGTTGGTGGACTTTACGTCTTAGGAAAACTTGTTAAGTATCATGTAGGATTCCTCGCGAAGTTTTCAGCACACGTGTAGTAAGTAGCTAACGATTAGAATTATTATTAAGTTTATTGAATGATTTATGTCTGTTGCGAGTTGGCAGGATTAAGCTAGTAATATGTTGTTTCGTATGCCTGTTTTATATACATGTTTTCGGCAATAAGCAAGTAGTATGTTGAGTGTAGTATGATGAGTGGATAGACCCCATCCTCGGGATCTGTAGTCAATCCATTCCAAACTAGCCACTATACTAACCAGGAATAATGTATTTGGTATAAATGAAACAATATACTTAATATTTATAATAATATCTACTACATTGTTGATCTAGTTGCTATATAGCTTGCCTCTAGATCATGATATCCTAGATCCGAGTCCTGCGTCATGCCTAAAGAGCAGAGTAATGTTAACTTAAATTTCAATTTTGTTTTTGCTCAACAATGTAAACTATTATTATTAAGTTACTATGTTGTTGTCTTATTAGAATGCAGTGTTGCTTACAATTAGGACATCATTAAGACTAGATCTTCTTTTGTTTATTACTATGTACAATTGTAAGAATGTATGCTCTGTTAGCGACCTATGTAATAAATAAATAAAATAAATAAATAAGAGTAGTGTTCCGCAATCGGTATATTACAAATATTTCTTATTAGAAATTATAATGTTATTAATAAATAATAAGGTGTCCTGGGATACCAGGTAGGAACGAAGTTCCTTTCGCAGTCTGCCCTTGGTTTATACATAAGGTCATAAAAATTAAAAGTTATCACGAGTTCTAGGTTATCATAAACATCGAGCACATGTACACATATACATGTACATATTGAAGCTTACCGAAGAAAAGCCTACACAGAGTGCACACAATTTCTTGATCGCCCGGTACTTATGATGAGTCGTGTCGGTCGACATATATTCTTCGACACTTTTTTTCTGTCTAGCTCTCATTTGTCAAGTGTGCCGAGTAAAACGTACGTTAAGGAACTTCGTTCAAAAAACAACAATGTTCAAATTCAAAATATTTTGCTCGACATTAAATTATTACAATTTTTAACTAAACTTCATGAGTTTACCATCAGTTTGGAACGAAAAAGCTTTAAGAGCAATGGAGCTGCAAGTAGGATGCTGGGATTATTAGTGTAGGACACCAGCTTGTCGATTAATCTCCTCGTCTTCGTGTGCCCCTAGGTCTTCCTGGTGAGGGATGCTGGTATGTTTGATGTAGGATGCCAGCGTTCCGATTGCCTCTTCGTCTTTCTGTGTTATTGCCGTCTTTTGTATTTATACACTATGAAAATATATTGCCAATATCTCCCAGATACGGTTAAAGTGATCTTTATCAAACGTTCCAGGAGCGTGACGCATACGGCAATGAGGTGAACGTGTCGGCGAAGCGACTGCCGGTCGCGTACTTGCTGGTGGACGTGCCGTGCGGCGTGGCGCCCGCCTCGCAGCCGCCCACCTTCGACCCGCGCGCCACTTTCCCGCCCGCGCACCGACCGCTGCAGGCGCACGTACAATCTCTGCGCGCGCTGCACCGCCACTTGCAACAGTACGACTCCTTCCTGGAGGCGGCCTCCGACTTCCACGTGCTGCTATACATGGCCAGCAATGAGGCCCTGCCGCTGTCGCTCGAGCAGCTGGCGCCGCTTCTGGACGCAGTGCGCGAGCGCGACGCCGCCGCCGCCGACGCGTGGCGCGCCGAGCCGCACGCCGCCACGCTGCTGCGCCTGGCGCGCGCCGCGCACGACGCCGAGCCCGACGGCGGGGCGGGCGGCGCGGACGGTGCGCAGGCGGGGCGGGCGGCGCGGTCGGCGTGTGGACGTGCCCGCTCTGCACCTTCCACAACGCCGCGCCGCTCGACGCCTGCGAGATGTGCGCCATGCCCAGGTAAGGTATAGTATAAATGGACGGAATTTTTGAGATCAAATTAGAGAAAGAACACTCCTTAATTGTTTTATTTCACGTATTAAATGAAAACACCTTTTTAATTAACATTTATGTAGTATCAAAGATTGCAAAGAGAATCACCAAATACCGACTATATATTCTTCGTGGTCATTACAGTTTTCACAGAATGGTCGTGGTTATCATTTTGGTGTTGTGTCCCATTTGCCAATACGCCTCCACTCCTCTCTCGCTATTGCCTTTCTCGCACATTATACAGTGGGACGTCTCCTGCCAACTTGATCCGTCCACCTCATAGGCGATACCACGCGTCCTAGTACTCTCTACTCTTCCTTGCATCACTAAGTGCTCGATCGATGCATCGTTGTGTCTATACATGTAACCGAAGTAGGTGAGGATGCGAGCCTGTGTTGAAAAGATGTTGCTTGATGCCGACTTCTCTGAGGATGGAAATTTGAAATGTTAGCACGGAATGCTGCCCAGGGTAATCCCAGCATTCTTCACCAGAACCACATCTCGTACGTTTATACTCTTCTCACTATCTCGTAGCGTTCACGTCTCCAAAGCTTAGAGGAATATGGGGAACAAGCGTTCTAATTAGTCGGGTCTTGGTGGGCTTGGTCTTTTTGTGGTTCCATCCATAATTTTTGCGATTTGTCCATCGCCGATCTAGTTATCGACATACGTCTTATATATAATTATTCAAGATATATGTTTCGGAGCAATGATCTCGTGTGTGGTCGCCGGCGCGATATCTTATCATTATTTTGTTTTTAATATCATAATTCATACCTCTTCTACTTCTCCAAATTTTACCATTTTTGTATAAAACATTCAATATTAAAGAATCTGAGTTTCACAAAAGAAAGCACTAATTAAGCCCGCTTATTTTATATGGAATTATAAGTTTTAATTTAATTTATTTTACAGGAATGCGATGTAAATATATCCAGACACTAGCCAAGTTAACTTTTGTACCGACGCGGCCCGACGTCGGCGCGCGCCTGTCGAAGGTTACTGTAAGACATTAATAAATGCTATTTTATTGTACCGCCTTCTTGTACTATCATTTGTATTCTCGACATGATATTACACCAGTGCGAATTTCATAATAATTTATTTATTAGACAATACCTGTAAAAACACTATTCCTATGTACTTTTTTTTCGATAAATGATATTCAAATATACGACTTTTTGAATTTGTGTGGTTGTAAAGGTTATTGTGATAGTGCGAGCAACGCTCGGTGTAATTACACGGCGCGAAATGCGGGGGAGTGGGAAGGGGGGGGGGGGTGCTCTCAAACTGCTCCCAATCATTTGATACTGCATCCCATGGGAGTGGCATAAAAATTTTTATAATATCTCATATCATATAAATTCATCAAATAATTTGTATATAACATTGTAGAATGTAATAACTGTATAGCGACTATTTAGCAGGGTGAATGTGTGAATGTTTACTCGGTTAGAATTAGTTAAAATCAGTTATGAGTAATACCTTTGTAAATCATTGCTGATAGTGAAATGATTTTGATTAAGTTATATATAAGAAATCGTTAGGAGCCCATGGTTTATGTCCGGCGTACTCGTAACAAACAAGTGCAGCCGTCCGCCGCGCCCGCGGCTTGACACGCTGTTTATTTTAAAAAGGTTTTTTCACATTGAGAGATAAATAGTTCTCCTTTTTTATTTTTACTTATTTGGATATGTCATACATTATAATTTAGTCACAGTCAGTACTTTAGTTTTGTAGGCTTGAAGATTTCACGTGTAATATTTTTTATCTATTACCAACTACTATATATTTTTTTATGGACACTCATATCACGTTCACCTTTATATTAGGAACAGAGTGTAATCTTTACTAACATTGTAAATGCTAATGTGTGTTTGTTGGTTTATTTCTTTCACGCTATAACCGAAACAGATACAGCTCCATGTGTCCCGGTGCTTTACATGGTTCCCGGGGTATGTCAGCCGGGAACAAAATTAAATTTGAGTACTGATCACGAGTGACTGAAACACACATCACAATCAAATATGGGACTGATAGACATGCAAGCGGCAAGCCGGCCAGCGCCCCCGCCCCCGCCCCCGGGCCCCGCCCGCCGCCGCGCTCTCGGTGATGATCGATGGCTCCATATTGTGTAATGTTATTTAAGTTTTTAATTTTAGGGCAATTTGTTTTCTTTGTGTACTGTACCCGACGGCCGCAGCCCGCCGCCGCCGCCGTGTCAGCCGCCCGCAGCGGCCGGGCCGCTGTTGTTTTTATAAATAAAACTTTAAAATATACATATCGCGTATATTAATTTTAACACAATTCTCAATAATTTTAACAGTCCTCTCATTCATCGTGTGCTGATGTAATGCGCTCTCATCGAACACTGCCGCAAAATATTGGTGTTAGTTTTTATCTTCAAATTTAAAATATATCTATTTTAGAGGCAGAGCTTGGAACAGTTATCATGAAGTCGTACATAAATCATAGAGAAAAACTAAGAGTACGGACGGCAACTAAATAATGAATTGTAGCTTCTTACAAACACTTGGTAGGTACTACCTACCCGAGAACTATTAGGTATCTTAAGGCAATCTAACACAATACACACGTAATTAGTAGATTTTTAAATTTACCATTGTCCACATACGCATTTACCTCCAAATATTTCGGTAATGTGAATTTTGGAATATCTTATTACTTATTTTTATTTATTTGTGAAAAGCACACTTACAACATACATATGAAACATTTTCAATTTAATTAATGTAATAATAATATACCTTATATGCATGTGCCTCGGTGGTGTAGTGGCTAGCATGTACGGCTGCACACCCGGAGGTCCTGGGTTCGAGTCCCGGGTCGGGCCAAGTTTAGCTATTGTGTCTTTCTGTATAGTAAGCCTCAGTAACAGCCCGGAGTTGGGAAGTTGGCGGTGTTTCACCCCCGTGCCTCGGAGAGCACGTAAAGCCGTCGGTCCTGCGCCTTAACTCTCACCGGTCGTGTCGAGTGGTCGTCCCACCGGAGTATGAGAGTGACAGGAATAGAGAGTGCACGTTGTGTCTGCGCGTACACTTGAGCACTATAATATCTCCTGCGCAGTTGGCTAGTCTCAATGAGATTGGCCGCCGTGGCCGGAATCGGCTAGGAGAACATCATCATCATGCATGTCAATTATAAGTGTACATAGCATTTCCATATTTATGAATTAAAAGTATAAAGATTTAAAAATAATAATAATTATTATTATAGATAAATGTCATATTACAAAAGAATAATACTTGACCATGACCTTTAAATATTAAAAGTGTCATTCGCAAACAATACCTATCTATCTATACTAATATTATAAAGAGGCAGAATGTGTTTATTTGTTTGAACGCGCTAATCTCAGGAAATACTAATCAGATTTGAAAAATTCTTTTTGCATTAGACAGCCTGTTTATTGAGATAGGCTATATATTATCTCGTAAAAATGTACGGTACCCGTGGAATAGATTTGTTTTTGCCCAGAGACGAATCCGAAGCGAAGTCAGGGTAGGTTGCTAGTATTTCATAAATGTTTAAATAAAAAAAAGGGAAAAATATTTAAAATTTCGTCCGAATCCAGTGGGGTATCAAAATATAGGTTTTTAAGAAACGATTACAAAAATATATACAACTTATATGTTTAAAAATAATTTAGAATAAGAAATTATTAAATAAAACTAATAAAATTGTCTGACCAAAACTACAAAGCTGTAAATCGCTCTGCAGATGTGGTTTTTGTACTTTTAAGATGGAATACAAAGATACGGTGTCAAAAAAATCTTCACTAATTACAAAAACTTTTGATTAATAAAAGAATCAAGTCAGGTTACGAATGCAGGGATTTTAAAATAGCAAAAAAAAAGTCAAAATTAGGGACTTAAAGACTAATGGGCATTGCGTGAAATTAACATGTCTTCTGGCTGCTTCAAATGACCCAGTTTCTACGGTGAATAGAGTAAATAGTTACTTTGATAACATCGGTACAGTACACGAGTGTGTGCGCAACTTTAACTTTCATGTTCCTATGCGATGATAATGAGGGCTGTCGTTTCTGGTGGCACCAGTTGGCGCCACTCGCGAATAAAGCCCTATCGCTCTCGTTGAAACGGTATTTTCTAGTGCGGCAGACCAATAAAATAATAATAAAACTAAGTAATTATTTAAAATCCTGATAGAACAGGATTTTAAATAATTATTCATACCCAAAAAAAATATATTGTATTTTTCATAACTCTTCTTTTAAAGGAATATGATTTATGCACCATGTCTGTCATAATTAATCAGGAATGCTACAATGTTTACACTATTAGTGAAGATCCGCGATGAAATCTCGCTCACAAATAGTGCACGTTCAGTGTCATTTGACATTTGGATCTTACTCTACACTAACGCCCTCTCGCGGCGAATTCGAACGCAGTAGCCCTCACTACAAGCCGCTAATTGTACAGATTTTTGTGACTGTGATATTGATAACTTACAGGTTAGCCTATTTATTCTTTTCCTATAATAAATAATAATGGATGTCTATTATTATATTCTTTATTGCATATTAACATGTAACATAGATAATAATACAGAGACCAATGTACGCAAAGGTGGATTATCTCTAGAAGAGATCTCTTCCAGCCAACCAATGGAAGTGAGAAATAGTGTTATATAACGGGTCTAAAAGAGTGCAATTAATATAAGGTAAAATTATAAATAATCATAAACTTGAATTAGATAAAAATAAATAAATCAAAAATACATATAATGATAATGTACAATAACTTATATATTATACTATATATAAATACATATAACATTACATATATATTTAATATACAATAATATATTATACAAAAATAATAAAATTAAGGAGTAATTTGTGTCAGAAAATACAATTTTATATATTTTTTAAAAGCAGGAAGTGGGTATTTCTAGTTATTCCATGTTCGGTCATTTTATGTAATGGCCGAGTCAGAATGGCGCACTGTAGTCCCTACAGTACTAGTACACTATAGTGCCTAGTATAAATATATACAAACTAACGTATGGCAAATATTGTAAAAATTAATTCTGCATTCTGATAAAAACTATAATTTTAACCATTTTTAACTGTGTTAAACAATTACACAGTTACGGAATAAAAAATAAAAGCGCCATCTTTGAATATACATTACAAACCTATAATAGGTAGGTATGATAGGCCTGATTGCAGATATTTCAATAATCAAGAAAATTATACAAATTTGATTTATGAGCGTATTATTTCGTTTTCCTTCACTTAGCATATTTTTTAAAACAATAATAATACACAATTTGTTGATGATGAGACTCCATGGTTGAGGAAACATTCTAGTGCAATGCTCGATGCGGCTCGAAGGACCAGAGGAGTTTCGATGAATAATAAATCATGAGGTTTTGTAGAAATTTATTTAATATTTACAATTTTATTTTTAAGCAGCTGACGAGACAATCACAGCGACACAACTCTGAGCGACGGAGTTAAAATAGCTATAAAATAGTCTCAATATGAATATAATATACTATTACACATTTATGTGGTAGATTGTACTTCAGAGCTTACTGTCATCGAAATAAAAGATAAGAGAACACATCTTTACAAGTTGATATGTAAAGCCGCGTGTGCGCGCTGTGCTCGCCGCGCCGCAGCGCCACTCGACACGTTACATTACAGGTTTATATTACAAGTGCCTACACTATGTACAAGTCCCAGCGCGCGCCTCCCCCACCTCCCCCCTCTCCTTGACACACCATAACAATATTTTATTTATGTTAAAAGATAAAGATACATATATTTAATTTTAATATAATTTAATATATTGAGATTGCAAATAACAAGGCGAGGCGTGCGCGGTGCGGCGGGACGTGAAGTATTCAAGGGACAGGTCCGAACAGTCCTGCCAAAGCTTTATTTTGGTTTATGCATTATTTCCCTTTTTCTGTTACTCGCGATTCAATTGAGCTAATTTTCAAATCGATCTCACATCGATTCAATAGAAACTTATTGTATTGCATTTTAAAGAAGATTTAAGATTCGACCGTAACGTCGAACGGATCTCTGTAATTGAAATATCTATTAAGGCTGTTAAAGTTATAATTTTAATCCAATAATTAAAAAAAATCTTTAATGGCAGCTTACGTGGCTTCTTTTGAATAAAATTCTCGTGTAATAAAAAATACATGTCAATTTTTTACTCGGTGACGAGCTGAAATAGAACAATCGTCAATAAAAAATAGGATAATTAGTCGATAAAATCGAACAACGTCCGGGGGTCTATTTCAGCTCGGCACGTAACACTTTCCTCCAAAAGTCCTTTTGCGTCATTAAACATAGAGGTGTCCACTCGGCCGCGGTGCCTACTGGTCGGGCGCGGCGGCGGCGGCGGCGGGGGGCCCGGCGACGGGGGCCCCGGGGGCGGGGGCGGCGCGCATAGGCGGGAAGTGCTTGGGGTCGCGCAGATCGAATGCGCCGCGCGGCGGCGAGCCCGCCAGCGCCGCGCCCAGCTCCAGCGCGCGCTCCGCGTCTGCGCACACACACCGCTCGTCAGCGCGCGCTCGGCCACCAAATATTTTCAAAATAGATAGATACTACTAATAATAATTCATAGAGTCCCCTCGCCTTACCCGCGAGGGAATCCGTTCATTTGAACTAATGTGATTTTTTGAAGCATTTGAACGATATAATACGATAACAAAATAAATATTAAACACTATTTCAACTTGTTTAGTTTTACAAATTGCATGCAGGCGATGAGGTGAGGGAATCTGACATATAAAGGAAAACGACCATATCAAATATACTTTTAAGATATTTACAATAATAAAATATAAGAAAACGGTAAAAAATATTACACGAAAATAAAAATATGAAAATAATTAAAACCATCACCGGTTATTATATACATACATACGTACATGACATGGAATGCCTCACTAAAGGGCACCGGCGCACAACGAACATGCTGCAGAACTCGATCAAATGTGGTTTGCAAATGTACTCTATTACATTTGTTTAAAGCACCAACCAAAAAAATTGCCTCTATTTAAAATAATTTAAAGTCTAAGATTCACAACAGACCATATATTATTATGATGTATACGATAGGTGGAGTGTAACGTGAAAATGTGACGTGTGAATGGAGGCGACGTGGCAGACTGCGCCGGCCGGCGGCTGGCGGCGACGGGTACTCACGCTTCTGCTAAGTTTTAATAAGAAAAAGCAAGCGGTATGGCCTCGGCGAGACCGCACGCACGGCGCAAGCGGGACGTGGGGCGTCATGGCGCGGGAGGGGAGGGATGGGGTAGCGAGCAAGTAACATTGAAACGAGCAAACGGAGAGATCGAGGCCGGTGGGGCGGTAGGGCGGCGGCGCAGAGCGTCGGTGGGCGGGCGTCGGGGCGGGGCGGGGCGGTCGGCTAGCTACCTGTCATGTGGTCCGGGTGGCGGCCGCGCAGCGCGCCCGCGTAACTGCAGCCCGGCGCGGCTGCGGGGAACAACTCGTGAGCGCGGCGTCGCTCGCCGCCGCGTCGCCGTCGCGCCGCCGCCGCGCCGTCGCCGCGCACAACGGCGGCGTGACGGCGACGCGGCGGCGGCGCGACGGGCGAACGAGCGAGCGGACGCATAGCCACGCCGTTGTGGATCGTTTTAATATATTATAAATGAATACATAAATTATACTTATACATTATTTATGAGATACCTAATGAATGACAACTGATATGAAGGAGCACCGACCCGTGTCTCGAGGTCGACATATAGATATATAAAATAAATAGTTTTAAGTAATGCATATACATTACTTATAAATAATACATATAATAAATATTAATATAAAATAAACGTAAAGGGAACACAATTAGGTCGGTACCGCGAAGGTTGGAGCCTGTCTTGAGGAGGGAAGGGAGGGGCACTGTGAGGGGGGAGGGAGGGGGTCAGTGGTATTGCGCGCACTCACTGCTGGTCAGTATGTTGCTTTTACAGATAATTTTTCAATTTTTGTGTAAAATAAAGTACCAGCACTGAGCGTTAATACACGAGCGGTAAGTACTCGATAGCGTTAAAAAGAACTTAAATAGAAAGAGAGCTAACGAATGAGAGGTCTACGCGTGTGGTGTGTGTGTGTGTGCGTGCGTACCGTCGGCGGGCGGCGCGGGCGCGTCCAGCAGGCGGTGCGTGCGCAGCAGCGCGCACTCGCCGCCGTCGGCCGCGTCCAGCGCGTACACGTGCACGACGCCGTCCGACGTGGCCGCCACCAGCCGCGCCGCGCGCGACACGCTGCGGACGCGCACAAACTTTTGTTAATACTTACTTCAAAAACGATGTTACCCCAAAATCAAAATAACTTTTGCCCACACTATTTCCGATTTTGCCACACTATCTCAGAATGCGTACGTAACATATATATTTTTACACAATGTAATTGACATTTACGACGGTAAAAGATAACTTAAATCATAATCATTGTCAAACCATAGCAAATTATCCCATATGTGGACCGCCATAAAGATGTTACATATGTAAATGTAATTTAATTCTTATTTCATACAATATGTAAAAAAAAACCCTAGAGGTATATTTTACGTACATACATCTATCGTAGCGATAGCAAGTTAAAATAATTTCACCACAGTTTATTAGTAAATCCATACCATCGCCTAACGAAAGCACTTAGACAGGGCTATGGTGAGCGCGCGCGAGCGAGGCCGGAGGGGCGCTTCCGACTGTTATTACCTTTATATGAGAGTCTAGAAACAGCTTGAGGGTAGAGGGATATTACTATGACTTACTACGATATAGTACTACAAAGTTTTAATTTCGAAAATTGGTATTTTTAATGATCCCTGGATTTGATAGCATTATTATGTCAATCAATGGACGAGAAACCTACTACTGTACATTTATATACTTTAGTTTTATTAAAAACTTATATCAGAAACTTATATCAGAAAACAAGGACAGATAGTGTGTTTGATCATTGATGACACCCCTGTGTTACACGCACGCGCGGTCGTGAGTGCCACATGACGGTGTTGCCTAGTGTCTAATTCAAATGAGGAGCATTTTAATATGTTGATGTTTTTGGGGAAATGTGGCTATATTATGCAGAAGTACGAGGATATTGCGAGAAGGAGCCGCTATTCACACACTTTTCCTCTCACACTTTTTGTGCTTACAAATTTGCATTGCTAACGAAGGCAAAAAAAACTGGAACTGTGAAATAAGATATCGGTGGCTCACTCACTTGGGAAACCGAGTGAAGTCAGTACAAATGTCGGGTCTCGCACCCCTGATACTCTCAAGAGTGAATCATTTCCAACATGATTACTACTCGTCTTACGGCGAAGGATATCATCGTGAGGAACTCACTTGGTGACGGCGGCGACGACGCGGCGCGCGGGGCGCGGCAGGCGCGCGGCGGCGAAGGCGCGGCCCTGCGTGAGCACGTCGGCCACCTGCGCCGGCAGGTAGCCCGCGCCCGCCGACACCGCCTGCGACAGCCAGTCGATCCAGCCCGCCTCGCCCGCCGCCGTCGCCTCGCCCGCCGCCGCCGCGCCCGCCGTGCCGCCCTCCGCGCCCGCGCCGTTCTCCGCCAGCCGGAACACGTGCACTGTCTCCGTGTTGGAGGTGGCCGCCAGGTAGGCGCCGCACGCGCTGAAGGCCAGGCACGCGATGCTCACGCAGCGCTTGACGCCGCGCCGGAACTCGTACAGGCGCGTGCGCTCGGGCACGGCGAACACGCGGATGACGGTGCCGCGCTCGGACGCCGTGGCCAGCCGCCGCCCGCACATGGACCACGCCAGCGCCGCCAGCGGGCTGTCGTGCGCGCTGATCACGCACTTCGCGTTCTGAAACGGACGTCACGAGTCGTAGCTGCGCCGTGTACGAGGGGCGAGGGACGGGGGACGGGGGGCGGGGGCGGGACAACTCACAAGGTGCACCGCGTCGAAGATCTGCACCTCGCCCACGGCGCTGGAGCCGGGGTAGGCCACGTAGCAGTGGTCCACGCAGGGCGACAGCGCGCACAGGCCGCGCGGGTTGGGCGGCGTGTCGCGGATCGTGTGCAGGATCTTCATGTCGCGGATGTTGTGAATGTGCAGCGACTCCTCCAAGCATACTATCAGCCTCTGCGAACATTCAGACATCACATCTATATTTATTATATAACCAAATTTGTACCTACTGGACACGTCGGTCGTCGGTTTAGATTCAACATGACGTGGATAATTAATTTTTACTTAAAAGACATTATAAAGACGAATTAAACTAAGACTACAAAATAAAACAAGAAACGCTCGATAGACTTACTGATCGATTGAGCTTCACCGCGAGGATGGTGTTGCTGTAACTGTAATTACATATCTCGGTGCCTTTTTTGTAATGGCACACTATTAACTTTCTGAAAAAAATGAGAACACATTTAATATATTTAAAATGCCCAATAATTAATTAAATAACTAATATTCCTGAGTATAAAATAAAAAAAGCTACAGTTCAGAGTTTTGAAGGTGTACCATCAAAAACGCCACCTCCGGCGCTGGAGGCAACTACGAGTGTATGGTATTTTTTTATCCATAAAAGAATTATTAAAAGGTACAAATTCTTAACATATTATTATGAACTATCGCATAGGCATGTCTATACATATACATATGTATGTATATTATAGTACATACATAGCATTCACTACAATACTCGGATAAAAAAAATTTACAAAACAGAAGAATAATTCCGTATAAATATATTGAATCATGTTATAATAAATGTAAATAGTAACTAATAGTAATTAATGAATTTTTCTTTGGTCGAGTAGTTGAGAAGATTACGTGCGTCAAGAAAATGTCGCGCGATGCTCGTCGTCGCGATGACGTCACTCAGTCGCTGTGACCGACGACGGAGCGGTTTACGACGCAACGCGCGTAAACAATATTTATCAGATTTTAAAAATAGTTATCGCTTACGATTAAGAATATACGCGTATTATTTAAAAGAAACTTGTGTATTTGTCACTACTCATCCTTCCCTTTACATATTGGATGTGAACACTACGTGTTCGCAGACTATATAACGTTCCACATTCGCTCTTGCTTCGTTGAAATAAGTAATGTTTGAAGAACGCAAACATTAAATCTGTGTAGGGATAGATCCTTTAATTTTTTTGTAAACCGCGGTATCGGCTTCGTTCGCGAAGTGTTGAAAGAAGAAATAAAAAATTAATTTGATTTAGATAAGGAATAAAAATATTGTAATATGCTCTATATAGAAATAAGTTTTAAACGCTATTTAGCAGAAACCTTTTTATTTCCTTGGATTCTTACGTGAAGATAATAAACACTAGGTAGCAAAATATTTATCTTATAAATAAATAAATAAAATAAATAAATTATCTTTTTCTGAGATAAAAAGTGTGTTGCACATGGAAGGTACCTATACAATATACATAGGTATATGTGCTAATTCAAAACGCTCTTTACTTTCGAAGCCTATAATTGATAGTAATTTCGCTAAATGCGATAAGAGTAGACGGCAGGACGCCACCGCGACGCGCCAGTCGCCACCCGTAACGCGCAATAACAATGCAAATGTTGATAAACACTTGCCGTACGTAGTAGGTGCGTGGATGTGGCGTCACAGTTCGCTCGAGTGAATTGTGATTAATTCAATAGGAAAATGATAACATTTTCTGTTGTCGGTTACGATCGTTCTATCGTAGGCAAAAACGTAATAATACATATTGCAGTAAGCGCTCGTGCGTCGTATTTCTGGTCTAATCTGCGCTCGAGTAATCCTTACATCTATACTATAATAAAACAGTAGAGGTCGAATGTCTGTACATAGCAAAAAAATGCTAAAAACCGAGTCAGGGGTTTTTTGTCTCTCTGTCTGTTTGTCTGTTTGTACGGAGTAATCTACGAATCTATTGGACCGATTTAAATGAAATTTTGCATGGTGGTACCTTATATCCCCGGGCAACATCTTAGATACTTTTTATCCCGGAAAATTAATAGCTTCCGTGGGATAGTTAAAAAAACTATAGTATTTATACAGCTTAGTACACAACAACTTATGCACCTAATTTAGTACAATTTAACATTCTAGCTTATATTGCCGGTCAAACAACAGGTTACTTTTCATCCCGGAAAAAAACCAGTTCCCGTGGGAACTAATAGATCGCTATTAGTGTTTTTCGTTAGTAATATAATAAAATAACAACAAAGCGTTTGTACATAATTTTTTTTTTTTTTAATAATAATATGTGTTAATACAAAACAATATTTTTTGGATTTTTTTTTCTTTGTCTGCATGTCTGCATGCGTTGTGCATATCATGCAAAAGTACTGAACGGATTTCAACTATGTACATTTTGTAAAGTGATAACTTATTACTCGGGTCAAAATTTAGGATACCTTTTACTACAGGAAAATCTCTCATACTCACGGGAAAACGCAATAATTGGTTCAGCCGAGTTGTCTTTAATTCATAAATTTTAATTATTTTTTACACAAAAAGTATATCGCATATCGCAGGGTATAGCAGGGTTCCCTCCCAACGTGCGTTCACCAGCCGTCATACAGCCGGGCGCGAAGCCAAGAAACGCACAGGGAAGTGGCCCGCTTCGGTGGGCGGTGGGAGGCGGCCCTCTTCGGAGAGCGGTGTATCATGCGGGTTGCTCCTGGTACTTCTCTGATAGCAGAGTGGACCTTGGAGCAACCCCGTGGTTGTTGTGGTCTGCTTCGGCCGTCGGGGCGTCGTAGTTGAATGCGTAAGCGATCCTGCGACGCCCCATTAAGACGGGGGAAGGCTTTGTTGGGTTTTAGTGGGTAGTACTGGCTTTGCCGGTGAGTCCCACACCTCGTGCGTAAATGCATTTCCCAACGTTAAAAAAAAGGGTATAGCAGGGTTGAAAATTAACATAGGTAATATATTTGGCAATTTAGTGGGGTACAATCCCTCATTTGTATGGGAAAATATAAAATTTAGTTTGGCCGCGAGTCACTATGTACTCGTACATCTTTTATACACTAGCGAGTGCGACTCGCTTGGGTTCGTCCCTATCGGTGATTCTTTAAATTAACATAACTTTTTTATTTATAAACTGATTGAAATAAAACGAATACCAAATGTTAAGTAAAGCTTTCCATAATACATTAGTGAAAACCGCGCCGTTTCTACGATTGGCACGCACAAACGCACAGACAAAGAGACTTAAATTCTAAAAATCATTGTTTTGGGTTCTATTGCATTAATAAATACTCTCAATAATAGTTTTTCTCAAATATCATCCATGTACAGACAGCGATCACATATACTTATTATATGTACAGATAATATAAACTAAGTTGCTGTCTACACCTGTCTGTTTCTCAGCTTACTTCTTCTAAATTACGCAACGGATTTTCAAACGGTTTTCTCATGAACGAAGTCTCTAATTCGTTCATGGGTTTTCTATACATATAATAAAATTGTAACTAAGCCGAATCTGTACATTAAATATTTTTTGGAAAATCTTATTGACGTAGATATTATAATCAATACAGAGGCCGAATCTATAGTTTTTAGAATTTTTGTCTGTCTGTTTGTCTGTTACCGCATCACAGAAAAACCGCTGGAGGGATTTTGATGAAATTTGGTATGGTGATAGCTGGTTATCCGGGTCAACATATAGGATACTTTTTACCGCGGGAAAATATCTCATTTTTGAGAAAAAATACAAAAACTGCAATGTAAGATAAACTTATATGTAAAACCTAAGAATTTGGTTTTTGGTCATCTTAACGCGGGCGGAGCCGCGGGCAATGCTAGTCACTAATAAAATAAGAAAGGTTTGAGTATAATATATTTTTTAAATATTTTGTAGGTACTTATGGCTGAACTGTGAATGTGTTTGTATTTTAAATCCTTCATAGTTCTAAAAAACACAACAGAGTTTAAAAAAAGCTGTTTTATATGCTTATATACATAGGTAACGCTGACTAAACATTAAAAGGTGGTACAAAACAAGATCTTGAAAAAGTAGAAAATTGTTAGTTTTTAAAAGGCCTACAGAAAAATTCACAGTACCATGCATGTATCTATCTCCTAAGGTACACTCACTATAACTTTTTTAGATATTTAAAACGTATTTAAAGGACACACCTAGAACTTGGGACGCACCCAAGGGAAGCGAGTGTAACTCGGTAGTATAAAATAATACTAGCGACTCACCCTCGCTTCGCTCGGGTTTGTCCCTAGCTTGCTTCCTAACACAGACTTTCATCCCCATTTTCACTCCCTTCCGGGTTGATTTCCGGGATAAATAGTACCCTATGTCCTTCCCAGGCTTCCAAACTATTTTCTTACCAAATTTCATCTAAATCTATTCAGTAGATCCAGAGATTACCCCCCTACAACGTCACAAACGTACAAACTCACAAAGTTTACTTGTTTATAATATTAGTATAGATACCTAAGTTGTATAACAGCGTTAAAATAAAAAAATAAAAACAATTAGCTATACTTGTTAATTTAAATATAAGAGGAACCGAATTTCAAAAACGTGACGAAATGAAGAGATTGAGCTAGTTAGTTCAAAATGAAAACCTAAACCTGAAAATCTTATTTCTTGTGCATAGGAGATTACCCTAACGATGAACGTCTGACGGTCGGACCGCAGCACGGCGCGTGCCAACAACATAAGGTCACCTGTAGTTGTGGAGCATTTGCCTAGTCTAGACTCTGTCCACACTGATACAGACTCGTGCTATCACGACCTCAGCGCAGGTTCATTGACCTTCTCTCTTTTTATCACAATAATGTTGTGATTATAACTTTTAATTATTAAAAGAAACTCCTTTTTATAGTAACCTTTTCGCGTCAGTTACATACTCGTATACTGCAAGTGCTAAGTACTAAAAGTAAACTAAAGCATATGATTTACATATAAAGCATACGATGCATTTATATGAAATATAATGTATGAACATAAAATAAAAATAAGAAGCTTAGCTTTGCATTACTTTCACTTAATATAATTTTACAAAAGAAATAAATAAATGTATATATTTAACATTTTAAATAATACTATCTTTTCGGATTATTTCGCGGATTTATTTTGATGTAAAGCATTCGAAACGTCGGGAACCAAAAATCTAAATAAATCCGCGAAATAATCCGAAAAGATAGTTTTATTTAAAATGTCAAATATTCGCGTAAATCTAAGAAAGTATTAAGTATATATTTAATTTATTTATAAGAATGAAACAGAAGAATTTTATAAGGTGGCCGAGATGCGGCTCGAGACCAGCTGACCCGCTGCGCCGCCGCGTTCGTGACTCACGGTCAAGACCACGCACGCCCGCCTATTATTAAATTTTTGCATAATATGAAATAATAAACTGCTAAATAAAACTTTCACAGCTGTTTGTTTTTAAAAGTTATATATGTATGAAATGAAGTATTTCCCTAGGCTATTCTAACTTACACATACAGATTTCGTAAGCGCACCACTAAGAAATTATATTTTGTAGAAATGTACCTATTACTTTATTATAGTCGGACACTTGCGCTCATGGCTAATAAATATTGCATAACAATAAAAGTACGAACATATTTCAGTAACCGCTTGAAAAAATGAGTCTTTTACTGAACTCCATTAACTTTGAGCTACATAATATATACATTCATAGTACATACATATGTATGTAAGTGCGACCAAAATAGAGACCTTACGACGCGACGTGACTCGTTAGGTTCGCTACACATGACAATTGACACGGTACAGACTGCACGCACACGCCCATGCCGTATGTGTATATTTTAATTGTAACAACATTCACGCAGAGGTCGCAGTTGGTGCCACTTGTTCACTTCACATACTGTGTATAACTAGTGGACCAATAGTTGCACTCAATGTGGTAGTCCACTTGAATTGTCCATAAAAATCATGTGAAGACTCAAACTACACCATTATATCTAATCATCTAATCACTATCAGTCTATCACTAATTAAACTTAACTATTTTTATCCGAAATTATTAACTGTATAATAGAAAATTCCATAGTATTGTAGTATATATTCAGCCCTTTTTACCATCCCTCTGCTGGGCGTGGGCCTCCCTTCAATACGAGGCAGATCAGGCCACTATGTTGGCCAAATGCAGGTTGACGGACTTCACATGTCTTTCGAGAACTTGCTGGTTCTCTCAGACATGCAGGTTTCCTCCCGATGTTTACCTTCGCCGTCAGACAAGTGGTAAACAATTCATACATGAAAATATAAGAGGTGCGAGAACCGGGATTTGAACCCGCTTCACTTGGTGTCCCAAGTGAGCGCGTTATCACTGGGCTACCACTGCCTTCGATGCCTAAATTCCATAGTGTTTGAAATATTATTATTCAAAACAGACATATAAACTCAATTTTTAAAATAGATATTAGCTTCTTTTTGCCAAACATTACCTATGCATAAATTGTTTACAAAATATTCAACTTTGTGCCACTTATACTTGTTTAGCATAGCACTGGTGAATTTTCACTTTTATATTTATCAAGTAATTGTTATTGGAATATTCATAGAGTTCATTTATTTTGTAATGACTTACAGCGATTATTCAAAACAAAAGATAGGTAGAAAATAATATTTTAAAAAAAACTTTTACTAATTGTAAAACACTAATTTAAAAAAAATCTATAATCATAAATCTTTGCAGAGTTATATGTTTTAATATGATGGATGGATGTTCAAAGTCAAAATAAATTAAATTTAATAAGCATGAACATTGAAGTTGGTATTATAGAAAGTTGTTCAAGAACAATGAGCAATAGTGCATATGACTATTGCTCTTACATTGAATTTCTATCATTCCTTACCACATTAGGAGCTTGTCTATTAAGAATTTATATGAATGAATATTTGTATATTTTCCTTACCTGGGTGCTGATACTGTGACAATAGCAACCAAGGAGCTGCTAAACAGGCGATCCACAAGGCAAGTATCTTGCCCCGAGCGGCTGGCATAGATTTCTTCAATTCCATCATCAGGAGTTAGAGCGAATAAATGATAGCCACTGCTGCTACCTGCTACCAAGGACCTATAAAATTATTCATGTACATATAAAAATGAAACAATCCTTAAAACCAAGGTGTTCCATTGTTATGTTATTGTTGTTTAGGCTAAGATTTTACACTAGATAAATGAATATTATTTATTGCTTAAAAATATATATATATATAGCAATATTTTTTTTTTCTTTTGATGAACACAATGATTTTTTTTAAATACAGTATTGCAAGCACCAATAAAAATAAAGTGATGTTTCAGTGTTTACTAAAATATTTTTATACATACTTTTAGAAGAAATATTGCATGTATAAAGTAGTTCAAAATAATATTCAGCTGTTTATATATGAGTATCATACAAAGATATAGGCCTTTTTTTTAGTTTGCTGTAATGCATCGTCAGGTATCTATTGGTCGGTGTAATGTTTATTTACAACATCTGATTTTTGCTTGTTGTTACGAAAACGCTGGCATTGACATATTGCATCATCGCGCAATAACTAACGCAAGTTGTTTTTGTTTCTCAAGGTGCTGCTTGACGTGACCCCGCGTTTGAAAAGCCATCGATGTAGCCAAGCCCACGACTAACGATAGCAGGCTATCAGCAACCTTGAAGGCTGTAGCGTACTTACAGTTGGGCTCAATCGCGTCTTGAAGGACGATATGTTCCGTAGAGTCTAGCGCTTGAGCCAGCTCTTTCACTTTTTAGCTTTGAAGTCATCACAATAATCACTTACGTGCAATCTTGATTAAACTGAACGAATATTCCTCCTGCATTTGTTCCCTCTGCGCCATGACCTCCTCCCAAACTCATTGGACCGTTCGAAATTGCGAGTTTCTTCAAATATTAATTATTATTAACGACATACGCGCACTGCGACCTTTGTTACCGAGCACAAACAGTCACTGACTTCTTGTAAATAACAAAAACTGTGTAATCGTCACAAGTAGGTTTTTTTGACACAAAGAACGACCTTGCTTGCTGCTAAAAACATACCCCCTCCCGCACAACTCAAATCATCCATTCGCTAATCGTAGAAAGAATATCTATTCACTATTGCAGTTGCACAGTACTACTGTCACTCGTTTATTATTATTTGATACCAAATTCGCTATGTTAAATTTTTTTATACATGATTATAATATTAAAATATTATTATCATTCGCAACTTAATTAAATATTTCCTCATTATGTTATTAATGAAATGGGGAAGATTACTCGAAAGGAGGGCGCCACACGTATGACCTATTTACATTCTGAGGATAAACAATTTATAGTGATATCTCTTTTTTTGTTTATATGGTGTTCACCGTTGCAATGTATTGTACCTGGAAGTTATACCAGCTGTCGGAGGAATAGAGAAAGAGAGGTGCATTCTGCGGTGGTCCTGACTGACTAATGGATCAACACACAACCTAAACCGCTGGTCGTAGAAACGTGAAATATAAGAAATTAGAGGACATATATCCCTATGATGACGATGATGTTCTCCTGGCCGATTCTGGCTACGTTGGCCAATCTCATTGAGACTAGCCAACTGCGCAGGAGATACTATAGTGTTGTGCACGTGTACGTGCAGACACAAGTGCACTCTTTATTCCTGTCACTCTCATACTCCGGTGGGACGACTACTCGACACGAACAGTGAGAGTTAAGGCGCAGGACCAACGGCTTTACATGCTCTCCGAAGTACGGGGGTGAAAAACCGCCAACTTCCCAACTCCGGGCTGTTACTGAGACTTACTATACAGAAAGACTCAATAACTAAACTTGGCCCGACCCGGGACTCGAATCCGGGATCTCCGAGTGTGCAGCCGTACACTACACCGCCGAGGCATATATGAGATAGATATGAGAAAAGATTTTTTTGAAATTCATCCCCTAAGTGGGTAAAATAGGAGATTGAAGATTGTATTAAACTTTTATTCTTAATGTATTGTACACAAAAAGTGGTGTTTAGCTTTAAGATAAAAAATAAAATATATATTTATTAATTTTTTTCGAAATTCATCCCTTAAAGTAGTAAAAAGGAATAATAAAATTTACATGGGTAGTTAATTATTTATGATCAGAATAACTTGAAACTTGATGTTTATAATGCTCTTCGAAACAATGAAATAAATATTTGTTTTAGTATTTTTCGAAATTCAATCCAATAAAGTTTGTAAGAAAATCTGTAATTAATATGTAAGAAACTACGAAAAATAAAAAACAATATTCGCCTGTGGACGATTTAAGTTTCAAAATCACTTTCCTTAAAATGATGTCCACATAGCCTTAAATATAAAGATTATGATTTCGCCAATTTTAGTCGTCTTATCGCTTTAACCCACAATTTCTTAAGTTTTTTCTTTTGGGAACAAATGATAAACATTTTCTTAGCATACTGGCTCTGCATGATTTGTCATTTTATTTGAATTTTAAATAAAATAAAAAAAAATCTATCCACGCTTTAAAGCTTTACAATATACTGAGGGCTATAGTGATCGCGATATATTGCGGGAGAAAAAGGCAAAGTTCTTCCCCATTTAGGAATGCTGTTTTTCTTTTTATATGGCAATAAATAATTTTGACAATTATCAGCTGACTCAATGTCAGTGCAATCTCACTGAAAAGTGAAAAAGGGTTACATAATCTATGCTCACTGACAAATACTATCAAAGTCAATTGTCAAACAAATTGCAAGTTGTTCCAAAATATTTGAATGCACGTGTTTGAACTTTGGTGTTAACTGTTAAGTGTTAACTTTTATTTGTTCCATGGTGTTAACTTTAACTTATGCAGTGACAGTTGTGAAAAAACATGTGTTTATTTAGTAATTTCTATAAATTGAAATAATAATACTAATTTTATCAATAATTGTAGTACAATATATGTTTGTATTGTTTCACTAAATCTAGAAAATGGGTCGCAAAATTCCAGCTAAGAAACATCGAGGAGTTAAAGATCCCGCTGTGCAACAAGCCAGGAGGTTACAGAGGTATTTATTTATTCATTTATTTTTGACTATAATACAAGAGCCAAGTTGTGATTTATATGTAACCTTAAAGTTACATATCTATCAATGTAAATTCATTTATTTTTGTTTAGTTTGAAGGGAAAAATAAATGCTCCGCCAAAAGATCCAGATGAGCAACCAGTTCCACGTTCTCTTACACAACTGTTTGCATTTGAAAATAAAGACCAAAAGACGAAAAAGAAAAAAATAAACAAAAATAGTTCTTATAAAGGTAAAATTCTTTTGAAAACTTTCTTGGAAATTAATCAGAGGATTATAAAGATCATAAATATATATGTTTTTTGTTAATTCTCAAATAATTATGTTGTAGATGGTATAAAAGATACAAGTGCAACACACAATCCTATTGCTCGCTTAAAGAAATTACCTGGAGAGTCAGGTCGTGGCTTCTCATTGCGTATTAATAGTGCTATAAGAGCTTTAAATGATCCTATGGAACAATTGGACTATCCTGTAAGTGAAATTTTATATTATTATATTCTAATAACTTGTTAATTTGTCTGAGACAAGTGATCAATATAAAACAATTTGTGCTGTGGTATGGTATTTTATGTTCGGGCCGGTTTCTGCAACTCGCCGACTTTGCAGTTGTGGGAATGTTATCCTGCCACCCCAATTCCTCCAGTAAGTTCAGCAGCCTCTTCGCGCTACTGAAGACTTCCGGGATTTGGAGTAATAAGTACATAATTGCACTAAATCAGTGACAAAACATTGGTCTATGGGGTGTGACTGATGATAAACACAATACTACTTTTGTGATCCTATAAAGTTCATATAAAATGTATGTATCTAAATATAAATAAAAACAGAAATTTAAATGCATAAAATATAGCTTTATAGCTTTATCCCTTTAAATATAATAGCATAATTGATGTTTTTAGGAAGATGTAGATGTTGATGATGTAAAGGGTGAGCGTATCGCAGCACAGCGGGAACGACGCCAGCGGAAACACAAGAAGGCAAATAAACATGCACCACCAGGAGAACCTAAAATTGGCCGTGCAAAGAAACTGGCCTTAAAGAAACAAGAGAAGAAAAATAAAGCTGCTGAGGTATGTGATGATTATTGAGTCATTTATATTTAATCGTTAAAGTAATATATGATTTGATTAAGCAGGCTATCAACAATATCTTAAAATTATTATGTTTTTGGATTTCCTTTTAATTTATAATTTATTTTATTATCTATATTTTTAAGCTGAATTGGTACAACATTTGTTATGAGTACAACATTATATAAGTAGTAAATAGTAAGCAGTAGCGTGGTTTCGCGTGTCCGCAGGAGGCGTCGCGCGCGGAGGTGGTGTACGAGCGCGTGGGTTTCGGCGAGGTGACGCACGCGCCGCCCGCGCTGCCCGTGCGCCCGCGCCGCGCCGCCGCCGCTGACGGTGCGCCTCGGGTGCGTACACGTTTGGAATACCTAGAGTATATACTTAAAGTACGAGATAGCATGAGCGTAGAGAGGTGCATTGATATATTATTGCCACATTGAAAAAAAATCGGCCTTTAATATTTTCAAACAATGAATTTTAATGTTATTAACAAAAGTAATAATAGTTTAAACAAAATTTGCGTTTGTATACAATAATATGTCTATGATTCAATCATGTCACTCATCTGAAGAAACCATATCACCTTAATATTTTATTTTTTCTTAAGAATGTGCTAAATGGTGCATTCACTAAAACTGCCGAGTGGACATACAGAACAAATGGTGTTCATGTCTATTTGGCCATTATGAAAAACAAACAACGCCATCTATGAATAAAGTGTACAAAACTATTGAGTGGAGTTGGTTTTTTAATGACTAGTAACATTTTAAAATCTTCTATAATATATGTATTTATATTAAAACTTGGCCCAGGTGGATAAAATTACCTTTCATCGAGAAATATTAGGATTTTTTTGATAAACTAAATCCATCCATTTTGTTAGGGTTTATTTTAGTAGTTTATAGATTTAGGGTTTCTGTGGTTAATTTTACTTAAACCTGATAATTGGTTTAACATACTTTATAGAGAGTTATTGAACAACTATTTTCTAATAAAATGAGGGTTCCTTCTATTCATGGTATTGGCACAGTTTACTAATTCATACAGTTGTCTAACAAAGGCCTTTTGAGGGCAATCGTTCGTAGTGAGATTCCGGTGAGGCGCACTCGAATGTCATATTTTCTATTATAGTTACAAAACGGCTTTAGAGTCGACATACTTGGCGCGGGAAGGCACTACAATGCTTTAACTTCGAAATTCGTCAAGAAGATTAGTATTTTTACAATCTTTGTAAGCATTTTCGTTAAAATCAATGGGCGATTGCCTACTGACGCATGAGTGTTGATGTGGTGTATTGGTACCTCAGCCGGGGCGGCGCGATCTGCTGCTGACGGCGATGCTGCGCGCGGGCGGCGCGGGGGCGGGGGCGGCGGCGGGCGCGGGCGTGGGTGCGGCCGAGCGCATGCGGCGCGAGCGCGCGCGCCTCGACGTGGTGGCCGCCTACCGCGCGCTCAAGAAGGAGCGCCGCGCCGCCCGCCGCTAGTAGCCGCCGGCGCCCGGCACACTTCTACGAGAGCATCGTAAACGTTATTGTGTAACGAGGGATTCATTTTACAACAACACTATATTTTGCGACTGATTTTAGTAATGTTAAAATAGTTAACTTGTCTATACTTATAATAAAATTCTGAGTCAAATCTGTACATTAAATACTTTTTGGATAATCTTATTTAAATAGACATTATTATCAATACAGAGGCCGAATCTATAGTTTTTAGAATTTTTGTCTGTCTGTCTGTCTGTCTGTCTGTCTGTCTGTCTGTCTGTCTGTCTGTCTGTTACCACATCACAGAAAAACTACTGGACGGATTTTGATGAAATTTGATGGTCTATGGTCATAGCTGATTATCCGGGTTAACATATAGGATACTTTTTACCGCGGAAAAATATCGCATTTCTGAGAAAAAATACAAAAACTGTAAGAGTATACTTATATGTAAAACCTAAGAATTTGGTTTTTGGTCATCTGAACGCGGGCGGAGCCGCGGGCAATGCTAGTTATGTATAAAATTAAATGTTTTCTTCTGTCTAGAAAGCTCTTTTGAAATCCACTCATTCTTGTTAGATGAATTTTTCTAACTTGATAAACAGTTTGTGAATATTAGTAAATAACTGGTCGCTTTTCCTCAGACAAGCTCAGTGCTGTACAAACACTGCACAATGCACATGTACGTCTCTGAAAATCAGTATCAATTGTTTCACTTTCGAGAAACAAATATTGTTAAGGAACAAAATAATATTATTTATATGTCTATTAACTACAAACGAGGGTTATATGAGAATATCACTTGAAGTACAATAATTGTTGATTTAATACTTAACAAATACATAATAGTCCAATTGGAATCCAGTTTGGGAACAAAATATTGAAAACCTGAAGTTTTTTGATTTTAAAATGTTAGCAGGTATATAAGGAATAGAAATTCGTAAAATGCCTCACATGCCCAGCTACTCCCGAGAAGTGGGGGGAACGCGTTGAAAAATAGTTTTTTTAAATTTCCGGCTTACTGTGACCTGCATAGGGGCCTTTTGGCATTGATCTATAAACATGTATATATTACTACAAATAGCAAATTGTTATGTAATCTATTTATTACCTGTGCGTAGTATGTACTGCAAATGTAATGCATTGTATTATAAATAATAAATATATTTTGTTAAATATACCTGAAGTTTTCTCGAAATTATTTTATATTTCTCTACAGACAAAACGGCCTCGCTATTGGAGGACTTTATAATTAATTTAACATAAATATATTACATCGTGTTTTGAATCATCTTTGTTATAATTTGTAGATTTTAGAATATATTTTGCAACATTTATTGTTTTTTAGATCTCATTGTCTGTTTAGTTCAATTATTTGTTGTAACATATTATGTCACTAATATACACACAATTTTGACATTTAAAAACATTGCTATAAATGCTCGTCAGGCGCTTTCGTAACAAAAATACAATATACTCGTAATTTACTTATCTATAAAATATGTATATAAATATAAATATGCTTGTAAGCTTGTTGTACACCAGTAGAGCGCGCACGACACGACACTAAACAGGCAGCCCACTAATTACAAAACGTTTAATTACATTATATGAACCAATTATATTACAATATAACATGATCGCGCGCAGGTTTCCTCGTTGTGACCAGGCCGTAACAACAACTGTTTAAAACATATTGTCAGAATTTATATACAGGTTAACACTGGTTCAATTATACAAGGCACGCGTACGCTTACTGCGGTAAGCGTAAGGACTTTGATGAATTTACGGCGGTTCTGTAGCGCATCTGATATGCCTATTTAAAAACTCCAATAGGATCCTATCAAAAGCGACAAAAGCCACATAGAACCCAATAAATATTGCTTTCTATGTGGCTTTTGTCGCTTTTGATGGGATTCTATTGGAGTTTTTCAAATATATTGCTGCAGCCAGGATACCAGATTTTTTTGCGGTGGTCCGTTCTAGAATTGCTGCATTGTGGGATCGACTACGTAATTCTAATAATGAGATTCTTCGAGTAATGGGCGAGTACTTAAGTGTTGACTTTTTTCGTTATTGGTTGAAACAACAGTGCGGTAGAAATAAAAAGTATGTACAATTCGAATATAATGTTTATATATACATATATATTTTACCATAATTTTATTGTAAACTATGTTAGTGACATTTTATTTTGGTGAATAAGCTTTGAAATAAAAAACATTTATTATTATTATTAAACGAATGAGTAAATGTGTTAGGCATCGCATTAGAAGCAATCTAACGCTTTTTTTTAGCTTTTGTACTTCCTACAGTTACTGGAACACTTAGAAACTTTTTTGTCTCTTTCCAAATTACGAAAGCCTACTGTTTTAAAAGTACCTACCTAAATGTAAACACATTAATATAAAGATGTTAATGTAAAATGTATTGATAAGATTTTTTAATGGAAAATAAGTTTAGGGTTATCTTGATTATCCTGAATATTATACGCAAAATCGACCGGTGTTAGGCTCAGACTAATAAAAAAGTATTTTATTGGTCTGAGGTGTTAGGTATAAGTTTGACGTGTCTGTGTGTGGCATCGCAGCTCCCGAACGGATGTATCGATTTTGATTTTGTTTTTTTTTCTTTGAAAGGTGAATTAGTCGGGAGTGTTCTTAGCTATGTTTGATGAAAATCGGTCCAAGATAACCGCCGCCACAAAATGATGAATTACATATTTTTTTCACAACTTCCTCAATATGGGTATCAGCTACTTATCAAATGAAATGGCTTGGCTAGTAGAATAAATTTCAAATTTAAGATGGTCGCTACCACAAAATGGCGAATTACATGTCGAGGTTTTTTGAATTTTAAATTTAATTTTGTTATATTTTAAACACATAGCCTACTTATCCGCTTCTTACCAACTTATTATTTTAGTAATTGCAACTATTTTTTCTATTACATTATTGAATGTTTGTTTATTTTTAATGAAAATATTATAATCTTAATTGTCACCGTAACCTCCAGAGTGCAGGTATCTACTTAAATAATAATAATAATGTCCTGAACGATTTCGGCCGCGGGGGCCAATCTCATTGATACTAGCCATTTATGCAGAAGATATTTTAGTGCTTAAGTTTGCGTGCAAACACAAGTACTTGTTACGCTCCGCTAGTTTATTCGAAGACATCAAGTACGCCTTCATACAACCTCTGTGGTGTTCGTCTACGCAGGTGCCAGGCAGGCAGGAAAAGTATGAAGACGAAGACATATTGATTGACGTTTGGACGGACGTATGATTTTCTGTTGTGTATATAAATTTTATTAAATACTGTCAATATAACGATTATATCAGGAAAAGTGTTTCATTGTTTTTACAGGTACTCTTTCTAATAATTCCTGTTGCTCAATTGACTCTCATACTCCGGTGGGATGACTACTCTCTACTCCACACGACTAGTGAGGGTCAAGACGCAGGACCGACGGCTTTACGTGCTCACCGAGGTTTGGGTGTGAAACACCGTTAACTCCCAAACTCCATGCCGATACTGAGAACTTCTTGGCAGAAAAACTCGACAACTAAACTTGACCCGACCCGGGACTCGAATCCAAGACCTCCGGATCTGCGGCTGTACCTACATGTTAGCCACTAAACTACTAAGGCAGTTATCTACTTAAATAAGATGACATCCACGATATAATTAAAGGAATAATGTACCATGAGTCACGGTTAAGGTATAGGCTAACTAAATATATGAACACTCGCTTGTATCTGCCGCGTTCACTGGTTTCTACTCTTTATCTTGTTAATTAAATACCGACCAATTTGCACTAACACCGGCATTCCGAGAGTTTTATAACTGGAAAAAAACAAAGGTTTTTTTTGCGGATTTCTATAGATCTGTGCTAGTCGGAGACATCGTTTCACTTTTCCTCTATAAACTTGATTTACAAATTGTTTTGGGTTATTCACTTAGTGGAACTGTTTGTATTGGAATAACTCGACTTGCAAGTTGTATCCACACCATTTGTAGGTATATTTTTAAATCTGTTAACAACGAATGATTTTCTTTACAAACACTTGCCTGCACGTTTGATAGATAGATACACTTAAAGATAGAGATAGATAGAGATAAACGTGTCGGTAAATTCCTACATTATCTAAATCTGCAACATTTTTCTAAGTGTTTAGTAGCTCACCTTTAAAGGCAGCATGTGCCAGTACTTAGAATTGTTATCAGTAGGTATCTGTATGTATTTAAGTATCCACTTTCTATGTATACCGCAACGTAGGGACTACTGAGTAGGTACAGAGTGTTGAGTGTAGTGTGTACGAGGTAAGTGAGATTGCTGTCACTCCTCGTCCGACGTCGGCGTATACATTGTAGCTAGTTGTGGGTACACACGAACTCAACAAATATAAACTTACATTGGTTTATTATTTGAGGAAAATAGGAAAATTACATATCATATTACAACAAAGCAGTTTTCTTTGTTTCCTCCTAGCGATCTACAATGCATGTTATTGATATGGATGATTGATGCGACGCCACGCGACGGTTCCGAGCACTTGCAGATCGGTGAACTCAGGCCAAATCATCATCATAACTTCCCTTACATTGAGTACATAATATTTGATATTGCGGCTGACGGCAGCGTTCTTAGGGTTCCGAATCAAAAAGGAATCTTTTTCGTCTGTCCGTATGTCACAGCCATTTTACTCATACTATTAGAGCAATAGGTACTAATAAAATTTGGTAAGTAGATGTCTTATGTCAACCGCTAGATAATTTTGTGTACATGTAATAGGTTTAGATGCATATGAATATTAGATAATAATAGGTACTGGATAGGTTTTCAACATTAAGATGTTTCAAAGTGATATTACTAGTCATATCTAAGCCTGTCCCGAGTTGTCGAGTTATGTACCTATATGCTTTTAAAATTGTAAATAGGTAACAATATAACTATAAATATCGTGGATATGTTAATATTTTATATTACTTTTAATGTAACTTTTGCTGGTTAAAACAATATAATGAGACGCGGGTATGCTAGGTAAAGTTGGCCAATTATGACATTACTTACTTTTGCTCGTTTCGCATCTATAAACCATGTAAGACGATATGTTAATACATATATTATGACGACAGTCATGCCAAGTATCAGTTTGTACTTATTGAACCAACGGTCGCGGGTTCGAGTCCCGCTGGGGGCATTCATTTGTATAATTAGCACGAATGTTTGTTTTCCAGTCATGGGTGTTTATATTTATAATATGTATGTTTTTAAAGTTAGGTATATATGTGTAGTATATCAACCATCTGGTATCCATAACACAAGCCTCATAGCTTACCATGGAACTAGAAGGTGCTGTGTATGAATGCCCTAACATATTTATTTATTTTTGAAAGCAGTTGAGATTACCTAAGACGTATGGTGTTGAACAAAGATTAGGATTTAAAGGTTAAACCTATAGAGTCGGTTCGTGTGCCATGTAGCGAGCAGACCATAAAAAATAGGTACTGGATTTCCATATCAGTTTCGCCGATGATCACAGACTTATTACACCTAAACGTCGAATACGTGTAAGCACTTAAATATCAATCTACTAGGACCTATGTAGATGCTCATAGCTACAATGAACTAACAAAGGTAGGTACAGTTCGTTTATTATTCATTTTCTTACACATTTAACGATCTTTTTACTGTCACGTGTAAACTTACAATAGTAAATAGCCACTCAATTTACTTTAAATTAAGATAATAATTTTATAAACAATGAGTACTCAAGATATGTTTATTAAGCAGGCAATTAGGTAGTATGGTTAATGGGTAGTTCATAGTAGGTAAGTGGGGTAACAATACAATAACGTACCACGGATGATATAATACTATACGGCACAGTACCGGTACAGATACTTCAACAAGTACAATAAAATTTTGTTTAGTCTAATATATAGTAGCCAGGTGTAATAAGTGCTTACTTACAATAGATAGCGCATGCCATCAATATATTAAATAACGTCATCTCTGAAAAAAAATGGAATAAATTATTCCTTATCCAATATTTGATGAGACCCCATGAAGGAGAGTACCTACTACTGCGATTCCACCGAATACCGATGCATTACTAGGTATAGGTATATATAATTCAAACTATCATTGTTCACGGAATCTATAGATAAAATAAGTACTTAAATGCATTTCTCTTAACTTTAATTAACTTGTAAGTATCTATTGTTGTTTAGCAATATACATTTTTCTACATCTATACTAATATTATAAAGAGGTAAAATTTGTGAGTTTGTGAGGTTGTTTGTGGGGTAATCTCTGGATCTCAAGCGCGGATCCAGGGGGGGGGAGGGGTCATGGGGGTCATGAGCCCTATCTGAAAGTTGAACGACAATTATTTAAATTTTAAAATGTAAACATCCACTTGAAATTGGGGTGATTTTAAGCCTCCCGAGACCATACAATATAATTTTTTCGGAAACGGCTAAACATTTCAATTTAAAAAAAAAATATTATATGTATTTCAAAGATTATATTCCCCTAGTTTCATGAATATCAAAAAGTTTTTGCAGAAATTAAAAATAAAAAAAAAAATCAAAAAAAAATTAAAAATCGTTTTTGTTTTGGAAATAGTCGAAAACTGTGGGGTTATTGTAAAAGTCGTAGATTTTTTACTAGACCTACAACTTTTGTACAGAATATTTTTCGATAAGATGTCACAACAAGCCAGAAATTAAAAAAAACTATTTTTCAACGTTTTACATCCCCTCATTTCTCGGGGGTAGCTGGGCAGCGGGGGCGTTTTACGGGTTTTTGTTCCTTATATACGTGCTAAAGTTTTAAAGCCATAACACTTATGGTCTTGATTTTTTGAACCCCAGACACCCCAACCAACTGAAATCTAGATCCGCGCCTGGTCTCAATTGTTTTAAAAAAATATTTGATATACAGATTTTGCTAAGTTACTGTTTTATTATATGTATATTTCAGCCTATGACCCCCCCCCCCCCCCCCCCTACCCCCAAAATTTAACTCTGGATCTGCGCCTGCTGGATCTACTGATCCGATTCAGATCAAATTTGGTAAGAAGATAGTTTGAGACCCTGGGAAGGACATAGGATACTTTTATCCCGGTAATCACCCCTTAAAGGGTTGAAAATGGACATGAAAGTTTGTATAGGGAAGCAACCTAGGGACGAACCTGAGCGAAGCGAGGGTGAGTCGCTACTAATATTATATAACTAAAAGGTTTTTATTTTACATTCTTTTTTATTCTCTCAAATTATTGTAATGTAAAAATAAATATAGGTCTGGTATAAATGAAACAATTTAAAATAACATCGGCTAATTTAGCGTTTATCAATTCACGTTTAAGGAAAACCACATGAATTTTTACGCTTATTCTAAGGTGCGATTTTGTGCTCGTATTTGCGGTGTTTGAATAAATTGGGAATGTTGTTTACTTTGAATTTTAGCTCTAAGTAAATTAAGTGCTGTAAAAATAAGAGAATAAACAAATACATCCAATTAATACGTTACGCAATCATACATAATATAATAAATTTGTCTCGCTGTCTGTACATTAAAGATATTTGAGAAAAACTATTATGAGGGGTCTTTATGAACGCTATTGCGCGTACATGATACTTTGCGTGCACATAGATTTGTTAGAGAGAGACGGACATATGCTACTATCGCCGTCGGGGGCGGTCGTGGTTCGTCGGGCCCGTCGTCACTCGTTGCTCGTCGTCCGTAACAGTTCTCCCCCCGGCGTAGCGCTGCGAGCCTCCTCTTTCACGAGCACGACGAGCTTCGTGACGGGACGCTTGAAGACTCCGGTCTTCGTCTGGATATCCGCTACTCGCACGCCGCCATCAGGTCCCCTGTAGATTTGCTTTACGATTCCCATAGGCCACACGTTGCGTGGCAGGATGTGGTCGACTATGACCACGATGTCTCCTTGCTGTAGCTGCTTGGTGTTGTTTGTCGGCTCGCCGCGAGGAACGAGAGTTGGTAGGTACTCTCGCACCCATCGCTGCCAGAAGTGGTCGGCGAGCGCCTGGCTGGCCCGCCAGGTGCGTCGATCGTCGTCGGTGCATGGCCCAGTGATGGGTAGGCCAGCAGATGATCCCAACAAGAAGTGGTTGGGTGTCAGCGCCTCCGGGTCGTCTGGACTCACGCTAACGTGAGTCAGGGGGCGGGCGTTGATAGAGTACTCCGCTTCGACCAGCAGAGTCCATAGTACTTCCTCCGTCGGCTCCTTTTCCTTTAAGGTGGAGGCTAGTGCGACTTTCACTGACCGCACTAGTCGTTCCCATGCGCCCCCTTGGTTCGGGGCACCTGGAGGTATGTAGCGCCACTCCATACGATGAAGTAGGCCCTCTTCTTTCAGTGCTGGCGCCCACTCGGCGTAGGCGGCCCGTAGCTCGTTGTCGGCGCCTCGGAAATTCGTGGCGTTGTCTGAGTACATAGTGCTCGGCCATCCTCTTCTTGCTGCCATTCTTCGCAATGCCATGATCGCCGAACTCGTAGATAATGATGAAACGATCTCTAGGTGTACGGCGCGCGACGTGAGGCACGTAAACAACGCACCCCATCTCTTCTCTCGACGTCGTCCTATTTTGACCATCATAGGTCCGAAGTAATCCACCCCACAGTGAGTGAAAGGGCGGCGAAATGGTTCGAGGCGAGCGCGGGGCAGGTCTCCCATCGACGGGACCTGGGGCTTCGCTCTTCTTACTCTGCAGAGGGCGCACTCCCTTTCTATGGTGCGCACAGTAGGCCGTAGGTGTATAATCCAATATCGCTGCCTCAGATCGTTGGTCACACGCTCACGGTTAGCGTGACCCGCAGCGCAATGCTCTCGTAGCACTAGAAGCTTAGTAACGCGGTGGCGTCCGTCGAGGATGATGGGTCGCTTCACCTCGAGCGGTGCAGTGGCGGCTCCTATACGGCCTCGCACCCGCAATATTCCCTCCTCTAGCACTGGATCCAGCCGGAACAGTCGGCTCGCCTTGGGAAGTGGATGTGAGGCCTTCATCCGTAGCAGCTCTTCTTGAAAGCTGTCTTTTTGAGCGCGGCGTATGAGTGCGGTCTCGGCCTTTTCGATGTGTCGATGCTCCAGTCCCGTAGCCCGACGCCGACACTTGTCCACGAACACTAACACCCTCGCGGCTGCTCTGACCAGTGTCTCGAACTCGGAGAAGCGCGCAGGATCCGGCAACCACTCGTCACCCTGCTGGTCCTCTGTGGTCACGTGCAGTAGGACCTCCTCCTCCTCTGTCGATCGTTCGTCGACCGGCCATAGTTCCTCTGGCTGACGTAGGAATTCTGGTCCCCGGAACCATCGGTCGTCACTGGTGATGCGAGTGTGCGCAAATCGTGTAGCGTCGTCAGCTACATTATCGCTGGTCGGGACCCATCGCCACTCTTCTGGTTGTGTCAGCTCGGCCAACTCTCCGAGCCGGTGCGCGACGAACGGTGTGTACCTCCGCGCGTCGTGCCGTATCCAATGAATGACAGTTGTGGAGTCGGTCCAATACATTGTCCTCTGGACCTCCACACGATGCTCTTTCTTTATAGTTTCCGCCAGTCTGGCGCCGATGACTGCTGCTTGTAGCTCCAGGCGAGGTATCGTTTGTGTGCGCCTTGGAGCCACCTTCGCCTTGGCGGTCACGAGGCTTATGGCAATTGCTCCATTGGGTCGTGTGACACGCCAATAAGCCACGGCTGAGTAGGCTTGCTCGCTGGCGTCACAAAATACATGTAGCTCCAGGCCCTGGTAGCCCTCCAGGGCGTAGCAGCGTTCCAGTCGCAGACAGGTGAGGTCGGGTAACTGCCGCAGCCACGCTTCAAACATTTCGTTTTCTTCTGCAGGAATTGGTTCATCCCACTCCATCTTCTGTTCTATCTTCGTAAGACGGCGAAGTGCTGCGTCGAAACTAGGCGGCATCTTAATGTCGTCTTGTTTCCAGGGCAATCCCACCTGGTATCCACCTTCGACCTTCTTTAAGGTTTGCTCGACGATCTTTGTTGCCCGGGAGTTCACCTCGCTCACCCGTGACTTGTGAGCGATGCCGAGCGCGTCGATCCGAAAATGTTCCTCCACCAGGTCATGAAGGCGTTGATCTTGCTGCTTCTTCAAGCCTCCACCAGGTTCGACAGTGAAGACATGAAGAACGCCATCCTGGTTATGGATTACGCTGCGTGGTGCTGTTCCATGTACCACCCAGCCGAGTTGTGTTCTAGAGGCGGCTGGTTGATTCGGGCCTCCAACTCGTAGTTCCCGGGGTACAATATACTCCCAGTGGTCTGTCCCCACCAGGATGCCAGGGTGTGCCTGGTCGTAGCACACTTCCTCTCTTGGCAGATCTCGTAGGTGCTCTTGCTTCAGTAACGCGCTGGGAATGGACTGCTGGTGAAGCTTCATGTTCTTGATCGTTCGTGCTCGAAGCTTGTGTCTCTTTCCATCCTTCCCCTCCAGGTGTACCGTAACCAGCTGACTATCTTCCTCGTGCTGAGTCATGTTGACCCCGTGCATGTGAAGTGGTGTGAGAGGTCCCTTGGCGCCGATTTTCTTTGCCAGCTCCTCGTCGATGAGGGTGATGGTAGCCCCTTCGTCCAGTAGAGCATAGGTCTTCTCCTCCCCCCGTGGCCCGACGACGGTGACTGGGCACATCTTCAGAAGAACCGCTTGAGTTGACACAGTGGCTTTGGTTGCCACCGACAGCACGGCTTCGGTTTCATTTATCAAGGGTTTGGGTGTCTTCTCCTCTCGGTGCAGGGTCGGATGGTGTGGACTGCGACACTCGTTCACACCGCATAGCTTCGCTTTACAATTGCTGCGTCTGTGCTTCTTAGTTATGCACTTGAAGCATAACTTCTTTTCCTTCACCAGTTCCCATCGTTCATCTAGCGAGAGCCCTTTGTACTTGGGGCACTGTGGCAGTGCGTGAGTCTGCTCACAGCTAGGACATTGGCTGACTTGTTCCTCTTCAGCTTCAGTCACGTTATACACGGCGCTCATCTTCTTCCTCTGGTTCCCGGTGTTCATCGAGGGTCTGGTCTCCCTCCGGGTTGCAGCAGGTGTTGAGACGCTCATAGGTGGGGCATTTGCATGCTTCAATGCCCGGTCTGCCTCGCGCATGAGAAAGCGAGACAGCACTACAATCTCTGGTTGTAGTGTAACTTCATGTTCCTCGGCGTAGTCACACCAGCGTGCTCTGATGTGTGGACTCAGTTTGTCCAAGACCTCTCTCGCAAGCATTGGGTTGTAGAGGTAGCCCTGGCGTCCGATGCTGTTCAGGATGCTGACTACGCTTTGAACCTTCACTGCAAAACTGTTCAGGTCTACTGCTGATGATCCGGGTCTCGGAAGCTTCTTTAATTCCAGGAAGGCTTGATCTATGATGACCTCAGGCCTTCCGAAGCACTGTTCGAGGGTCTTCATCACGACGTCAGGATCTGTAGCGGCATGTAACAGGCCGGCTACGACGTTTCTTGCTTCTCCCCGCAGGCAGCTCCTCAGTCTCTGCAGGTTCTCGTTCGCTGATATCTGGTATATCCTCGTAGAGTCTTGATAGGCTGCTCTGAACGACAGCCACTCGTTGGCTATTCCAGAAAAGATCGGTAGGTCAGCGCATCTTATTCTGGGTCTAGCCATCTTCTCTAGGGCTTCAGCCAAATGCTCAATCCCTGGTTTCCTTCTGGTCGGAGTGGGTGATCTTCCTCTAACGTTGAACCGGAGGTGTTGTTCCCCTCCCCTCCTTCTCTGCTCCTCCTCCTCCCCCCGTGCACTGACGGGGTTGGTGCGGAGCCATGTGTCCACCTTCTGTTGGTGGTCGAGGTTCTCTTCATGCAGGCTCTCCTGCTCCTCTTGGATATTGGTGATGTCTGCAGCCAGTCGCTTTCTGACGAGTTCAGCTTCGATCTCCAATTCCTTCTTCCTCAGGGCTGCAAGCTTCTCTGCAGCTTCAAGTTCTGCCAGCCGTACTCTAGCAGCCACGCTTGCCGTCGATCGCACTGAATGCCCTGGTGACCTGGTTCGGGGTCGGTCTCCAGTCTTCAAGGGTCTGTAGGCAGCAGAGGTTGTGGGGGCAGAGGCGTCGTTCGTAGCCCCTAGCCCAACCTCCGTATCCATGGGCGTGGTTGGTGATGCTGGTGGATTCAGAGACAGTCTTCGTCTTCGCTCCAGTTCAATTTGTTCAGCTCCCTGGCTCCAATCTTCCACACGGGGTTGACCTTCCAGGTGTTGCTGTTCTTCCATGTGCTGCTGATCTTCCAAGCGTTGCTGTTCCCCTGGGCGGCGCAGATCCTCTGGGCGACGTAGATCCTCTGGGCGGCGCAGGTCCTCTGGGCGGCGCAGGTCTGGACGACGCTGATCTAGGCGGCGGGGGGTGCCAGGGCGGCGCAGCTCCTCTGAGCGGTGCGGCTCCTCTGGGCGGCGCTGGGCGTCCATCTCGGCAGCGTCTCCTTGGCTCCTGGTGATGACCATTCTTCAATACTGGATTAATCTTCTATCCGGCTCGAAGGACCAGCTTGTAGTGGACTGTATTTATTTTTCTTCCTTCGATGTAATAAAACACTTCTTGAGTATAACTGGCTTTTATTTTCCTTTACAATATTTGAACTGAAGAGAACACTTTATTCAACGGTAGTCAACTGAATACTGAATTCTGAACTGAACTGAACTGAATGATTTACATACAAAATGCCCTAATACTTATTCTAGCATTAACACTGGCAATAGGCATACTACTAAACGAGATAAGATAATTTCCTTAATTCTAATTGGTTGCTTTATACAATGCAAGAGGGGGGCATCTATTGCGCGTACATGATACTTTGCGTGTACATAGATTTGTTAGAGAGAGACGGACATATGCTACTATCGCCGTCGGGGGCGGTCGTGGTTCGTCGGGCCCGTCGTCACTCGTTGCTCGTCGTCCGTAACAAACGCAATAGAACTTAAAACAATGATTTTTAGAATTTTTGTGTGTTTGTCTGTGTGTGTTTGTGCGCGATAATCACAGTAACGGCCTTACCAATTTGGGTGCGGTTTTCTCTAATGTATAATGATATTATGATAAGCTTAATTAACTTAACACTTAGGTAGTGTATATTTTATTTCAATCGGTTTATAAATAAAAAAGTTGTTAATATAAAGAATCGCCCAGGAACGAGCCTGAGCGAAGCGATGAAGCGCAGTGAAGATGAGCGTTAAAGCTTTAGGATGTAGCCAATCTTATCAGTGACTCCTCTATATACGGCAGGACTGTAGGGACGCGCTCGACTGTGGCTGGTTTCACTCGGTCACTGTGACGCAGGCGCGGCACTTGCAGCTTGTTGTCTCGCAGAACTGTGATGAGCAACACCTTTTTTTAACAGCATTAGACTTCCCAGCATTTACGCATACCACCTGTAGACATACAGGTGGTTATGTGGGGCGATTGTGGGTAGGTGTGGGGAAATTGTGGGTAGGCACTGTCTGTAACAAGTATATAACGCCTTTGAGACGTCTAAAATCTTAGTCTCTTCCGTGACCATAATTGCTGTAAAGCATTCGAAACGTCGGGAACCAAAAATCAAAATATATCCCCGAAATAATCCGAAAAGATAGTTTTATTTAAAATATATTTTTTTTCTTAGAATTACTTATGGTAAGATCAAGTTAGTTACATGTTGTATTCTTGTTTATCTATACAGGTAAATCTCGGAACAAGCTTTTGTATTAAACAAAAGTTTCCAATGTAATAAATTGATGCAAGTTCTTCTCAGCAAACCCTTTTATTTGATATCCATATTATTGGGGTGCATAAAAAATATAGTCCACCATCTTTGGGAATCCGCCATATTGGATTTAGAATGACGTTACATAAGTAACCATGCATTGTCACCCAAACAAAACGTGTATGCAAAATCTCAATCGATATACACATCGAATGATATAGATATTTATCGATGGATAACTGCTTTAAAATTCAGTTGCAAGATTTAACCCGAACAAAAGAACATTGCAAGTTAAATAAAAGCTTGTAATAAAAACAAAAGTATGTTCGAAAAAAGGAGGTATGTACTTACTTTTACCATGTTCATTGTATTGAAGTGAACTTATAATAAATATGTAGGTATTACATATATTTGAGTTATAAGGTCCTGGTCTATCAAACAACGAATAACATCGAATTTTTACTTTTTCTTATAATATTAGCATTAATTACTTTTCATTTTCATGTTAAGTATTCGTACAATATATTTGTTGCGTGCGGATCTCTATACAATGTGTCCACTGGGCGAACACTTGGGTGCATCTATAATTACTTGAGCTATTTCTTTTAATTAAGACTCCTCCACCATCCTAATTTGGTGTGATTAAGTGAAATTTGGTCAGACACCCTCTTCCCCGTGGGGTGACCACGTAAGATTTACACTACAGTCGTTAATGGACTATTTATTTTCATATTGTGTAATAAATAATACAAAGCTCAGGTATTTTTTCAGCGGGCACTTAAAAAAAAAGAAAAATTATTATAGTTATCTGTGTACACAGACAATATAACCAAATGTTTGTGTTGTGTATCATAAGTATATTTTCTTTTCAATTTAAATCAGTTTAAATGAGTTTTAATGAATTTTTTCTCGACTCTCTAAGTATTACTCTCTACATACATATATTATGTACCTATGTATATTGTATAACTTCGCAGATAAGTTAACGGAGGCCTTACAGCATGTGTTACATTTTATCACTCTTTGTCATGATTCTTCGTACAGATTGCATTTTGTTGTTGTTTCCGATGAATAGAAGCTGTTTAAAGAATTACTAAGACGTCACAATAAGTGCTAAATATAAACAATAGCGATATGTGTCTTAAAGTAAGACGATATGACACATCAGGACGTAGCGACGAGCCACGCAATGGGGCGCTATAAAATAAAATCATCATTTTTAGAACTAATATTATGTATGTATACCTATAACGTCAAAATTAATTATTTGAAATCGTCAAAGCGCGAGTCCAATATGAACCTTGATTTCGAACTTCCATATAAGGTATTAGAGCAAAAACATATTTAAGGACATAAAATTAAATTTTTTATATGCGTAGGCACTCTTTTTACTTTCTTTTACTTAATTCTTCCAATTGATGTTAGAAAATTCGTCGCAATAAACCATGAACATGGAGGAAGCATAAACGGCAACAAATGAATTGTTAAAGTATTTTAAAAAAACGATGAAAAGATGAACAATACTAATGTAAAGTAAGTCATTGTTACGGAGATAGTGCGCTCGTTGAGATACGAAGCTAAGATAACGGGCAAGAGCTCGGACACCTGCCGTCGCCCCCGCCCGGTCGCCGCGCCGTACTTAGGGTTCTTCCCTACAAGCCACTCTCCAATATAACATTACAAGTAAGTACACCGCCAATAAACAGTAATCCTTCTTTTCTTTACCAACGAATTTAGAATACTATCGAGTTTGAAATATTTGAGTGGGCCGTGAAAGCATGCATCCCTTGGATAGTTGTGGACGGAGGGGGAAGTAGCCATATTGAAAAATTACCTTTAATCTCAAGGATTAATTTTTTATGAAAGCTAGCGGCTGAATTCGAAAGCGATACGATAGAACCTAACAATTTAAATGGTTCTAATAATACAAAAAATCATTATCCTATTGAGTGAAATACTGAAGACTTATAAATTCAATTCCGTGTTTATCTCGGCATAATAAGTTATAAGGCCATATTATTTTGCATACATATACCTATAGATATGTACTAGATAGTACCAGAGTGATATGTCACTATGTTCCTCTGAGCGTCCAGTGAAAAAAATATCGTATAGTCAAAAAAAGGAGACTTTTAGCAGTAAAATGTAGAGGTGAACAAAAGAGGCAAATCATAATCATTCATTCTAACTTTTCTTCTTCACAGTTGCTCAGTACAACTATACAAGCTACATTTCTTCTCCGATCTTCAGCCCTAGCCGCGCCCGCGTGTAGGAGGCTGGCACACGTATAGCATGGAACATCCTCACGACAAGATCATAACGTGCCCATTGTTGGGGATTGACATAAATGTGAACAATAGGACTTATCTATTATTTTGCCACTGACGGTACTGTACTTAAGTAAACCTATTAACTTTAAGCACACACTGCTAAATGACATTGACGTCACAATATGTCGTATGCATGGAATAAAAAGATAAAATCTACGACATTTGTAATAGGTACCTACTTACATACTTTTCATACCTATTGCAGCGTGCAGGTTATATTGAGATAGGCAGATTATTTTACAAGTACCTGGACGCTCGCTCGACCTTCACTCGGTGTTCTTTTTTGTTATATCGTGTTTTTCGTTGATAATAATTAATAATCTATATAACTTAAAACTAAAAATTTGAATAAATACAAAAAAAAACAAAAGTAAAAACTTTTTATCCGACCGGGATTCGAACCCGGACACCTATGATTGTTAATCTTGTGCCTTAGCCGCTTGACTACGATGCTTATAATGTATCTATGTGAATTATAGTTTTTTAAACGGTTAAACACCCGCAGGACAACGTAATAGATACATATGTTATGTTCGTATATATGTTCCTGCATGCAAATTATTTCTGACCATACTGAGGTTGGTGTTGTTTAAATAAAATTAAATTAAAAAAAAACATAACAAATACCTACCATTTTCAATAATAAATATAATTTTATGTATAAATAAAAAACATAAAAACATTTTTATTTTGCTAGAAGTTAGTGTTACTGCAAATAAAATTTTTGTATTAAAATTAAATATTATTTACTTTAATAAAACAATATAAATATATCACTTAAGTATTTAACTATAAATAAATAAAATATTATTAATAATAATAATATGTTGGGACATTAACACACAGCACCATCTAGTTCCATGGTAAGCTACGAGGCTTGTGTGGTAATACCAGATAGTTGATACCTACACTACACATATAGGTATATATAACTTTAAATACATACATACATATTATAAATATAAACACCCATGACTGGAGTACAGATATTCGTGCTCATCACAGAAATGAATGCCCCCAGCGGGACCCGAACCCGAAACCGCTGGCATATCAAGTAGCGTCACTATAAACTGAGCCAAACGCGTCGTCAAATTAAGTATGTTATAGAAAAGGTCAGTTGTTTTATCTAACGTTCTGCATTAACATGTATGTATATTGCAACAAGTAGCGCAAGCGCGCGAGATAAGAAACGAAGCTAATCAGCATGCAGAATTCTCGCAGCGCGTGTCGCGCGCCCGGACATGTCGGGCTGTTTGTTTTTATGGAAGGTGACAAATAACAAATTATAAAAACATACCAGGATTTTTTTCTTAATAATTTATAATAACCGTATTAGATATGGTAGTCATATCTTTGGCGATCGGTAATGTATCTAACAAAGTATGATTATTTATTCATTTCTATTTAAAAAATAAGAGCCTATTCCTTTACTCTG